GCCCTGGCGACAACACCCGACTTCGTCGTGTGTTGCCGCCCAGTATTATTCCCTCATTGTAATCTTCTTTTTATTTCTAAAGGCTAGCCCTGGCGACAACACCCGACTTCGTCGTGTGTTGTCGCCCGATAACCATAACTTTACAGCTGTCATTCCCTTATGTAACTGTAACCTTTGCAGCTTCTGCTGGCTTATTGTGATGAGTGCACTAACCTTGAATAATCATAATTTTATTCCTACCCTTAAACTTGTTAAACCTTCAATTTCCAGTTTTGTTGGCTTACACCTATCTCTATCCCTATATTTTAGCTTCACCGGAACAGGAAATAGGAAATAGGAAATAGGAAATACCAAAAAAGGGGTAGAGGGCTCAGGCAGATAGACTGCCGAGGTAATACCTAGTAGCTGAAGCAATCTTGTGCACCTCGCCCACAAACTCATGACTTCTATAGTGGTGCTCGCAGCATTCGAGGTTCATTGCCGTGACGCTACGGAAGCATGAAGAAGGTACGCATGCTAGCTAGCCTGATGGTCGGAACCGACCAAGCTGACCATGAAAATAAGTTTTGCCCGTTGAACAAAGAGACCAATTAGAAAGGATCCATCCTTCGATGACCTGAATGTCAGACACATAGTCTGCGGGAAAAAACCGGCCACACCAATCCTCTCGATAGCATCCAGCAGGACAAGAAGAACAGAATGCAGCGGCTCGTGCTACATAACCAACAAGTTGCCATCAGAAATTTGTGCTCGAAACTTGTTCTGTCCCTACTAACCAGGAGAGATAATGGCAAGAATCTATGCTTCATGTAAACATCATCACAGTCGAAAGTTTTGAATATATTTTCATATTGTCTTTCCAGACAAGCATCAACTCTTTCAATTAGACGTTGATTGGTAATTTCTTGGGTGGGTACCACATAGACTGTGTCGAGTCGACCTTCAAATTGGCATCCCACTTGCACTTTGTTGGAGATTTCTTCGGGCAAGAATTTTTTAATGAGCGATGCTGCCAAGGAAGCAAAGAGCCCCATGTGAAAGTATTTGACTTGCCACACATTATAGGGGTAATGGCTCCCGCATTCGGTCCACAACTTACGTCGCGTCTTCATCGTCAGGTTATGCCAGTCGTAGCCCATAGTTTCCAGCACGAAATAGATGCCTTTCCGTATGGCCATGAAGTCAGGAGACAAGATGTGCCCACTATAGTAGACCCATCCCATTAGAGTAAGATAATCGGGCTGGACATCCTTATCATAGAGATTGGCAATGTCGGCGACCATGACATAGTTGCCTTCATCTGGATTAAAGCTCACCGACAAGACCACCAGGGGATGTTGTCGCACAAAATCACTAGAGATTCGTTTTCCTTCTTGGACTGTATTTCGTAACTTGTATTCTTCTCGAAAGATTTGGAAATGGCGGACTCGTTCCAGCGCTTGCTCTCGATTGTCATGGTCCACCAATGCCAATTGTGCCACTTCAAAGTCGGAAACACTGTCCAACTTGGTGTCGCTCTCAATGGCTTCCATGATGGCCAGAGCCCATTGTCGTTCTCGATCAGTCAGTTCCATATAAGAGCTCACGGTATGATAATAAGTAAAGGTTGGAATTCCGAGAGAACTCTCGCTGGCTTTATGTCCGCTTCGTTTTGAATCCATAACCCTTTAAAAGGCTTTCTATTATAAAGTTTTTACCATCTCATGTACTATTTAATACAGACAACACAATTATACTTTAAAGCGTTTTGCCAACACGGTACTTTAAAGGAGTTGGGTGTTTCATTTTCTACACTCTAACATTATAGAATCCGGGTTTCTATTTCTATATGCACATTTATATTTTAAACAGACCCAAATTCTTTAAAGTGGATCCATACATTGTGCCTAACTGTAGCATACAGCAGACAAGCACAGCCATACTCCAAGCACAGCCATATCCTCGCGGCCATCGTTATCCCTTCCTTAGCTATCATCATACCATCCATGTCGTTATTCAAAGCTATAGAGAAGCAGCAAGAGCTCTACAACAGCCTGACTGCCGATGATCGAGCTAAGCATGAAGAACAAAAGAGACGACGTCTATGTTCGGTACATCAATCCCAAAAAACCAGAGGGCCGTACCAGAAAGATCAATAAGCATTCTCGGGAACAGCTCAATGAGCTCCTTTTGTACCATGACTCTGAGAGCAGTGACAGTGAGGAGGAGCAAGCTCAGGATACAGCAGAAGCAAAGGAACAAGAGGAGGAATTGGAAACTGAAGATGAAGAGGAAATGCATAAGGATGCATTGGAAGATTAGATAGATTGATAGCTACTACTAGCTAGTAATTCATGTATGCTTTTCAAGATTTTGGAGTTTTGTTTGCACATTTCAACTTTACAGAATGAGCAATTCTGTTTTGTTAGCATTGATACTTTAGAGAGATGTCTGATTCCCTTAAAGTATAACTGTGTTGTCTGTAGTAGTGATCTTTACCGCTGTTACCCCTGTTCTCCACTGTCTTCCTTACGCCTTACGGTACCGGTACCACCATTGTCAACCACTGTTTACCACAGTACTAGTAGCAGCATCGCTTGTCGCTGATGGAAGAGGAGTTTCCGACTAAAATTTTGTCGCCAAGGAGAGGGAATTTAGTTTGATTACTACTTCTAGTGTAGGCTTGCTACCTGGTACCAGGTACATCGACATCGCAACACCAGCCCACGAAGCCTTGGACTCATGCAGAAACCATGCATAGGACATATAATAAACACACATCTTTACAGTTCAAGACCAGCAGCGGAAGCATTTGCAGCAAACTCAAAGCCATCAACTCTACTAGCATAGGTGCACCAGTTAATTGCTTTGGCCAAGAACCAGACACACACAGACATTAGATGGTAATCCTCAAACAACTGCAGATAGAGTCGTCGGTTCTTGGATGTTTCATCTCCGTGGATGGCCTTTGGATAATTGGGGACGACAAACTGTTTGTTGAAAAAGGGAGAAGGAAGGGCATGCATGTTAGAGCACGTGCATGGTCAAACACCAAATCCAAAGCTAGCTACAACTCAAGCAGCAACTCACTTTTTCATGATACTCTGGTAGCTGGGCCCAGTGAACTCTTGCGTCCAAGTGATGGGCGGCGTGATAGCCAACATTGAAGTGAATGGCAGTGCCACTCAAACTCAAATCAGTGTTGGCAATGTCATTCCGGTCTCGTCCGTTGCGCCCGCCGTGATGAATGATGTTGGCAAACGCCAGAACCACAGCTGACAGTCGGTGGCTGAAAAGGATAAGAAGCATCGGCACAAAGTCAATGTAGCCCAATCCATACAGGACAAAGCCGTGCCCATACGTCCAAAGATACTGCTCAACGATGAGGCGTCCAAGAACTTTTGGTCCCATCTTGGTACATTCAATGAGTGAATTAGCTTGTGCCATGATCTCGAAGGTGAATAGATAATACAGAGGATGAACGGGCTTATCTGGGAACGAGCCCCCCTCAAAGATGTAGGGACTGTTCCAGTCTTCAGGTGCGTGATGGTATGAATGGTGGTTTTTGCAATGTTTGATTCGAAAGGTAAGGGGGGCAATCGCATCGACCATTCCGAATCCAATGTTCAGAAGCCAATTGAGCACGTCGCTTTGGAAGACGGGGACATGAATGTGGTTGTGATGGATGACATTGATCATTCTCAAGACAATGCCCATGACCAACAAAGAAAGGATCCGGTCTCCAATAGACAGCAGTGGCCATTGCAGAAGGATGTAGGAGTTCGCGGCAAGACATGACAAACCAACAAAGAGAGGGATGGCATCTACTCGATAACGCAGAGGCCACATCCCTCGTCCGAGGGGCGTCAACCCCAGGCGTTCCGTTCGTTTGGCGTCCATTTTGTTCGGCTGTGTTTTTTATGGTTGTTGTTTGGCTCTTTGTTTCATCTAAGGTGAGATTGCGAGAAATTGTGCCTGAGCGTCCCTCTTGTACAGTCGTAACAGCTATGATAGCCAGGTAAATAGCACGGTACCGTGTCCTTGCAATGTTGTTTGAACTTGTTCGCTCTCTGTGGCTGGTGTGATTGTGCTTGTGCCGTAGATCTACTGTATCACAACAAGGTGCTCTCAGCTGTGCTCCCCATTCCTTTTTATTCCCTCTTTGTGCTTCTGTTACAGGTAATAATTACGCATATGGCTCTTCGTTTATCGGTTGAATCGAATCCCTTCGCCACCCGTAGAAAGCTACGTCCCTGGTAAGGCCTAACATGTTACGGTATCAAGCTACATACATACATCCTCGCCTCACTCAAACATGCTTGACATCTGTTTGTCCCTTTTACCTGGTACCTGGTAGTCCTGAAGTCCGGAAGTGACTTTATATGATTTTGACAGTTTCACGAGTCGTAAACTTTGTTTCACAAGCGTGAAATAATTGAAACTACTGGTAGTTTCAACTAGTTTTACAGCTGTGAAACTAGCTAGACTATTTAGAATGGTACATACTGTGAATTTTCACAAATTCGTAAAACTAGTTCACTGAAACACATGTTTCACGGAAATGTGAAACCAAAAACGTGAAACTACTTAGAGCAGTTTCAGGACTCCTGAAAACTAGGCCGTCGTTTCCGGTCGTTGCAGCTGTAGGACGTAAATCTGATAATTCTGGTCACCAAGTCACCAAGGCTCCAAGCTACAATGACAACATCATTGGAATTGCTTTTGACTCCAGTGACTCATGAATCCTGCAACTGACTTCTACTACCAGGTACTCGTGCAACAAAGAACCTGGTCCGTTATGTAGAAAAGAGCCGGCATATTGAATACTCCAGTACTCGAGTATCATATATTATAAAAAAGCCACTAACTAGTAAATCGAGTTTGCACAGCGCTGTTAATTTCATTTACATGTAGTTGTTTTCAGTAAATCCAAATTGTCTATTACGTCTTACTGATTTCAGCGATACTGCATACTAAAAGGATTTTCTGCCGTGGCAACCTGACCGATACTCACAATATGGCTGATTAAAAGCAAGTCTCATAGCATAAGCCGTATTCAGAAACTGAATATGACTGCATGGAGGGGAGAATTAGCTTCCAAACAAGCCTTCAGTCGACCTCTACCATCATCATGTAAAAGTTTCCGAGCTGTGCTACGCTCCGGACGGTTGCACGAAAAACAGGCACCAGGAGCCAGGAGTTGTGCACCTCTGAAGCCTTCGAGAGCATTCTTATTGTCTTTAGGTACCGTCATCATTTTGAAAGCCATATTTCATTAAAGGCTTTTTTAATTATTAATTGATTTATTTAGGAGCGACGTACCGTTCGGAAATACTTCAAGTACGGAACTCGGTTCTTTAATGAAGAAATTTTTGAACATCAGTTTTGGTTTAAAAAGACTTAAACATTTTCAAAAATAATGATGTTTTATCATTTTTGATGATGACTTCCAAACCCTAGATATTTCGCCTCATATTTTGCCATAAAAGCACAACATCCGACAACAAAAGCTTTCTGTGATATCCTCTTCCGCCATGGTACTGATGAAACGCTATCTCTTTCCATGCGCTTTTGCGGCTCTTCTTTTTCTTACAACGCTTTATCATCATGCTAACTCTCACGCAACACCACGACAAGATTCTTCAGACGATAGAGTTCCGAAACGAGACATCTCCCGCGATCATACCTTCGAGGAGCTGACGGAAAATGCTGTTTCTCGACCTGCTTTCCTTCGGTCAAGATCTCAACCTCATGATTTACGCCGCTATGTTCAAGATGCAGAAGAATCATCCAATGACGTGGGCATCGCCTTTCTTCCGCGACGACAGGATCTCGAAACAAAGCCACTACGTCGACGAAACCTCACCGCCAGCAAAGCCGCCAAGAACAAAGTGTCCGAGCTACGGGTCAAGTTGGAAGTGGCCTTTCAGAAGCTTCCTCCAGAACTGGGAGCATTTTTGCTCATTGCGCTCTTCGTGTTGAGTGTCGCGTGTCTAGCTTGCGGCTGCGTCATGCCCTGCTTTTACTTTTACGAGCTCCACTTGACCACATCGAATACAGCTACGTTGGAGTACCCATTTGGATCCTCGAGTCAAACTCCGAAAGAAATGTCTGCACACGACGAGCGCTGGAAAGGATCCAAGAGCCTAGGTCCCTCTCTGGCGGAGGTTGCTCAAGCTTCGAACATGTCGTACCTGTATAGATACCGAACTGCTGGAGCTGTTGCCGTGAAGGAAACTACTGACAAGCCGGAGAGTGATTCAAGCGACTTCTCCATGTCGGCCGAATTCGAAGTCTAGGTATACTGTCGCGGGTGGCTGGCCGGATCCTTTCAGCTGGACTAGTGATAACTAAAATAGCTCCTCAATGTCAACAGTGGGGCTGCCTTTTGGCAAGCAATAGTTGGTGGTCAGCCTTGGCCAGCAGCACATACCCTTCTCCAATGTCTTGTAGTCGATCACTCTTCTTTAGCTAGTTGGAGGTTCCTATCAAAGTCAAGGTAGAAAGTCTGTCAATCACTATGTCCATGGGTGACTCTTGAACACTTGGGCCACGCTGTTGCCACATAACTTCATGTCAGCCTTCCCCAGTGCCACTGTGCCTGGAAGCATTCCCTGTGCCATACCCCCAAGATGAGAATATTCCCATGGCATAGTGGTTGACAACTGGAAGCTGAGACTGCGATAGCTACACTCTATAATAGTTTTCACTGCTCGGTTGGTGGTTCCTATCAAAGTCAAGGTGGAAGGTCTGTCAATCACTAATGTCCAATGGCTGACTCTTGAACACTTGGGCCATGCTGTTGCCACATAACTTCATGTCAGCCTTCCCTAGTGCCACAGTGCCAGGAAGCATACCCTGCCCCAAGATGAGAATATTCCCAAGGCATAGTGGTTTGACAACTGGAAGCTGGGACTGCGATACACTCTCCTCCCCCCCACTCTTCACCATGCCCTGGGGCAGAGATGCTGAAAACCAGGTAGTTTCATAAATAATAGTGGGCAGCTGGCCTAGTGCCAAAAGCTCACGCCATGCTGTTGGCTGTTCTTGCCAATGGTCTAACCTGGGCACTTGGTAGTGATAACTAATAGTTCCTAGTCTGTTGGTGGTATGCTGGCTTTGACCCAGTAAAACTCACACCCTTCCTTACCTTGGTCGGCCTATTCATTATTAGCCCACAAAGGCAGTGGCCACTCGATCCATGAGCCCCATTGGAATGCTGTCTGTTCCTAGCTCTTGCACAGTAATGTCTCCCCATTGTTCGGTAAAGGTCTCTGTTGGCCCGTTGACAAGTTGCAGCGATCTTCGGTTATCCGCGGCATTGACCCACAATTGGAGCAATTGCGAGACGGCTTGAGGAGCTTCATGGTTTGGGCAGTGGCCTACATTGGATAGCTCGACGTAACGATGTACCTTGTCTGGTTGTCGAGTATCCAATGCTTGTAGCATTTTCTTGGCAAATGCTGGTTTGCACCATGGATCATCCTTTCCAAAGACCACGAGTACATCACATTCCAGAGCGGCCAAACAATCATAGAAACCCTTTGCAGAGCTGGAATCGGCTTCGTCCTAATTTGCGTTGTTGTGGATTGCGGAAAAAGGCAGAGAAGTTGATTGTTGTGTGTGCGCGTGTGGATGCAAGCGGGGGAGAGATTGGAAAATGAGACGACGGAAAACCTGGCAGCCCAGCATTCATTGATATTTTTATGAGTATGCCCTCCAGCCATGGGTAAATAAATAAAACGTACCTTGACTGCTCTGACAGGAGGCGACCACATAATGGACGCAAAGGCAGCATGCCCCCCGTTCCCTTCGGTACACTCTCGAATTTGTCGGACCAGCTCATCATCGTAGGCTTGTTCGGAAAAGTACGAGTTTTCCAGAAATCTCCGAATTGTGCCAAAGTCTCTCATTCGGTCAAACATATATCGGCCGATAATTCGAGGAACGGTGGGAGCTGGCAAGGATCCCGACCTGATGGATGAGATTGACAAAAAAGGAAAAGATTCAAACAGATAAAGATAAAGAGAAAGGTTGGAGGAAGTCAAGTGAGGCACAATCATTTCTGATGGATTGAGTTTGTTTTTCGCGTCTGATTGACAACACTCACCACCCTGGCAAGTTGAGTCCCCAAACAGGAGTGGCATTTAGCAGAGTGACGGACTCTACTAGATCCGGTCGAAGACACGCCAAAAATACGGCCAGGTGTCCTCCCACACTGTTGCCCACCAAGTGTACCTTTTGTACGGGTTTTTTCTTCTTGTTCTGCTTGTTGTTTTGGTTGGGAAGCACCACTTGCTCAATAAACTGAATGGCTTGGTCCACCCAAAGGTCTCCACTGTACTGCAAGTCTTGCTCGGACGTACCAAAGCCGTCATTGCAGTCTCGAGGCCAGCTTCGGCCTTGACCGAGATAATCCATACCGTAAATACTGCGCTGGCTGGTAGTAGTAGTACATAGCTGTTCCATGAGACGATGCTGATGAAAGGATCCCACACCAAATCCATTCAAGAGGACAATCGGGGTGGAGGAAGATTCCACAGACCCTGCCTGGTCATAGCCAATGGGATGGCCCTTGTAGTCCCATCGCTCTTGCTGAATCGAAAAGGCAACCGCCGCAGCCAGTTGTTGTGTCAGTAGCAGAAGAAGAAACAGAGGTTGACGGATCAGGAACATCATGGTGGTACCTCCGATTTTTGAAGAAAAAGAAATGACAGTGTGCCATGGCCTACGTTTCCAAGAGACCAAAAACTTCAACTTGCAAGAGGATTTGTGGTCGTCACACAAACGTCACCCTCACCGGAGTGTTTGACAGTAGGGATGGCTTAAATTTCTTCTATTCACGAATTATTCGACTGAAGAATCGATTTCGTTGATCTTTCTGTGATGATCTCAACACCGTGAGTGACAGACGCCTCGAGCCAAAAGCCAAACCAAAATCAAAGCGACAAGCACACAAGCAAGGAAAGAGCAGTTTGTGTAGCCCTTGTGCCGTCGACAAACCATGGCAGGTGCCAGCAAAAAGAGAGATCGCTGGGATAGCAGCTCGGAGGAAGAGAATGATGCCAAAGAATCCAAAGAGCCACAGCTAGCCAAAAAGAAGGACACCAAGAAAGACTCTCTCCCCACACACAACCCACTACTAAGTGGCTGTCGCTCGGTTTATGACACGTACGAACGACTGGCCCGAGTCAGTGAGGGTACCTATGGGATTGTCTATCGCGCCAAAGATTTGGCAACCCAGGAAATTGTGGCGTTGAAGCAAATCAAATTCGACAAGGAAATGATCAAGGAAGGATTTCCACTGTCGGCACTCCGCGAAGTCAGCGTCTTGTTGGCCATGTCGCACGAAAATGTCGTCAACGTGAGAGAAATGGTCGTGGGCGATGCCTTGGATCAGGTCTTTATGGTGATGGAATTTATGGAATTCGATCTCAAAGAAGGACTCTCGCGGTTCCGGGATGCTTTGGCACAGTCGGAACTGAAATCGATTCTGCTCCAAATTGTAGCGGGGATGCAGCATATGCATTCCAAATGGCTCTTGCATCGGGATATGAAGACGAGCAACATTCTAGTCCATCGATCGGGACGAGTCTGTCTCTGTGACTTTGGATTGGCACGGAGTTATCAAGAACCACAATTGCAACAATTGACACAGCTAGTCGTCACACTCTGGTACCGATCGCCAGAACTATTGTTTGGGGAAACTCGATATGGACCTGCCGTCGATATGTGGTCTATTGGGTGTATCTTTGGAGAACTCATCTGTAAGGATTCCATCATGCAAGGACAAGGAGAACTCGATCAAATTGACAAGATTTTTGAAATGGTGGGAGTACCAACAGAGGAAAATTGGCCTCTCTTTAAGAAACTACCCAATGCTGGATTGCTGCGATGGAAACCACGAAAACGAGAGGATCTATTGATTTTCCAAAAGTTTCCCGTCAACAAGCCCGTGTCGTCCACGCAGGCCTTTCTGGACGTGAATGGATTTGATTTGCTGCGGAAACTGTTGACGTTGAATCCAAAGCAACGCATTACAGCGGATGATGCTATGCAGCATCCCTACTTCAAAGAGGGCGTCAAACCAAAGACACCGCGGTTCTTTTGTGAATAATGTAGTGCTAGCTAGGGGTGTTTTTAAACTTGGCTTCTTCATCCTCTTTGTACATCGTGTGTGTGCTGACATCCATAGTAGCAAACACATTTTGGAGGATCATGCATTTCACACGATATCATTCCAACCAGGTATTGTTCATGTGGTAAAGTACTACGGTACTGTAGTACTCTAAAAGAGCTCTTGCCAATTTCTTGAAGTGCAACATGTGCCCCATCAGTGAGGTCGATTTTCTCGCGAGATCTCATTGGACTGAACTGGACTCGACTCGACTCCTGTGCATGCTCTTTTCAGTCTGGCTTCATTTCACACCGGTTCGTACCGCGACTCGAACCGTGACACGACCGCTTGCAATCTCGGGGACACACAGCTCACAAAAACAAAAGCAAAACAAAAAAACCTTAGCCAACCAAATCACCATCAAAATGTCATCCTTTGATCTCAAACCCCAAAGCCACATTGGCATCACAACCGTACCAGAGAATATCGTTATGACTGTCCCACGAAATCACGTCCCAGTGCTACTGGAGGGCAGAGTCCCACTACATGTTTGGATGGACACCTATGACAAAGTGTTAGAAAGATATCTTGAAATCACAGGTGCCATCAGTCCTGCAATGTTGATCCCCTGCTTTGTGTGCTGCTTCTTTCCAAAGCTTGTCTCCATTGCCAGGGATAGCCAGAATGCATGGCTGAGGCTTGTCAAGGAACAAGCAGAAGTTTACAGAAAGTATGGCATTCAAGTGACCTTGGCAAAAGAGCTTAGTTCATTTGGTGCTGGAAGCGACAGAGACATGCAAAATGCAACTGTTGGGCTACATTTTGATATTGGCCGAGCACCAGCAATGCAGGAACCAACAAGAGCAACCATGCCTGTTGTAACTGCCATTCCTGTTGCTAGCAGAGCCAACAAAGGACATCTTCCATCCACGTTTATTCCACCCAGTCAACAGGTGGACATCACCTCACAGCTAACCCAACTGGCAGGCCTACACAAGGATGGGGCTATCACTGATGCAGAGTATCAACAGGCCAAAAGACAACTGCTGAATCCAGGACGAGAGAACTACTAGCTAGACAAGTCCTGCCACAGAGAATAGAGAAAAGACATAATCATAATAGAATACTGCAAAATCATATTTTTGGCTTTTGACAACACCTAGAAGCACGGGGGTTAAAAGCAAAGTAGGCAGATTCCTTCAAAACTTCGCCCCCCTCCCTTCCTCAATTTTGGCTCTCCGCCAAAGCTGCCGGCAGCGGATGATTCTTCTCCTGTCAACCCAGCCGGTCATCAGCACCCGTCCTGTACCGGTCAACTGTGTTTGTCACCCTCGCGAGTAGAAAGCCTCTACCATACAGGGGAATTCGACATGGAGCCAACATCACCCTAGTTCCGTCCATCTTTGCCCCTTCCAGTTAAGATTGGACCTTGAGCACCAAGTCTCCCAGCCATCAAGCAAATCAGGAGCTATGATTCAATTTATTCAGGGAACAAAGACCAGAATCAACGGTTCGATCAATGGCAAGCCACTCAATAATTCTCTAATCAGAAGAATCTAGCCAGCCAGCTCGAACACATACATCACAACAAGCAGCTTGTGGCATTGTTGCTACGTTACCTAGCTGGCCACAGAATAGCCAGCACACCGATGTGGTTAAATAGCTAGAATGTTGATTCAGATTCATCCCTAGCTACCGGTACCTCTACCGTATAGCTCTAGCCAGCCTTTTGCAATTGCCACCCCCAAATTCTGGATCTGTTTCCACCTCCGTGTCACGGTCTCGCAATTCGCGTTGGGACCATGTCAGCTCCTTCCAACACGAATGGCGATGTTGAAACTCGGGTTCCCACTTTTCATCATGACACGAACCGTTATTAGTTAGCACTGATAGCAAGCACAACAATAATGCTGCTGTAGTGCTGTGATGCATCAAGAGGCCACGTCTTGGAAGCTGAAAGATGTGCACTTCCACTCAAGTTGCCTTCGCAATGCACGATCAATATATCGATGAAGCTCGTTGTTGTAGCGCATCTATCACGAAAGCATCGTTGACGAGCGAAAGATCGTTTCTCATAAAAACAGGCCAACGAGAAAGGGAAAGAATAGAAAACACAATGGATATCTTGCATCCAACAGAGGAAGCTCTCGCTTTCAAGGAAGTCACTACAAGCCAAATGGTCATTGAGGATGCAGAGCAGAAGCTGGGCGATTTCAACGTAACTCTGAAATCTCTTTCCGTTGAAGCCAAGGAGCTCCATGCTGCAGCAAGAGACTTGGTAAAGGAGGCTTTGTTCAACCATGAAGAGGGCCACAAGAAGGTTACAAAGTCCGAATGGACGGATGAGCAATACGAGCAGAGCCTGCAAAACTTGGCCGCGAGACAAAGCAAACCGTGGGAGACTTTGAAAACCAAGGCTGAAGAAATGCGCGTCAAACTCGAGGGACCGTACAAGTTGGTGGTGGCAAGCAAGAACAGTTGCACCCGTGCGGCTCGTGGCTCATGGTTGGGATTTGCCACTTACGACCAAAAGGAACTTCGAAGGGTCTTGGATCACAAGCTCAAGTTGGAATTTGAGGACGCGGCCTTGGCCTATGCGTCCCTAACAGATTACCCCGATGGGTTGTTGACTCAAGTGGAGCTTCTCTTCAAGAAGGCACAGGTTGTCTTGGGAACGGACAAAAGCGAGGCCAAGTAATCTGCGACCGGTCGCTAACCTGTTTTGACAATTTTTAGTTTTTGTCAGAAGCATTGCACCCATGGATCCATTTTTCTTGAGAGGTTTTGAAGAGTCTTGAAAGTGCCGCCTTCTACTGATCAGTTAGTTGTAAGCCAAATTCATTATTATAGTCACCTGGCTATCCTGTCATGCAAAGGTTTGAACTTGGTTGTGCACCCATGGCAGATTGATTGACAAATCAAGCGTCTTATGCTTAGTCGGCTGCAGTTTTGCCTCCCTGGTCCTTTTGGATTGCCTCGGCTATTGCTTGGGCAATGATGGCAGCAGCAGGATCCTTTGGGTGACACCCATCCGCCGTCATGGAAGGTTGCTCGTAGCCATCTGTACCTCCCAGGGCCGTCCACACATCAATCACTCCAGCAGCACCCGTTTCCACCAAAAGTTTTGGGAGCTCCTTAGGGATGATTTCATTCAGAACTTGCTTGGACATATTCCACACTGGAGGGTCGTCCGGGTGGGTTGGAGGGTTGACCAGTGGAGGTGGAATCACAAGATACACTCGCGGCTTGGAAGGAAGCGATTGGAATATCTTGACCATGTCCACATAGGCGGCATGATATGCTACTCCGCTTGGAGATCCATTGGGAGGACCCCACCAATTGCACCCCTTGGCATCATTGGTACCCAACATTATTGTGATTACATCGGGTTGAGAAGCTATTACTCTTTGGTAGGCTGTGGTATTCCAGTAAGCACAAAGTCCTTCACAGTGCGTCGTATCTTTGGAACAGAGACCATGCTTCAGCATGGTGGTGGATGATACACCATAGCCGGTGACATTAAATCCAGCTCCCAGAGCTCTACTCAATTGGGAAACATACGTCATGTTGGGAGCCGAAGCGCCTCCTCCGGCGGTGATGGAGTCCCCCACACAAGAGACAACGATCATTCGATCGTCGGCCGTTTCGGTAGCTCTGGCGACGTTGTAGCCACTTTGATTCCAACTAGCGCCTTCATCACGATTAGTCAGGCATAAGAATCCCAACCAAAGGGCAGCAGCCGCAATGGATATCTGGATGAACGCAGAGCGCATCATGGTTGTCACGATGAACCATCATCTTGCATATTGCGATTTGTGATGGTGGCGACAGGTTAAAAGGGAGTCCGGCTTCTAATTCTTATGCATTAGTAAGTCGGGTAACCGGTACTCGCATTAATGCTCTATCAAGTGAGTCTCGCCATGCAAGATGCAAACCTCGACTACATAGAGCCACCACCGCGGCCGGTACAGCCTGAACTTACACTCTCGAAGTGCTAGCTAGCTAGTAGCAACAGCTTGAGGAGGTACTTTTGCCCGTCTTCTCGCCCAGTAAGATCATCTCCGAGGGCGCATACACTTTGTCTCGTTTCTTGGCAGGCTCCGATCTTCGTACAAGTTTCTCACGATCCGACTTTCGTACGAGCTCCTCGTCGCGCTCCGCTTTTCGTGCAATCTCCTTGACAATTGTCAGAAAGGTTTCCTCTACATTTTTGGAGCTCTTTGCACTCAACTCGACAGCTGAAAGTCCAAGCTCTGCCGCGAAGTACTTGGCATCCGCTCGTGGGATGGCACGACTGTTGGAAAGATCTGCTTTGTTGCCGACAATGACCACCTGGACCGATTGTGGCGCATGCTCATGGACATCGCGTATCCAAGTTGTGAGGTTTTCAAACGACTCTTTGTCTGTGATATCGTACACCAGCATGATTGCGTCCGCTCGTTTGTAGAAGGTCCGAGTAAGAGCCCTGAATCTTTCCTGGCCGGCCGTGTCGCAAATCTTGACTTTGGCAACTTTTCCTCCCTCCAGCTTTACCGTTCGCATGCAAAAGTCAACTCCAAGGGTGGTGGTCCCTCCCTCGTCAAATGTATTGTGCTGCCGGAGGGGGTTCGACACAGAAGACGTTAGAAATGTCACTACTATCGAACTCGCCCCGTGAGCAAGATAAACCCCTGAGTCTGATAGTCCCATCTTGTTGGTTGCTTCTGTCATCTTACCGCAATTCGCTTCATCAACGCCGATTTTCCCACCGACGAATCCCCAATAAGGGCGACCTGAAACAGGTAGTCAAAGGGCATCTTATTGCGATGATGATCCGTAAATATGGGCAAACCTTGGAACCAAACTTCTTCGACAGTATACCAGGTTTGCAGTTGGCTCCCACAAGAATGCTTCTGTATCTCCCCAGAAACTCGAGGGACTCGTCGGTTGGACACTCTTTGTGCTTTGCAACTCTAGTCCCCCTTTTCAATTGGTTTGGCTCCTGTGAAACCGTTGACTCGCCCTCTCCTGATGAGGGGGGTCCACTAGAGTACCGGTACCGGTAGGGACGAAATTCAGTTCACGCAGTTCGCACCCTTCCTCCCTCCAAATTGATGGTTCAGTCGTTGATACTCTTTGAATGACGTCATCGCAAGATCCTCCACTGAGTCACTTTTTCTCTCTTCTTCGAACAGCAAGGATTCGTGTTGTTTCCAGCTTCGTCCTTTGTTTTGTTGCATTGTAGAATCTCAATCGAATCAACCATATCGGTATGGTCGATGAATAACACAAGCAAAGCAACATGACTTCTTCCCGCCTTCGGATCCTGTTTGTGCTGTTGCTGTCGACTTTTCGAGCCACAAACTCTTTTTCTTCTTGGCATACTTCACGGCAATCTGCGTCGCTCCCTGATACAGCACTGCATGCCACTTTCACCCGCCGAGGGACTCTTGCAAACATTATTGCTTTGGGTGTAGCTTCTTCCCTTGTTCAGGTACCAGTTGCTGTCGCCGAAACCATTGGAAAAGCAGACGATTGCAATGAAAGCTATTGTTTGGGAGTGTGGGATGGGCTTTTTGCCGATTGCCCACACAATGGAAATGCCGGCCTGCCTGGAGCTTCCTACTTGCTCAAATCTGGTGCTGGATGCGCCTCGTCTCAAGATGATACCCCTGGGATTTTCGCAGAGCCGTGAGTAAGATTTAATTGGTGCTGGTTCCTGCAGTCTCCAGTTCCAATGCGACGTTTAGCACTCATGACGCTCTTCCTCCTTCAAAACTTTCGCAACCAAATACCACAATATCGCAACAGTTGGGACTACTCGGAGGCACCTAACAATTCGCTCGATTGGGAAGATCAAATGAGGATATTGGTTCCAGCCATTCAATTAGTGAGTGCCCGTCGTGGCGACAAGGTGGACATCGAGCTGAAGGAAGGTCGCTATCTCCGGGTTCTTTTCACGGACAAAGCATCAGGAGAACCATCGATCGGAGAGTTCTACTTCACACCCAATGATACTACAGTGCAGTACCGAGTTGGGTCAGTTGGTGATCGGTTCCAAAGTAGCTTGGCTTCCCTGCGCAACATGGAACGTTGCGAATTGATCCGAAAAGAACTGCGCTACCTCAAGATTCCAGTGCTTCGGAATCGATCGAGGTCGCTATTCTTTGGTGAGTCAGAGCTGGATACGTTTGGTCCTGGATCGGCCATGCTGGGACCACCCGCTGAGATGACCACGGGAGAGCTAGAAGGGAGGGGATCAGACAATGTGGATCCCAAGATGAAGATTGATTTTGTGCAAAAGTTCCCACTGGCGACAAAGTGAAAGACCGCTACGTTATGTGGGTCTACCGGCATCGGTATATATGTACTCTTGGAATTGAACAAATCGCTTTCGTGTGTAGATTTTTAGACAAAACTAAGAATAGGTGCAGATCTGTTCCGTGCTTCGCTTTTTTTCTATGCGGCGCTTGGAATAAGGTTGGTTCTCGCGTGCTCCACTTCAGGTTGCCGACCAATGACTCGACGTGTCGGGGAGTGTTGTTTGAGGCTTCCCGCGTCGACGTTTTCGCGCCTTTGAATTGTGCTTCGTCGAACTGGAGACCCTTCGTTGTCCATACTGATACTTCGCCTGGGTGCTCTTCGAGTCGACACGTTCTCCATATTGGATTCTTGCTGAGGACTGTTCGTGTTCTTTCGCCTTTCAACGGTGCGTCGTCGAACTGGAGACCCATCGTTGTCCATACTGTTACATCGCCGGGGTGATCTTCGAGACGAAAGACTTCCCGTCTTGGATTCTTGTTTGGTACTATCGGTTTTCTTGCACCCTTCACTCTTGCACACCGGAGACTCGACAGAATCTAAAGTATTGCTTCGGCGGGGAACACGTCGAGGTGATTGAGACTGTCGTTTGGGACTCTTGGCCTTCTTACTTCCCTCGCATATTCGCCGCACGGGAGACACATCATTGTCCGTGCTGATGCATCTACGAACAGGTCGTCGAGATGAAAGGTTGCTCATCGGAGCTTTTTTGTGTTCACTTCGTCTGAGATCACTGTCATCCACGCTCTTGAAGCGCCGCAACTTGGTCTTTGAAGTACGAGTTGATTCCGATAAACCGACCTTGGACAGGATGCTCAACCTCGGTTCAAAACCACCAAACATACCGTGCCCTTTAAGAGGTTTCTCATCAATACCTTTGCCCAACTGGAGCGCATTGTGGCGTCTCTGCATCCTGTGTCCAGCTTGCGAGCCGACATCTTCGGAATGGTCTGAAAGGGATGGCAACGCACCTTCCTCGATACCCTGGAGGTTGTTCAGACAAGACTGCAGTGTTGCTTTCCATAAACGATCAGAGCGGTCTCCTGCATTGGACCACCCACACTTGATGTGCACTACAAAGCTCTTCTTCAAATTGCCGTCTTCATCAAAGCTACGTTTGAGGGTTCCAGGAATCGCATCATGGTTGTGCCCATAAAGGCCGCCTCCATAGCTGATATCTTTCACGTCTTGATCTCTCTGGAGAGAGTTCAAAAGGCTGATGGTCGAGTGCTTGGCTGTACCCTCGTTCACTTCCACTGTGGCTCGAAAGCTGACACAGTTGGTATAGCTGCAGGTATTATCGATTGAGCTCTCATACTCGTTCATGACTTTCTGTTTCACGGCTTGCCAAACTGAAAAGTCGCTGGAGCACAGGGAGTCAATGAAATCGATTCTTTTCCATGAACGATCATCCTGGATCAACAATGCCTTCACTTTCGGGAGCAAAGAGTGGTAAGATGTTGCCATGAGGAGATCTTCGACTTCCAGCTTCACAATGTTTGCGTCTTGCTTCACATCCTTCAACTTGTCAGCAACAAAGTTTCGACTAACAAGGTCAGAACAGCAGAAGATGTTCATTTCTCCCTCTGGCTTATTCCGTGACTGTCTCTTCTGGGGTTGCTGTAGCAGCTGCTGTGATTTGCGTCCGAATGACAATCTTGGCATGATGGTTCAGCGCTTAGCCTTTGAAACAACAGTTAATTAATTGGAAGCAACATTGTGAGTTGAGATGTTGGTGTCACTCAATTGAAGGTTTCAAGGACGTTGGTCGCAACTATTTACTTACAATATCTTGAATCGTATGGTGGTTACTAGTATGCGGTACAAATTTTTCGTGTTTGAGTTTGTTTTTGTGAGCTCTTCCGTGGAAAAATGAAGGATCTCCTAACTAAGCTGGCTGAGTAGGATTCGATTCATCGAAAAGCGAAGGCAACTCGTCACTCGCCACTGTACATGGACCGGAGGGGCTCCAATGCTGTGAAGAACCTCCAATGCTGACTAAAGGGTGGGATAGCTAGCTATCGGCTAGCTAGCCATCGGCTAGCTAGCTAGCCAGCTCCAAGCTGCTTTATGGATCATGCTGGCATTCACTTCTTACGGTACCGTATCTGCGAGACGACCAACACTTAAAAGACGTATTCCCCTGTAGTTCTAGGATTCGCATGGTTTTAAGTGGCTGCGTGGTGGCATTCTTTGAGCCTGTGACTGCTGGCATTGGACGTGTCCTCATTTAACACATGGTTGTCCCAGCCAATCTATGGGGGGAACTGACTCGCCACTCGGTTGCCAGAATACAGAATACAGTACTATTTCATGACTAACACCTCTGGAGACTACCGGTAGCCTGCCGTACCGGTACCAATAGGGCATAGCACACAAAAGCCAACAAGGTAGTTTTTCAGGGTGATTGAATTCATCGTTCGATTTTGGATGGCGACAACTCGCCACAGCAAGCAGTTGGATCCGATTCCTTGCATCCATCAGGCCTTAGGAACTCTGCAGGACGATTTGACCTCTCCGGGCTCCGGAGTTACCCCAACTCGTCCTAATTGTAGTATGTGGGCTTGTGGGCTTTGATATCACCACACCGTCACACGAGCCGCCGAATACCGATATTCTTTGTGGGCTAACACCACTCAGTGGGACACATCACATTTTGGGTCAGCCTGGGTTCGTGCTACTAGACTAATACTCCTCTTGCGCAGCATCATAAGGTGTAGGTAGTTGGCAAGTTGCGCAAACAAATTGGCCCCGACATGTGGTGATTTCGTACTCATTTTCGTGCATGCCAAAGCCATTGGGCGGTTCGCACGATAGGTCCGGTGACTTGGTTGTTCGTACAAATAGAATAGATTCTAATCCAAAATTGCTTGGGGCGATCAAAACTGAAGTGCATCTTGAGTGCATTTCTCCTTAGCTCATGCATTCCAAGTTGCAAGTGTGCCATAGTTATCCACACACCCCAAAGTCTCTTACCAAACAAAATTGCGCAGTTTGCACCGTTCCTGTCCTGTTTGCCATAGTCGCTGACGATGCCGCGCAGCCACAGAAATTGGTTCATTTAATTGTGCTTGTTCATGGAGGAAAGTCTGACTGCAGTGTTGCTTCTTCTGAAGATGGCTTTTGTTGCGAGGGCATTTCTGTGTAATGAATGAGTGGGAGTGCTCGGTGCTTCTTGTGGATGAATGAGCAGGATAGTCCTCTGGGTACAGTCGTACCTGGTGGTACCTGTACCAGCACACGAGTACGTGTACCAGTGTTTTTTGATGCCGAAAGACCTCATCAGTGACTGGACCAGTCCTGGATAAGAACTCCAACCCAAGCGCCCAACAGTAACACCGCGCCCTTTGATTTTGGATTGCGAGTTTGCGCCACAGCCACAAAGCAGTTCCTTTCCATTGAGGTCCATCACCACAACCACCTTCATCGGTACTGTATGTTGTCGCTGCGGTCCTTTCGGGCTCGGGGTGCTCGTCTCATCATCTGGCTCGGTGCCTTGACACCGTGTTTGCGCAGCAGAATTTTTGGAACTAACTGTTTTCTTTCTGTTTCTCCGTGTACCCTTACCAGTTGATATACCCAAGATGTTTCTTTCAGCTGCTCGTGTTGCCGTAACGCGCACCGTACCTCGTGCAGTACGATCTTTGGGATCCTCTTCAAACTTTGCCGCCTTGAGGCAGAGGGCTCCTGCAGTCTACACATTGCGACACTTCTCTTCTCCACCGGTGTGTGTTGCCTTATCAAACTTTGAGTTCCTTTGAGGTCTCTAGCGTGTATCCCAGCTCTCATCATATCGAATGCTTTCTGTTGTCTTCGCTTATGCTTTCTCAGGCCTTCCTTAATGAGAGCGAAGTCGTTGAACGTATCATGGGGGTTGTCAAAAATTTTGATCAAGTGGATCCTAGCAAGGTAACCGCCGAGACCAAATTCGCTGATGACTTGGGACTTGATTCCTTGGATATTGTGGAAGTCGTCATGGCCATCGAGGACGAATTTGCCATTGAAATTCCAGACACTGAAGCGGATGCCATTGCCAGCATTGGTGATGCTGCCGAGTACATTTCAAAGCACCCCATGGCCAAATAATAGTTGTTCCCGTTCTGCTCTGTTTTTGTTTACATTCAGTGAACGGCCGGTGCAATTTACCGTGCGAGTGTTGTCCACGAAGCGAATAGCCACACAATTCACCTCCATGGATCAGGGGTTGGCTGTTGGCATACTAATTAACAACTAACTACCTGGTACCGGTATCTGAAACGGTGGCAGACATCAGCATACATTTACTACAGCAAGCTACAAGTATTTTTTGTATTTGAACAGCGCTTAAGCTGCGCTTGGGACCTCCATCCGCGTATAGATTCCCTTGGACCAGTCATATCGAACGTCTTTATTGGACCAATCATAGTCCGGGATATCCGAATGACATTGGTATCCATCACTCCTGGTGCCGTGAAGCTTTTCCGAAGCGGATCTCTTGGCTTTTTCATGGTATCTACTATTAGATCCATTACTCTTGGTTCGCCGAATCGTTTCAGAACTAGGCCTCTGCTCCCTTCTGTGTTCCGGTTGTTTGACAGATTCCTCGTCGTAAGCTTCGTCGCTCGCCTCGTCACCAAGCCCCATGTTCTTGTATCGCCGCATTCGAATGCATGCGGGGTGAGTCGTATCTGTCCATTGAGCGTTTACACGGTCTCGATTGCGGTCTTCTGCACTTTGCAAGCGGCGCGTCCTAATTGGTGAAGGTGTCGAGGACGAACGAACAAACCTTTTCGGTGAAAGCCCAGCAGCTTGACTAATCTGGTCCTTGTCATCCCTCTTTACATCCTTCATGTCGCTCAAGTAATGACCCATGCTCTTTGCCCGCTGAAGCTTCGTCTTTGCGGACGGCCTCGGAATTGCAGAAACTTTGCGCCCGGATCTTCGTGGAGTCGAGGCTTCCAATCTAAGGTCTGGATCCTTAGGTGATATATTGATGTTTGAATCGAGTGCTTGACCCAATCCCATGCTTCTAGTTCGACGCACCCTCGTCGGTTTCGGTGAGATTCGAATTGGCGAGCGAGATCGCGAGGATTGGCTCCCGCTGCCCCATCTGGCGTTCGATGTTGGGATTGCCTCGTCATCTGGTTCAGTAATATGTTCGCCTGGTAGGCTGTTGCTCTGGCTTCGTTGCGCGCGTGAGCCTATTAGGCCGCCGCTATTGCTAAGCCGCATTCCTTTTGCGGTAGTGCCCTGGCCCACGGCGCACTTGTGAAAGCCTTCATGCATTGAACGACTCGAAAAACCATTGGCGCAGAAGTTGGATAGAGAGGGATCATTGGCCTTGCCCTTTGGCATGGACTCGCAACCAAGGATGAGACTCGACACTAACGCACGAGCCGCTGATTCATCTAAGCTCTTGGTTGGTCGAACTCCACATTGTACTGCTTGGCGCCTTTGCATCCTTCGTGGGCCGCTGGGGACGAGATGCGTGTAACCTTCCTTGACAATAGCTGTTCCGTCTAGCTTCATCACGCAAGACCTGATAGTGTCTTCCCACATCTGGTCGCTCCTTTCCTCTTCAGTACTGGGCCATCCGCACTTGACAGTCACCACAGTGCTATCCTTAAGCACGCAATCTTCATCAAAAAGTCGGTTTAGGGCTTCTGGTATGCTTGCATTTCTGATACCAAAGAGTGCCCCGCCAAAGTCAATTCCTTGAATATCCTTATCTTCCAGGAATCGGTTGAACAAGGCAACTACTGAGTTCTTGGCTGAACCTTCATTCAATTCCACATTGGCCTGGATTGTGATACAGTTGGTGTACTTGCTGGCATCATCAATGGACATATCATATTCACGCATGAGTTCCTTCTTGATGCCTTCCCACCATGAGAACTCACAGGAAGGAAAAGAGTCGATGAAGTCAATACGCTTCCAAGGGCGGTTTTCCCCGACCAACAGGGCCTTTACGAACTGAATCAAGGAGCTGTGCTCCTTGGCAATGATGAGATCTTCTACTTCCAGTTTGACAATATCTCTGTTGTTCTTTACTTCCTGCAACTTCTCCAGGATGAAGTCTCGGCTAACAAGACCAGAAGAGCAGAAAATGTTCATTTCGTCCTCTTCATAGCCTCGAGACTTCTTCTTGCGCCCCTTTCGCCCAAAAGAAATCCTTGACCTCCCTTTTGTGCCCAGCATCTTCTTGGCACTAGAGCAAGCAGGAAGAAACGATTAGGTTCGCACAGTTCACGGTGGAACGAGTCTTCACCTCGCACTAGAAAAACTTACGAAGACTCTTGTCGCTTTGGTCGTTGCGGCATGGTCTCAGGTTGCCTTTTTGTGTATAGTTGCTGTTTTGTGCGCCGATAGCTACCCAAACCAAAGTTGTGAGCTCCGTCGCTCCAACTTGAATGAACAGTCGATCTTTTCGTACTTTTTACTGTACCGGACCAAAATTCGCATCTGTGGACACTGGAGAAATCGAACGGGCAAGCAAATCTTCGTGGAAACCCACGACCATAATCGTTGGTCACTGGGCAGTGGTCGAGCCAAGCCATGCCCTCCTGCTACTGTGTCCATCCTAATTCCACTGAAGCAACCACAGTAAAGAAGGCGATGCTAGCTAGCTAGCTAGCTAGCTAGCTAGCTAGCCATAGCCTTGGACCTGTACCTGGTAGTTACCTGCTTGGTGCCGCTGTGGTTGCTGAACGGATTTCTCCAACCATAAAAGTACTCGCTCCTGCCAGTTCAGCTGGAGATACCAGTAATATAATTATCAGCTGAGACCTGCATCAGTCTGGTACCACGAGCACAGGACCGGACCGAATGACTTGTCCAGCAAATCAGTTTGGAGCTTGAGGTAGATTGCTCCATTAGCCGTGAAACCTTCTTGTCGATTGCCAATTATGACAGATCCTGTAAACCATCACTTCCTCAGAAGTTGAAGATCGCCCAAAGAACCATTGGGATGATATCGGAAAAGCGCTTGTTTCTTACTAACGCGACTCTCCCGACCAACCTGGAGCGACAATGTTGAGCGTTCCCACCACCAGGATGTAAAGAAGCGATCCAAAGACTATCAGCAGAAAAACTACACCTCCTGTGGTTGATTTGGGCCTAGCAGATAGCTCGTGCAAGTCCTGGCTAGAGTGAGGTAGCCAGGATAGAACGACAATGGGACTCAGTTGCAAAAGTGAGGTCAGGACAGAGAGCTTGAAGAAGCCCGAAAGTTCACCTGGGAGATGCAGGAAGAAGCGATGTGTGAGCGGCATACTGCCATGATGGGCGTCGTGACACACAAATTCCTGCATTTGTTACCTGCTTCTAGTGTCTCCTTGCTCACATCCCAAATACCAAGCAGTGGGGTGCTAATGGTGGGGCCGAGCAGGATGGCGGCATTGGAAAAAGTCGTAAAAAGAGCGTACGAAGCACCTTCACTGCCTTCTGGACATAGGGCGACCATCATAATTGTGACGGGCTTGCCAGTGCAGTTCAAAGAAGAAAAGTTTGAGCGAGGGTTGTTGTGATGGCAAGGGAGCCATTGCGCCGAGTTAAGGCACATGTCTGTCGTACCAGAAACTGAACACCAGTGACAAATTCGGCCAAGGCTTCGTCCCCTAATGCAAAGAGGAAAGGGCTCAACCCAAAGGTTTGACCACAAATCAAGAGAAGCTGCAGGCCTGAGAATACCCCATTGAGCAAGATACAAACTTGATAGACTCTTCTCCAGCTAACCCGCAAGAACCATTGCTTGTACGCCATTGTACCCAGGTAGAGCAGCACGTAAGAAGCAATCAAGAGGTAGTTGATCTGAGATTCTGAAAAGAACAGCACCGACTTTAGAAACTGCCTCCAGGCACCATTTCCAACTTGGAGTAGATTGTAGATATACACCTGTTGGATTGTTGCAAAGCAGAGAGCAAGTAGTGTAGAGAGTGCATCAGAGTTGGCGTTTGACAAGCTGTTTGCACATGCCCGCACAACACCCAAAACTTACAAACGCCATTGGTTGCCACACAGATCGGGACTGAACAGTATTCCAAATATCTTGTATTCGATGCCGAACGCTCTTTACCTCAATCACCTTTTTCTCTCGCAAGCAAAGAATGAGTGGGAGGACAATCATGGGTGACGCTGCCAGTGCCATAACAACACTCCTTGGCCCGTAGCGCGAATACAGCACCGTCGAGCAAGGAGCTGCCACCATCATTCCAAAGAATCGACAAGCATAGCAAGAGGATTGGAGATTTCCCTTGATGGGATCTGGCTCGATACGTGCCTTTTCTGCCTACGAGCAAGCATGCAAGCAAACAAAGGAAATGGTGAGAAGAAGAGAAAAGGTCAGAGAGCTTGGAATAGGCACTAGTATAGTATCACTGAGCTCGCTTTCTGGTGCTCTCACCACTAAAGAATCCCCCATGACATCTGCTAACCAGAGTCCAACTCCCAGTAGAAAGAACAGGACACTGAGGTATTCAATGGACGGTGCATCGGATGGTGGAAGAGGTGTGTGGCGGTGAAGGTCAGTGCTATCGTTGTCGTCATCATATTCCATGGTCAAATCGGCCGTGCCCAGCAGGAGCATCATGGTGCACGAAACCAACACCCATCCCATCCACATGTAGGGTTTTCGTCTGGCGCCCAGAATGGGGACACTGTCACTCCAAAATCCATAGAGGATCTTGACGGCGGCTGGGAATTGAAAGATGACGGGGATTGTCATTTGAGCCGCTTCCGTCGCTCCGAGATCCAAGGGATACACATTCAGCAGGGGTCCACTCAACCCTTGGACAATGCCAACGACCAAGTAGCAGGCAGGAACGGCCAAGTTCTCGAGACGAAGTAGTTGAACTTCGCGGGGAATAATTAGAATGTCACTGTCGTCATCCTTTTTGGTAGAATTCGAGTTGCCAGCACTTGGTACCAGAGGACGAAGCTCCTCCTTGTTGATTATCCCCACGCCTCCTTCGTCTTGATACAGGTCACTCTGGTGGATCATCGTCTCATGTTACTGTACCAGACGGGTTCACTGACGGTGTGCTTCAGCTTTTGGTGGCATGCGGCATGAGGTTTCACCAACCTTCGCCAATGTGCGTCTTTCTATTGAGATTTTTGTGAACAAAGGCCCCCGCTTTTCGTTGCTGAGGCCCCCCTCTACTAGTAAACCTTACAGGCCCCCCAAACCAAAAGGTGGAGGTACTTGGGAAGTGCATGAGTGCAACTGGGAACAGCAAGCTTTTAGTGCAGAAATAAATTTCTCCCGACATGCAATGTGATGACTCTGGGCATATAAAAGCTTTGTCCTTTACGGGAAACAATAAGCTAGATGGAACCATTCCACCAGAGCTATCCCTGTTGAGTGCAGATTTGGAGCTTCTGGAATTGCCAGGGAACTTGGAATTGAAAGGGCAGATCCCAACGGAAATTGGTTTGCTAACAAAGCTGAGTGTGTTGCGTTTTTATGTTACAGAACTTTCAGGAACAATTCCTACAGAGCTGGGTCTCCTGTCAGACTTGAGGTTGCTTCATCTGGGGGGTGCTGGAATATGCGGAACTGTTCCCACAGAACTTGGCAATTTAGATTGCCTAATGAGCTTAGGATTCTTTGTCATGACCCAGCTGACAGGTACGCTTCTACTGCATGTTGCAACTTGACATGCATTTGCCATCGCTAACATGATGGACTCCAAACTGTTACCAGGCACAGTCCCTTCAGAATTATTCAAACTAAGAAACTTGACATTTTTTAGAGTGTATGATTGCCCTCGACTAGCCTCGGAGAAATTTCTGCCCAAAGTTGTTGAAAGCCTGTCCCAACTTGAGGTTCTCATGCTATCCAACATGGCTGATGATGCCAATGCCCGAATACCCAGTAAGACATCCCTTGTTGCATATATCAGAAAAGGCATCTAGATTTTACTAATCTCTGTACACCAAGCTGAAATTGCAAGGTTGTCCAATCTTACAGCGTTGTACCTGGATGGGTGGAACAGAGGGTCGATTCCAAGCCAACTTGGGCAATTGACGCAGCTGGTAAGTAAAGCTGTCAGATAGATTGGTGCTCTAGCTGGTGACATGCTTACAGTTCTTTGCCACCCTTGATCGTTTTTTCATAGACTTCTCTAACTCTACAGGAGAATTCTCTTTCAGGACACCTTCCACCAGCATTATCAAAGCTAAGAAGTAAGTGCTCTAGTCAGGGATGTTTTGACAGAAAGGTTAGCTCAGATCACAATATTCTTTTTATGCAGACTTGACAAAGCTAGACATGAGTTCCAACCAGCTAGAGGACAAGCTCCCGTGAGGGTTGTTTTCAAGCTTGATTGCATTGGCACCATTCCAAGTGAGATTGGTCTCATGTCGAACCTTCTGAGTTTACAATTGCATGACACAGGCTTGTCTGGAACTCTACCCACAGAGCTCCTTGCCTTGACCAAGTTGACAACCCAGTTGTTGACAACACATCCTTGTCTGGCAGCATCCCTAATGAGCTGTGCGGCATGATGCGTGGTTATGAAAGGGAATGTCATGAAGCTCATGGCTGTACTGGCAAAGTGACCAACACGAATGTGTGCCAAGGCACCTTTGTGGATGCAACTGTGATCCATGCTGATGAATGCAATGCTAGAGACAAGATTAATTGACCAAGTCCAAGAGGAGGGCACATTGGAATGTTTGGCATTTGGTATAACTGTAAATAGCTACTTCCGAGATCCTAGCTGAGCTTGACCCATGAGATCCGCATTGGTCCCGCAAATGCCCAAATCTAATCAGGGCAATCTACAGTGCCAGCGTGCCAGCCTGCAAAATTATGATAACAATAATGGCAGGTTTCCTCCTCCGTAATACCGTCCCATATATTACAGCTGCACAGGATCATGGCCAGTCTACGTACAATAGCAAGCAACAGTAGAATACATTTCCTGTAGAAGCTGGAATAAGAGGCATGCCTCCGACAGGTTTGTCTCCACGAACGAGGATAAAGTTGCAGGGAGAAGTAGACTACTGTTGGTAATCATACACGAAATCCAACGTGGTATAGTGCCACAGAGCCCAAATTGGATAACAAAACCCACGTGCAACGCCATGGCTGCATAGACAAAACCAATAGGAAAACGCAAGTGGGCACTACACTGACTAGGCTGGAAGTACTAAATCCTGAAGCTCATCACTGCAGATATTTTCACGCGTGATTGATTGTTGTTTGTTTCATTGTTTGGCAGTGGAAAATCATGTTGGGATGTCACATTCGATAATCTCTTGGTGAACCTTTCCTTCCATGAACAAAGGCGGCCCTTTGCTATCCGTCACACTGCACCTCTCCATTCGAAGTGTAGGGACCAATACCGCACGTTCATTTGCACACTGGCTACTTGACGCAGCATTGCTGCCGGATGGATTTGTGGCTGTCTCTTCTTGATCTTGATCTTCCTCCTCTACTGGTCCCTGAGCATGAATGGTGGGCGTGGTGGGATCATCTGTATGAGAAATACTGCAATCTTGCAAGCTGATGGTTGCCCCTTGATAGACCATTACGGCTCTGACTCGACAATGTCTCATGACCACATGTTCCAACTCCATGGTGGAGACACCCCGGCCACAAATCCCATGAACCCCCACATGTTCGAGTGACGAGTGTTTTACCGTCACATGGACCGAGTTGAAGCAGGCTACCGCGGTTCGAGCCACATGATGAATCTGACAGTGGTCCACCAGTACGTGACATTTGTGTTTGGCCCATACGGCAAAACCACCCTGGGAGGAAATGTCACACTGCCGTAACACCACTTGACAGGATCCCATACAAAAGACAGCGGCGCCAATTTCTCGTGGATCCTCATGTGCCTTGGTGTGACGCAGCGTTACGCTGTGGAGTGTCAATCGTCGTGGATGATTGCGCTTGTCTCCGTCAATTTGAAAGAGCGAATGGACGCGCCCGTCAATGCGACCACCCTGAATGGTCAGCTGATCCCGTCCCTTTAATCGAATGGCTCCTCGAGTCAGAGTGACTTGTCGGCCCATCAAATCCAGAGGCTCGCTGGCATCTATGCAAGCTCGTATTTGTTTCAAAAAGTCTTCTTCGGCCAATTCCTCCAGGTTGTTGTCGTCGTTGTCGGCACTATCATGATGTAAATTTTCTTCACTACTATTATTTTGTCTCGAGGAGTCTGCTTCGGGCATTGCGGATTGATTCCACAAGCACACAGCAAGCCTGCTGTTCTTTTCCTTTCCTCTGTGTTTTCTCTTCCACTTCTGTTACCTACAGTACCGGTACTTGTGATGACTGATCGGTTTGGACAACATGTACAGTCGTACGGTACGACTGTATGTCTCTTGTTTCTTGGCCGCTTGCTACCACCGGTACTTTTCCGCAACTGCTCGTCGTCTCTTGCTCTTGCAGCTTGTTTAGCCTTATCCCTCATTTGTTAGAGCCAGGCGAGTTCGTCACATAACATGTGGGGTCTCACTGTGACGTCATATGAGAATAAAAAGGATTTAACACAGTCGCCTAAATAATATTTCTTCACTCCCTCCAACCAACGACACCATTGATGACCGAAAGTGGGTCCTCGTGCTGCCAATACTGTACGGTACAGTGAGAAACACTTTTTTCAGCCATTCCCTGTTGCGCTGGTTAGCATGATCATAACACTTGCGAAGGATCAATCACCAGCAGCAGCAGAAGCACCGCACTAGCTAGCATCCTCTTCTTCTTCGACCTTCCATCCCTCCTAACAGTAGCAATCCGCAAGACTAACTAGCTAGCTAGTTTGTTACAAGTCGAGAAATCACACAGATACCCCCGTCACAACCAACTTCTACCATATTATACCACAGTGAGAAACCATGGGTTTCTTTGCAAGACGCATCCAACAGACGTGTTTACGTCCCAGCTTTTCGCTGAGAGTACAGATGATTCTCAGTTTTGGAATCACTGCCGCCATTGCCATTATGGCCTTTGTGTTGGTGGGACTTTATACCACCGTCAACAGTGGAGACAGTGTCCGAGTGGAAGCCACTAAGGTGCTGACCGAAGGAATCCAATACAGTTTGGGACGATCCGCACAATACGTGGCCGAAACCATGGCCAAAAAGTTTCATAATATTGGAGGTACGTACCACACTACTATTTATTCCCTTGGGGCCAAAAAGTCAACAGAAAATCACAGCCATGTGTTTGGTGGGGATGTTCTGGATTGGAGGCTTGGTGGAGCTCCTGCCTATCTTGTCAGGCTGAACACGCTGGTATCTCCACGGGTGAAAGGTAGCCCCATAGTGTGTTGCAAATTCTCACAATACAATTGTTCCTCTCGATACCCTATCTACCTAGGTGCTGGCAGTTTAGTGGCTCAGGTCACCAAGGATCGATTTGTGGGCTACCCAAGCATGCGGGGCTGGGAAGAAGATAATTACGTCCCCTTTCAAGATGTGTATACCAAGCTACGGTTTTATCCCATTGATGCAGAACCGTTACCACTGGATTGGAATCTGCCGGGAAACATCAATCCCCAAAACGTAGAAGAACACATGCCGGGGAGAAAGCTGTCGTGGTATCCCCGGTATGCCAATGTCAGTAGTGTCGCGGGATATTTCATGCAAGGCACGTGTGATCCACAACGAACAGACCCCACCGACATTGCCTACTACGAGGGTTGTACCGACGCCAACAACGATCTGATAACGGGAGGAGTGGTGCAACCCACAGAAACAAACTACCATTTAGCCAACAAGGGCAAAGACATTGTCTGGATGTTGAAAGCACTTTATGAGAGTCATTTCGATGTCCGAACGGTGGGAGTCTATTTTGGTGAGTCGAAGTGTAGTTGTGTCGAGTCGAGTCGAGTCGAGTCGAGTCTAGCAACACTAGCTGGCAGAGGCGACGATAAACTTTCTTGGCAGACAACAAACCTAACTCCTTTCACTTCTCTTGTGTGAAACACAAACAGCCAATGACGGAGCTGGGAGTACCATGCGGTATCCGGGGAATGCCTACAATGGAGTAAGCAACTACAACTCGACAGGATGCCAATGGATGGAACAAATCCATCCCAGGACAAATAAAAGCATTGCGACTCCACGACAAATCAGACGATGCCACGATGCAGGCACAGAAGCCACCATGCGAGAATACAATCCACTTGAGCGAAAGTGGTGTCGGGATATGGTAGAAAGAGATATTGCGGTGTTCGAAGGACGAGAAGCACCCGAAGAAGCCAAAATACAATCCACAGGCCCGTACAAATCAGCGAGTGCGTTTAGTGGTGAGAATGTCTGGGTCATGACCTTTGGAGAGGCGGTGTTTGATATTCGCACCGACGAATTCATCGCATGTACCTTGGTCGACGCATCAGTCTCCCTGCTCTATGACATGCTAAAACAAACCACCAGTATTGGCAATACCACAAAATCGGCCCTCATTCGTTATAATGAACAAGGAACCGTCATTGTCGCCAATGATTGGGACCCGAGCACGCAAAATGATACCGTAGCCATTACACATCCAAGCCTCAACATGGGTATCGACGACGCAAAATACAACGAAATCCGGTCTTTGCAAAACTACGATGAAGTTTGGGATCCAGACGTACTGGTGGCCAAGTACCGTGAAACCATCTTGGAAACGGACACAAAAGTTATCATGACGCACCCAGTTCCCAGCATTCCGTCGGAGTACGATCCATCGTATTACCCCGTGTACTTTGTCATCATTACCATGGAGAAGTCAGAGGCGTATGGAGTCCTATTGGAAATGGACCGTGTGATCGCAAGGGATACTCAAGCCAGTAGCGAAAACGTTTTGATCGTGGGGGGTGCAGGATTTGGAGTGATTCTCCTCTTTGTGGGTGTCATCAGTGGATCCTTGACCAAACCCCTTCGATGGATACAGAAAGTTTCGGGCATGGTTGTGGACAGTTGTGGTGAAAGCGATATGGGAACGAATTTTGTGGACAGGCTTAACCCAAAGGAGGCTCAACCGTTATGGAGCCCCAACACGGAGGTGACCCTCCTGTTAGCTGAGTTTTTGAAGATGATTCATCAATTCTCGGGAGTGGGCGCCACGGACGTGGCTGGAGGCCAGGTCAACGAGGTGAAAAATCGCTTTGAATGGAGAAAAATGTACGAAGCTTCCGACCTTTATCCTTGGGGCGGTGAAGAAGCGACGAAGAATGCGGATGGCATTCCTTCAGTTCTCAAAATCCAGGGGACTGATACCTTTGAGGACGAGCTGACTACGGATTCGACACTACGCACAACGGATCAGTCCATTCTATCAATGTTCTCTTCCTCCGTAGCTAATTCGCAATATGGCCCTGTCGTTGAGGCTGCCATGGCGCGGACTACTTCTGTTCTGCAGTCTGTCAAAGAATATGCGGTCATTGCGGGGGCGAAGGCTGGTATCCTTAATCCACCAGAGGAAGAAAAGATAGACGGGCCACCCAAAGTGAACCTGGGAGAGAATATCATCCAGCAGAAGGCCCTGACGGATTACTTTGAGGGCGTTGAGGATGCTGAAAACTCTGGTCTGTTTTGGTGGATGACTTTCTTCATCGGAACTCCAATTGTCATTGCAGCGATCATGATTGCAGTAACAGTGGCTAGGGACTCTAGTCTTTACATTCCAAACTGGCTTGCTATTGTGGAGGAGAGGAGCAAAGATATAGAGTTGCAGGCGCTCATCACGGCTACCAATATTCGAGCCGCCTACGTAAGTTCGCTCAAGCGCACTCCATTCCACTTCATGAGATTAAATTGCTGAAGCTCACTATTTCTGTGACAGGGCGAAGAGGTGATGCACCGCTTTGCTCGTGACTTGCATGTTTACACACGTCTGGCTGGATGGCTGTTCTTTGACGGAATTCGCCGAACAGATTTCATGGCGTTTCAGACGAGTGGATCAGAACAATGCAAAAATTACAATGCAACAAACAAGGAGGTTTGCCCGTTCCTTGAAAATGAAACGCTTACACCTTGCCCGTGCGGTTGGGACGACCCGTGGGGTGCGAACTGCACCGATGTCAGCAATTTCACTCACCCACGTTACTTGATGCATCGGTGGTATGAAGGGCTCTCGACCGATGCCGACTCCGTCGGCGACAGATTCAACATAACTTGGCCCGGACTCTACAATTTGCCTAGCACTACGGACTGGTGGAATGACACAAACTTGATGCCTGGGTCATCCAAGGGGGAGATGGCAGCAGGATACGAGACGACATACGACCGAGTTCGGGTCGGCTCAGCCCTATCCGTTGCTGATTTCCCAATTTACAATTATTTTCCTGGAAAAGGCGAGACAGGAATGATGGGAACCTACGTTGGGTTTGAAGCCGATGGGATGTTTACTGGATTCTCTGGTTGCGAGACGTATGCTGGTCTGGCTTGGTGGCAATCCACTGAAGACAATGGCGGTTTTAAAGTGAATGGTACGCTTTGCCCCAATGGTAAATTCGGGTTTGATGCTCGTTGTCGAGGGTGGTACGGAGCGAGCAAGCAACAAGGGGGGGACTTCCACATAACGCCTCCGTATTTGTTCGCGTCTTCTAATGTCATTGGAATGAGTGCTGGAGCTGCGTTGATCGATCCTCGGACGGGGACCCTCGTTGGTGTGACTTTGATTGATTTCAGTCCTAGTGCTTTCGTGGATGCAATTAACGAAAACGGGACTACCATTGGAGCAGGGAACAGCGGTTTTCCGATCTTGATTACGCCGCAACCTGATGTAAGTTTTCTTTTTTGATGTTGAACCATGGCTTCGCTCACACTCACTTACGAACGGTTATGGTTGTTCAGGAACTTGGATCTGACACACGTAAGTGCGGAAGATCTCGTAGAACATGCAGGTTTAAGACCGTCAGATGCTCAAACGTGTTGTACTTGCGCTTTTAGTGGTTGGACCTGGATTCGTACAAGGCGAGGACAGGTCGAGTGTAACTGCGCTTGTCCTGCCGTACGATTCCAAGAACTCCACCAACTGGAAACTTTTCGAACGCGACGTTCTGCAGCCAATGAGGAGTGGTGTGGTCGACATTAAGAGCTTCACTCGCACGACAGAAGATGGAAATCAACAAGAGCTGTACATGGCTGTTGCCCCAGTTAATCTGAGGAGTCTAGTGGCAGTAAACCATTCCGACTTTCTTGCAGGAATCACTTCGAGCTACGGTGAAGTATACGCACTCGGTTTTGGGATCACGTTGGAGGATATCGAGAAGCGTTTCCTCTCGGTAGAGAACAAGGTGCAAAATGACATCAACCGCGTCACATACATCAGTCTCGCCCTGATTATTTTCTCTGTGCTCATGGTGATGTACATGACCGTAAGTATATTGCTTCCCGTGTTTCCTTTGCTTCCTGTGTTCCAGCGCCATGTGGGATGCCTCAACTGTATTTTCGTGTCATTCTCGTCAGTACACCATGGCCATCTACCTCGCAGAACCCATCCTGTTACTTGTGGGGATCGTTAAGAACATCACAGCCAACACAATTGAGGACGAATTGCCGAAGGTATAAATCAGGATGCAAACTCTTTTGTCATGGTGAAAACCTTCTCACTCGATGATGCCTTGTGCCTGCCTTCAATGATAGCTCGAGGGAGGATCGTATGAGATTACTAATGTGTACTACTCTCTCGAGAAACTCTGTAAGATTGTCAGATTCACCAACGCAGCCCACTACAAAGGAGATCGAACAAAGTCGTACAAGGTTCTTGAAGAAGCCCTCGATCTGTTTAACTTGATGGGGAACCAGAAAGGTGAGTTGCACAAGGATTGAAGCGACTTCAAGGGTTTGTTGCTTAAATTTGTCCGATTGTCCTCTGGCAGCCGTTGGTGTTGCAAACAATAACCTCGGGACGATGGTGCTGCAAGAGCAAATGGAGAGGTCCTCATCAACGTCACGTAGTGCGGAAGTATACCAAGCGGGAATGAAGTATTTCGAGGAGACCATTCGAATTGGCACTTTTGAATATCAAAATGCCGACTTTGACGATAACCGTGGTGATTACGTGAAGCAGGTAAGTCTTTCGTTGTGTAAGTGCAGGTGTGTTTGTTGGGGGTTCTAATGCGCTTGTTTCTCATGTGCTCGTATTATGGTCGTTTGACATAGCTGGCCAATCGGTATTTCAACCGTGGCATGTTCTACATAGTGAATAAGCAGCAGGAGTCATCCTTTGACCTGGTACAAACAGGAATAAGCGACCTGAAGAGAGCAAAAACACTAGATGCCGAAACCTATCTCTACTGGACGGAACGTGGTCAACTGGTCCAAAAGGCCCGTACTGAATTCTTCTGCTACTTGCGACGAGCACGTGGAATCATGACTCTCATGCAAGTTGATCCAGAGTTCGAAGACTGTTGGGGGGTCGAGGCACTAATCTCAAGGGCAGATGACATGCTCCACAATCCTGACTACATCACGTCGAACCTGTTCGAGAACGTCGGGCTTGTGGCGAGAAAGCAGCAGATAAACGACTTGCGAATTCAATGGGCATTGATCAAAAAAGACAATCATGCTGCAGCAACCATGGCAATGAAGATTCTGGTCGAGGATGAATATGTCATTGATACAGTGTTGATGAACTGTAAGTGCTGTCAACCGAGGCGACGGATGCGCCGCATCAGTGTCGGACGCTCACTGTACTTTGTTCGTTTCATCAGGTGTGACGACGTTAAACACCTACTTCGACTTGCACGGACAGCCAAACCAAGTGCCAAATCTTACTTCAGGAGTGAAACGCGAAACCAGGCGAGGCCAGGTTGACTCTCTGAGGCAAGCTAAGAACGTGGTGTTCTGTTTGGACTACAGTGGGAGCATGGCGGGAGAGCGAATGAAAAGGTTGGTTTTGAACATTGATGGGGAGGTTGCTGAATTGCTTCTTGTTTCGTTTGACGTTACTAGTACTCATGTCGCGTTTTGCGGGGTATTTGGAACCAAACAGAGCGAATGCGAACTTGAAATGGATTTACCAAGAACACTGCTTGGACAAGGACTACGTTGGGTTCGCCAGGTTCAATCACGCTGTTGACGACAAACTATACTTTGACCTCGCACGCAAAGGTAACAACCAAGACGAGCACTTGGATATTCTCGGGAAAGCGTTGGACGCTGAGGGGGGCACACGCCTCTATGCTGCTCTGAACAAATGCGTGAACATGTGTCAGGACAGTGGCAACGACTACGATTGCTGGATTATTGCGCTAACGGACGGCGAATCCGCTTGGGATTTCCCGGCCAAACAGGTCATCACTCGTATCAGCAAGCACAACAAGCAGGGCGGGCCACAAATCAACGTCGTGATCATTGGTTTTGAAGTGCCGTCGCAGGTAGCGGAAAGCGTTGCGACAATTACCAGCATCACAGAGAAGTCTCTGTACATCGACGCTAGGGGCGGACTGGATGAGATGGACAATGCCTTTGAGCAGGTGGCGGCGGTGATCACTGGAACGGCGATTACGATGGAGACATTCTAGCTCGTGGGCCATGGGTCTGTGGCCACGCGCACGTGTGAAACTTCCTGTATTTTATCTTTTGTATTTCTAGTTGCCCAATCTTCCTTGATTTTTACCACTTCTTCTTCGACTGCTACGCCTATCATGATTACTACAAGCAACGTTATAGCTAGCTAGCTATGGAAGCTTCCACTTCACCCGTGCAGGAGCACAACACCTCCTCTGTTGAAGAAACCTGAATGCCCGAGCGGTGTAGCAATAGCTCACAAGCAAGTTAGCCAGTGCGGAACACAAAAAGCTTGGACTGAACCCGCGCAGAAACCCAACAGCATCTCATCTGTTGAAGAAACCTGAATACCCGAGTGGAGCAGCAAAAGCTCACTTCCTTCCCGAGCAAATAGATCACACGCTTCTTCGACCCCACCACAAACCAGGCTACCGGTAGCTATCGCGCACGAGCAGGTTGTGGAAGATCCAAAACTTTACTACTCACGCACAAACCCACCCACTCTCATCGCATCTTTCTCACGAAGGAACCTGAACGCCTAAGCGCCATAGCGCCCAAAGTTGTTGGGCTACTGACTCCATCGCCAGAAAATACCAGTGTTTCTGTCTAGCTATCATCACTATCAACAGCTCTTCCAACCATCGCTTGGGGTGATGGGGTCCTGCATACTAGCTACTATTTTTAAAAAATAGTAACGTAAAACAAAAAGGGGACTGGTACATTACTAGCTCGATTCTCGTAAATATCTTTGGTGCTTCTAAATCCCAGGTCTTGGCGAGTGGAGGTTATTGATAGATAGTACACAAGTGTATATAGTAAAATGTTACTGTCACGGATTGTACTGTAGTTTGCGATACTTAGCAAATTCAAATATTGCCACCTAACTCCCGTGTGTCAGTTGGGGTCTTGTAGAAGCTTCGAAGACTTAGCGACGCACCTCTACGTACCCTCCTCACAATTTCGAAGAGGTACGTTCCGTAGAGGAAGTTCGTGTCAATAGAAGTAGCTACCATTCCAAGTACAAAACTATGAGGATCAACACTAGTCAAGTCTTTTCAAAGTGGTTGCTAGATAAGAGTTTCTACCCCTACAATGAGCTAAGGGCTACCAGGTACAGCTTTGAGTGCAGGTATGTTTTGGTGGAAGCAGGAGAGGTCCAGCATCCCAGTTTCAGGTCCTTGAAATGTGTGGCAGTAAGTAGCTTTGACACTCCCAGCTTGGAACAACTCATCATGAGTGGAAGTGCCAAGCCCATGACTCCTGATATGAGCTTCATTCTTGATAGCATGGAGTGTTGGGGATACTATCATAATATTGAGTGGTACAGTATTGTTCTTGACATGATAGCCACCATGTTTGAAGAGGATAAGCCTACAAGCAAGGAAAGGATGTGGAAGCAATGCATTTACTGGAGAGTTAGAAGCAGGGCTCAGGCAACTTATGAGTATGACTCTCTTGGTCATGATGCAGTGTTGACTTACTGGTCTGAATGGTTTGACAGGACCTTTCCAATGCCCATAATCTCCTTTAGGGTGATGACACTGATGAGTGAGGATTTTGTTACTGACATCATTACCTACATTCAGACAAGGGGAATTGTTCCTTACCCTCCAATCATGGATGGACCTGACTCCATTACTAGCTCTGAAAATTGAGAGAGGAGAAAGTCTTTGTTGGTGTTTGATATCCAAGTAGTCAACCAGTAGTGAAAACAGTAACAACAATAGCCAAAAACTTACAAGATACAGTGTCAAACCAATCTGCCACAGTAGTTGCTTGCTCAGTGTGAATGGCATGAGTGCATAATTCTCCCATTGGGCAGCTAACATGAAACTCCTCTCTCTGTCTGCATCTTCCACAATAGTCTCTCTTGCATGTTGCAGCAACACCTTCCACAGAAACCACATGATCCTTTTTAAGGAAACCACATCTCTTGCAATACTTCCTGCTCTTAAACCGCTTCCTTGTTGGTCTTGGTGGAGCTGTTGCTGGAGGCACAGTCAAGGCAACTCGAAATGCAGCATTGGTTGTTAGATTTTCAATGACAGCAGCAGCAGCAGCAGCAGCAACAGCACCCACTGTTACCTCTGCATTTAGGACGGTTGGATCACCAAATGGAGTGGTCCCAGTGTTGGTGTATTGAGCTGGGTTTGTGTTGTGTATTCTTGGAGTTGGTAGTCCTTGCCTATTATCTCGCAAACTCTGATCTAGTTGCTCCCGGTCAGTGTCGTCTGAAGGAAGAACGCCCTGCAAGCTTTGGTGTTGTTGAAGCCGGTCATAGTGTTCTTGAAGAAGGACTCGACTCTTGTATCGCAGTTGTGTCACACCACCTTGGTCCCCTTGTGTACTCCACAACTTGAACCTCCTGGAAACTTCTCCATTCCAGTCTCGCTCAAAGGACTTGAAGCTTGTTGGGCCAGATTGGGCGTTCCTGTTGTACCGACTCACCCATTCCTCAAACAGTTCGGCCTCTGCATTGTCAATATCAGTGGCACCGGTGGTGCTGTCAGGTGCCCTAAAAGGAATCCACTCACACTTGTTGGTGAGACGCCGGAATGCCTCCAGTGTTGATTCATTACCATTTTCTGTTGGCAAAAGTCGTCTTAGCTCTTGTTCGATAAGATGCCGATTGGCTCTGTCCTGTCGTTGTGCAGCTTCATTTGCATTCCGAAGAGCGATTTCTTGCAGGGCTCGCCTATTCTCTGCTTGACTCGCTTGGTACTCTTCCTCCGTGCCAAAAACCTCGATATCTAAATCGTCTCCTAATTCTTCTCCAAGCACTCGCTCAATCTCTTGCTGGGACTGGGGAATTGCTTCTTCGTCATTGGCCACGGCTTCTTCTTCCCCATCATCGCCTGAGTTGTAGCCATCAGTAGCTCCATCCGTAGGATTAGACACTTCCTCCAATTCCGGTTCAGCGATGGCTTGATAGGAAAATCCCATGAATTCCTCGATGTCATTATCTGGTGTCTTTGGTGCAGCAAGGTCATAAGGGGCAACAGCAAATCCAATCTTCTCTGCGTATGCATTCAATAGCAGGAGCTTCTCCGTGTTAAGAATCTTATGGTCAGTAGCTCCTTGCCGGATTACTGATTTTCGATCGTTCCTTTCTTCAAAGAAACAGCACATAATTCTTTCGCCCCTTTGTAGTCCTGGAATGACACAGTGGGAAATCGCGATGTTGGAAGTGTGAGTGGAATAAGCAGCAAGTTGAAGAGTGATGTTAGACTGACTCATCTTACCAATGTGAGTCGCCAACAACAACAAAGCGAGATCCAAGTTGTCACGCTCATTGGTATTGGTACCCCTGGCAACATAAGTGACATCGGTGACAGGATTTCGCCGGAACAACTGCACCAAGTTGTTGGGTGGGTCGGACAAACAGCCACTGTCGACATGATGCATCTGCTTACGGACAATGTCAGTCAATTTCCACTGTTTCATAAACAGCTTCGGCCTTGGTTGGTTGCCTGCTGGTTGAGTAGCCAAAATCCGGTAGGTTTCTGTGTCCTTGGTTTGGATGTAATTAATGACTGCTTCCACATTGCTTCGAAGTGTTGCCGCATCAGGAATCATTGAGTTTGCTTCCTTCAACACCTCCTTAACCGTAGGCTCCCTTTTCAGCTTGTCTTGGAGCTTCTCCTTGGCTCTGTCGAATTCTTCAGGGGTAACAACAAATAACGCACGGGACATGAGACCACGGAATATTCCAGCTTGTACGGAAGAGCAGTCCACTAACAATTCATTCCAGCGCTTCAACCAGTGAAAGGGATCAAGCTTGATTAGTGCATGAGGGTAGACAGACTTCAAAATGTTCCTCACGTTGCAACAGTTGTCGACATAAACAACTTTGACGGCATTGGCAACAGGTCCAAAAGGATTCCCTTTCGCGGCATGAGCATTCCTGTTCAGTCTGTTTCGCAAGAGGATGAGGTCTTCCTTGATTTCGCTGAATGATTCAGAGCTCCTCAATGCTTTCCAAAAAACTGTCAGGCCATCCTCATTTTGAATTGTGACGATGCATTGGAATGGCTGGAAACTGCATCCCTGTTTTGTCCACACTCTGATTTTGGAAGCCAGCTTGTAGTTGAAATCGATCTTCAACAATGAGGCTGTCAATCCCCGCATCTTCTGCTCCTGGAATGCTTTTCTATGCCGGAACACGCTTGTCACCAGACCATCAATGCGGTATTTGGAGAGGACTCGTCCATTATATCCCATCTTGTCACTGAAAGCTGAAAAGGGAACCAGTTCCGACTCCTCCTCTGCTGTCTGGCCAGCTTCAGCCTCTGCCGATTCCTCTTCCATTTCGTTTTCCCTTTCGTATTGCACAAGGGCGTCCACAGATTCATTGTACCGAGCGATGCAAGATTCAATTTCAGCTTTTCTCGCATCTGCCACTGCTCTCAGGTTTTTGTAGTGGTTGTCAACAATTTGCTTCCAGCTCTTCAACGGTTTGATGTTCTTGTACTCTTTTGGATTTGCTGCCAGGAGCTCGAAGCAGGTGTCAATCCCATTATCCAACAACCTGCGCAGCTTGGTGCCTCCGAGTCCCTTCAGGAAACTCTTGCTACCAAAATTATTCCTGTTATCTTTCGAGCGAAGCATGGACCGGAATGTCCAGTCAGCGGCAGCCTTGGATTTGGCTAAGTCATACCTTCCCCGTGCTGATCGTACAGCCGCCATTGCCTTCAGCTGGTTGTTTTTCAATTTCTGGTGCTCCGTCGTGGTTGTGTTGGCAGCAGGAAGCAACTCCGGAAGTGTCTTCTGCTTTTTCTTTGGGCGGATTTTGTCCAATCCTATGGCTGTAAGATAGAGCTGGTGATCTTCATAATAAGCAATGTTGGCCATTCGAACCAGTTTCTTGGCAATTGTAGAAGTAGATTCTTTGTACGAACTTTCCACGATGAGGCTATGGAGTTCATCATCCACAGCAAAACCATGTCCAAGGAAAAAGGTAAAGAACCCATAGTACAGGGAGGAATCCAACTGCATCGATTCCTTGTTGTATCCGGCAAACCTTCTGCCACATCGGGTGCACAGGTAGAGAACCGTGTCCAAGTAACGGATTCTTGATACGCCATAGAGCACTTTCGGACAATTCAACCAGCGGCATTTCTGCAGATCCACAGAATTCCTCTTCTTGCAATGGGGGCAGCAGGGAACGTGATTCGGCACGAGGATGTGTGGCACCCATACGGCCAGCGGCTTGATATAAAACTGTTCGACGGTGCTCTTCTTTCCACGTTGGTCCAACAACAAGCTGTTGAATCGACCTCCCTTAGTTGGAACTACACGGGTCCAATCGCGTGGAGGTTGGAAGAATCCTTTTGGATCGTTGTTAATAGCATCTCTTGTTCTCACCACAAACTTCCATTGCGCCTCTGATATCTGCTTTGGTTTGCGTCGAGTGGCCATGGTGGAAAATGAACTCTTACTCCGGTGTAATACACTTTCGATAGCATTGGATTGGTTTGGTTCCGATTGTACGTTACGCCTAGGGTTAGGGGATCGAAATTTCGATTGAATGATCGAAATTTCGATTGCTAAATAAAGAAATTTGGGATTGGTGGGAGGCTGTGCTTTTCGAAGTACACTTTAAGCTAAGAAAACGACACTAAAGAAGGCGGTGGATATAGAGGTGGGAATTCGGGGATTTAAAGGAAAAGTATATGCGGTTAGAAGAAAGTATTGGGATGACATTTGGACGCCAACCTCCTCCCCCCTCTTCTTTTTTCTTCTTGGCGCAGACCAACTCACACCAAGACCAGAAAACTCGTACTCCACGGTACATGTACCGGTACGGTACCTTTACCGTACCCGAAAGCGAGCTAAGCAGCAATTTTGGCGCGATCTCCAGCCCGATTGGATCTCCGACCCAGGCACCTAAATCGATTATTCGAATGAATGAGTCGAATAATCCTTTCGATGGATCTTTCTTTCCCAGCCTCCGAAACCCATCCACACCCGCAAGCCAAAGACCAAGCTAGTTCACAATGTCATGGCGCTCTTGGAAATTGGGAAGTTGCATTGGAAGCAGCTAGCTAGCTAGGCATAGCTGTTGCTACATGTACGTGGGCTGACCTCGTGCAACGATGCCCCGATAAAGAATTTAACTGGTCTGAAATAGCTTTACTAGTATTAGTGGCTATTATTCGCGGATTGGGTTCCCCCTGTTTCCAACATGCCCTTGGAAGTGACCTCGAGTCCGGCACAGGCAGCTTTTTAAATTGAAGCTGTAGTAATTGGCGCGACTGTCACTGGACCCAATTGAATCGAATTCGAGTTTTCAATCGAAGAGTCGAATCAGAGTCGAATAATCCTTTCGAATGGATCTTTCCCACCCTACCGAAACCCACTCCAATGGGATCAAGGGTTTGTGGCTTTTTCCTCCATATTATTTTCTCACCCGGACTCCCTTTTTGTCTTTCAATCAATCTTCAGCAAACAACAACAATACCACCATGTCATCTTCCACCAAAGTAGAACCGGGCAACAACAGCAACAACAACAGCAATAGCAGCAAGAAATCCATCAAGGTGGACATGTCCACTCGCATTGGTGGTCGAGTGGTACAACCGGCACTACCCGTAGTCGATTCGGCTCCTCCCACGGCGACCGAACTCTCGTTCAATGCGTCTCTCGACCAGTTTTGCAGCGCCAATATTCCCTTGGAACCGACGGATGGGATTCAAACCCGGGAACGCGTCTTGAACCGGATGGGTGCCGTCTGTCGCGCATGGATCAAGGGCGTCTGTCACAAACGAGGACTACCACCCGATGTGGTGGCGACCGCGGGTGGATCCCTCTTTACTAGTGGCAGTTACCGCCTAGGCGTCCACGAACCCGGTGCCGACATTGATACCATTTTGGTAGCGCCGCATGTCTGTTCGCGTCTCGATTTTTTTGGAGAAGTATTGACATCCAATGATGGCAAAGAGACGCGAGATCCAGAGTCTCTTGCGGAACGCATCAAACGACATCCCGACGTGACCAATTTTGTGCCGGTAGAAGAAGCGGCCGTTCCTATTTTGACATTTGATTGGGAAGGCATCAATATCGATCTACTCTTTGCCCGTCTCAATTCCAATTCCGTCCCGGCTGATTTTGATATTGACAATGATGCTGTATTGGATGGTGTTGACAGTGCCACGGAAAAATCACTCAATGGACCGCGCGTCACCAATCTCATTGCCGCTCTTGTCTCGGGCACTCCCGAACGCTATCAGACGTTTCTGGCAGTCGTCCGCGTCGTTCGCAAATGGGCCAAAGCACGGGGTCTTTACTCCAACAAGATGGGATACTGGGGCGGTGTCAATATCAACATTGCCGTGGCACTCTGTGTCCAACTCTATCCCGTCGCCACTCCGGCATCACTACTGCGCAAATTCTTTTTGGTATTCAAGACATGGCGATGGCCCAATCCCGTCATGCTGACCAAACCGCACGATGCCAATTTGGGATTGACCGTATGGAATGCCCATTCCGTCAATAATGCCCGTCAAGTGGCACCCATTATTACACCGGCATATCCTGCCATGAATTCGACTCTGAGCATGACACGACAAACACTGCAAATTATGCACGAAGAATTTTGTCGGGGACATGAAATTGTGACGCGGTTGTGGAAACAGCATGAAGCGGACTCTGCGTCGGAATTGGAATGGAAGGAACTTCTGGAACCCTCCGATTTCTTTATTGCCTATCCACAATACTTATCGTTGTGTATTGTCGGACCGACCCAAGAAGATGCCCAAAAATGGATTGCCTTTTGCGAATCGCGATTGCGCAAATTGACATCGGATATGCTAGGGCGATCCTTACCCCTGTCCAAAATTCAATTGTGGCCCAAAAAGTTGGAAGCGTGCATTGCCGATCGATCGGCATTATTGACGCTGGCGCAACGCAAAAATTGCATCACGTACATGATTGGATTTGCCGTCGACAAATTGCGCATGCGAGGCGATCAACTCAATGTGGAACAACAATTGCACAATTTTCGAGAATGGGAATTGTCTCGGTTTCGCGATATTGTGCCAGGAATGGATGTCTGTGCCAAGACATTTCGCGTCAAGGAATTGCCACAAGTCTGTTTTGACGGCATTTACGAAGGTGGCAAGGCAGAAGCCATGAAGAAACGACGCGACCGATTGGAAGCCGATCCCAAACGACAAGAAAAGAAACGATTGGCGCGATTGGCGGAATTGAAACAGAAAATGGCCGAAATTCAAAAGCAAAAACAGCAACAAAAGGAAGAAGAAGCTGCCGCCAAACAAGAAGAAGAGGATGCCAAGGTTGTCGCCGATAAGGATGATGATGATGATGCCAAGGATGATGAAACTATGGCGGAGGAGGACGAAGATGGAACGAAAAAACGCAAACGAGACGACAATGACGAATCGGATACGGCCACGGATTTGGTCCAGGTCAAGGAAGAGATCGCGGCAGTGGCACAAGAAGAACCCACGGCAGTCGAAGAAGAAGAAGATGCCAATCTACTCCAAAGTGCTTTGGATACGTTGGGCGGAGACGTGACGCGGGAAGAAGCCGAAGCGGAAAAGCGCAAACTACTCGACGGGACACTCGTGGAGGAAGGGCCATATCAGGCGGACGAGGATGACGAAGAAGAATACACGGGGGACTATCGTGACAATGTGGTGTTGTTGCGTACGGCTGCCGACGCGGGCAAGGGCAGCACCAGCAAGCATAGCAAGTACTACTTGCCCGTGCCAGAGGAAGATCGTGAAATGCTGCGCAAGGTGGGAATCAACCTGGTAAGTGATGAGGATGTGGAAGTCATCAAGAGCTTGCCACCGCCCTGGTGGGGAGAAGCCGTCGAGAGGAAAAAGAAAAAGGCCAAGGGCCCCGTGTTTACCAAGAATTCCAAAGTCATCTTCAAGGAAAAGTTTGACATTGTGGAACTGGACGCGGAAGGATTTGTGATTGACAAGGGAGATGACGATTTCCATCCGAGCAAAACTTGGACCGGACGTCAAGCGGGCTTTGAATTCAAGTTGGGTCAACGAGGTCAGGGGTACTATCGAACGGGCAAGAAAGTGGTGGTGCCGTCCAATGTGTCGTATTCTTGCTAGCTATCTGCTAGAGGTACGGTACGGTAGAGTAAGGCGGGTGCTGGGTAACTTTTAGCCATCAATCTCAAAGTCCATGCCTGCTTTTAGAAACTGTTTGCTGTGTTGCCACTGCCGCGGCTGGCTACCTGGTAGTAGCTGGTGCAAGAGCACATGGCACACGATGGCCAGTTGACTGATGGTACCACTTACGCGTACCTGTCACGGATCTGCTTGATTATCAGGATATAGCTATGCTACGAGTCGAGTCCACGATACTAACAAACATCTCTGATTGAATCAGAAATACAATTAAGATTTTAAATAAAACAAATGCATGGTCTATCATTACTATAAGACTTTGGCGCCAATGGATGATGTTGCTGTTTTCCTTGCTCTTGTTCTCTTCCTTGTGATCATTGTTTCTTTTCTTTTTGTGCTGGCATTCCCAATGTGCGCTCTTATGTTCCTTGTTGTGCTTCCTCATTTAAAAAGGCCGGAATATGTCTTAGGCACACGGAGGTCCCAAGGAGTTTTGACGCACAAATCCCTTTTGTTTTTGGCTTTTGGTTCGTCGTGGTACTGCCTTGGTGGGACTTGCCACAGCGGAGGGCTGCATGGTTTGACTTCGTTTGGGAAGTGTCCTGCGAGCCGCTGGTTTCTTGTCTTCTTCGTTCTCCTCCAAGTCATCCACGGGAATAGTCAAGGGCACTACTTCCCCTGCCAACTTTTCTTTGAGGAGTTGCAAACTGTCTTCTCGGACCAAAACGGGACGAGTTTCCTTTTCGACGGCTTCTCCACTGAGACGACGGGGTTTGCTGCGACGATTATTTTGACTTTGAATGCGCGCCAATGGCTTTTCTGCTTGCTGTTCGCCTTTGTCATCGGCCGTGACGAGTGGGACAATCATGGGAATGGCATTGGTCGTCTGGTGTTTGAGTAGCACGATACTGTCATCCCGTGGCAAAAAGGCATGTTGTCTCTTTTTAATAAAATCGTCGTGCGTGACATTTTCCGTTTCGGCGCCACTTTGACGACGCGGTTTGCATCGTTTCTTGGAACGAGCTTCTTCTTCTTCCTGCTCGAATGTCGAGAGAGACTTGGCCACTGTCATGACGGCAATCTTCTTGGGGCCGTCGAGGAGAGGAGCAGATGCAGACGACGTCTTGTTCGTGTTGACGCCGTGGTAGGATGCTTTGGATATGGCGTCCATCAAGTCCATCGAATTAATGTTCTGAGTGTTGTCGATCTCGTCGTTGTGGTTCATGATGAAAGGTATCTTTGTATAAAGGGATCAGTTTTATGATATGGCTATTCTTGGTGGGATTTTATCGCTCCTTGGGGTGGTTGTATCTATGATGAGCAAGCAAGCTAGCTAGCAAGATGAGAACTGAAATTGTGAGGTTCCAAGCAAGACGAGGATGTCTTCGTGTTTCTATTCAACCGGCACTAAAGAGCTATCAAAACCGCTCTGTGTTTACTAGGCTACTAGAGTACCTCCACCACTCCTTTCTTGCCTTGGAGCTTGGAAGCCACTAATAACAGGCACAGATGCCATCCGTCGAACCATCAACCGGAAGGCATCAAGGAGCCATCAGCTCGTCAATATTTACTTCAGTTTTGTCCACGACGACAGTTCACAGAAGATCGTGGGATTCACCACCTATTCGACCCCAGTTTCTTATGATGCCCATGTCCATGTTCCTTATGTTTTTCGACCTAGTGAATGACCTGGCCGTCACAGTTGACAGCATAATGGCTTCTTTTTCCATGAATCAATAAATCATTCTTTGGACTTTCAATCAAGTTGAGTCTTTTCTGCTTTAAAGCGAATTTACCCAAGATTTGAGGGGCTTACATGCTAAAACACAACAAAATGTCACTGAGATGGACTTCACGTGAAGTTGTCATGAATACTTATCGACAATGACCCCAAGTCATCAAATCTGATCTTTAAGTTGAACCGACTCCCACTGTGAGCGAACTTGTGGCACCACTCCTAACAAAAGACTTCCACGCTGAAATCTTGGACGTGGTCGCTGTGCCAAAAGACTGGTCCCACATGATTGACCACGATTCAAAGTCTTCAGCACCCAAACCAAGGCTACCAATACCTACAGAAGCAGCTCGTCTTGTCTGGGTTTTGGTAACTACAGGACGAGATGATAGCCTCCAAGCTGGCATTTGCTGCATTGCGAACTACTCTACTCGAAGCATGCATCCTTGAGTGACAGTCCTCTACTAGTAGCTTTCTTTGAGGTGCTGGCCGAGATTCCCTTCTTTTTCTGCAACAGCCAGTTTCCTTCTTGTGAGCCATCATGTCTTGTGGTGCTCTCGTAGCTAGCTAGACTATCCATGGACTCTGGTAGTGGCGGAAGGAGTCTACTATCTAAAGAGTACTTCTGGGATCGGTATACGTTGCGCCGCTTTAGCAAAACAGGGTACCAGGAGGTACCGTAGCTTGAAGCAGCCAGCGTGGTTCTAATCAAGATTTCACACCTGATGGTTTTACGCACATGCATCATCAAGAACAAGGTGTTGGTGCAGGTGAAAGCAATAACCTGCTATTAGTTTTAATACGGGTGCCAAAAGACATTCCTACTGCTTCACATTCTGGCTATCTGGTCTGTTGCTTCCCATCATCGCTGCATGCAGGCTGGCTTGACTTTGACTCCGAGAACACCAAATCCTGCTGGCAGCATCCTCAACAACGAAAAGACATATTTTGCATCCATCCCCACCAATTCTCGGCTTGTAGGATAATTATCAACAACACCATTTTCTATAGCTCTCACAACATGTTTGTAATCCCAACCAATATATTCTACAACCTTGGAGCCGTCTAGGAAAGCTTGCAGGCAGCCTGGAATATTGTGAGAGGTTTTGGAAGAACAAGTAAGTTTCGAAGCAAACAAAGAAAGGAAAAATGCATTCATACTTATTGTCATGTTGTACTCACTTTTTCCATAATCTTCCCGAAGACTGGGCGACATAGCATTCCAGACTTGACATATACTTTCGTCCATAGTATCAGGTCTTGTCAAGGTGGTATTGTGTATGGATGGATTGATGCAAACTACACGCACCCCATAAGGCATCATCTCCAAACGTAGATTTTCTGTCATTGAATCCACTGCATATTTGGAAGCCACATAAGGTGTTCCACAGATCCCCCCAGGAAACATGCCCATAATAGAGCTCATGTTGACAATCCGGGCACCAGAATAAGTCCCTTCGGCAGCTTGTTTCTTGAACAGAGGCATGAACTCCTTGACACATCGGAGAACCCCATAAAAGTTTACATTCATTGCAGCCTGGAAATCAGACATTTTGACCCAGTCCACTAATCCTGTACGGACGATCCCTGCATTGTTGACGAGAGCATGGAAGTGTCGCTGTTTCTTTGATCCTGCACCCAACCACGCCACCACAACCTTGTATGCTTCGGCAACACTTTTGTCACTTGTGACATCCAGCTGGACAGGAATGGCCAGTGAGTCATCTTCAAAATATTGAAATGAGGACTTGTGGAGACAGCCACAAAAAACAGTAAAGCCTCGTGCAGTCAGCACTGGCACTGCTTCTCGCCCAAATCCGGTATCACAGCCTGTCACAAAAACTGTAAATTCTTTGTCTTCAAAGGAATGGGGATCCACTTTTCCACCACCACCAAGGCACCAGCCCAAGACTTGAAAAATCATTCGAAATAAGTAAACCACAGCAGCCAAAGGGTATCCGATCAGGATGACCAACAGCCAAAACAATGTGTCGACTAATATCGAAATGGGCTCCACATGCAACACATCATTAATACAATTGATGAGACCAATAACCATCGACGCCATGCTGGTATTTGTAGATCTCCTAACTAGCTACTAGTATCGATAGTCTCCTTTTTGACAGAACGGCAGAGCGAGCTATGATTCTCGTCACGATCGTCCTTTTTTGTTTTGGGCAAATTGGATCTTTCGTCCGTGCCCAGGCAAGCAAAGGTGAGGAAGGGTTGGGGATTAAGGTTCTCCACGTTCAGAAACTTTCCACGTTATGATGTTCGCTGCGTCGTCCGTTCCAAGAAAACTATAGTAGTAGTATCTTTCTTCAGGTTGGGGGAGACGAAGCTTCAAGCGAGCGCATTGCTTGTGCTGCCCACCGTCCTTCCTGCTTCGACGTCAATAGTAGTGCATATTTGCTCGTCTCGGAGGTCTTGCACGAACCTTATCGCGCTACCAAGTAGAACCGTTTCTGCCTCCCACCCGCCACAGTTTGTTGTGCTTGTGTGGCTGCTAGGAGTCCCTGTACATGGTGGCATGGTGGCATGGTGGCGCCGCATCACCAACGTGTTCGAATCTATTGTGCTGACGCCGCCTTGACTCCAGCTTCCTCCCTCGTTCGTCGAATCTACAGATCGGGGTGGGCACCTCGGGTGCAGCTCGAACACTTGCTTGCATTGATCCATGTGGCTGGTGCTTCCGAAACTCGAGTCCTCCTTGGGCGCTTCCAAGTCGCTCTGGCTGCGTATCGGGCCGTAACCGAAAGGTATGCACCATAGGAGCATAGTACCGTACCGATGGCGTTTCACAGCTTTGGCTTTGTCGGTACCAGTACTAGTGCCAGCACAGCCATGTGCTGTTAGCTTGGGTCTGCAGTGGGCAAACCCCAGACCTTAGAGTAATACTCGTACACTCGTCATCCAATGCGAAGGTGTTTGAAGGTTCCGCGCTCTACCTGCATGCTTTAGTCGCCAGCCTTGCACACTACGGCTGTACCAGCGAGATCACCGTAGGTTTGAAATTTTCCATTCCCATATCGACTTGTCGACAAGCGCCAGAGACCACATCAAGCTAGGCTAACTGCTTAGTTAGTTTGCTCAAATTCCTCGCTTCAACATATCTTTCCACAAAAGAGCAAGCGGCCATGACAAGCAGCTGCGTTCAATGTGGCAAGGAAAACGTTACGAGCAGCTTTCAGTGCACCAATTGTCCATCGTATGGAGGTGAGACTCGTCGGTTCTACGTTTGTAACAGAGACTGCCAAAAAGCATTCTGGCGATCCCACAAGAAAGAGGACAAGGCATCTCAGTCGGCGGGGACCACCAAGGCTTCTGCCAGAGAGGACGTGCATCACGTGGAAACCCGGTTCGGTAGCCTCACCATGCGGACGATGGATAAGAATGACTTCGTCGAAAGCATGAGCAACCCAAGGTCGTGGTTCCAGCAGTTGGGTAGAACCCAGGCCGCAGAATGGATTGTTGACTGCTACAGGATGCGAGCGGACGACGATGTCCAATGGGGATCGTTCAACTTCCATGGCCTGTACGAGATTGCCAACGGCGCGGAAACACTCCATGATGGCACGAATGATGCCACGCTTTCCAAAGCTGACAAGGCTTTCATTTTGACAGAGGACTTTCTCGTCTTCATGACCCTTGCTGTTCACAATGAGATCCTTCCAGCTCGACTGGAAGACTTTGACTTCACCGCGTGCATTGGGAGGTTTGCACCCGCGCTGCTTCCGGAACCTTTTAACAAACAGGCAGCGAAGGCCAAATGGGGTGGAGAAAACGTGTTTTCAACCAGACCCAGTCTCCGCCGGACAGCTGAGCGCGTCTACGGGCTTAGCAGCATGTATTCCTACAATGACGATGATGCCCAGAAACAAGGTGAACGGACACAGCAGGAGATCAAAAATTCTATCCGCAGTGGATTGGTAAGGAACAACTTTGAGGCCTCCTCAAGCAACTTGTTCAACAAGTTGGGAGGAAAACAGCTATGGTTTGGGCTTTACCAAAGGTTGAGAAGGGCTGACATGTGATCCTGATTTGGCCCTCCACCACCAAACCATGCGATTCTGCAGTTCATGCCAGTTGACTCCTACTTTAGAAGAGTGTGCAATTAATGCTTCTTCAATGCAGAGATAATTAATGTGTAGGTTTAGAAAAGTGAGACCCTCATTGAGCCTGGTGGCTCCTGCTCTGGGCAGAGACTCATCCAAAGTTGAGTTGTAGAGTTCAGCATGCATGTAGTTTCCTACAGAGGCAATGCAATCGCGAAACGCCTGCTTCAATCGCTCTCCAAACAATGAACAAACTGGCATAGGCAATGCAATCGCGGCACATCTCCTTCAATCGCTCTCCAAACAATGAACACACTCGCATTCCATAGAGGTTTCTGTACTGATGCCTCCCACCTCAGCTCTTGTTCCCCCATTTTATCCAAATGGGTCATCAAATTCAGCATGAATATACCGTGGCTCAACCGACACAACATTGCATTCTCGGCGTCGAAGTTGGCGAACACTCTCTTATTGAGACCAAGCTACCAAGAACTGTTGAATCGCAACACACGGCATTCAAATCCTCTCCACGGACTCAAACGCATGTCGAAGACCAGGAGAGGAGCTTGGGAACCTTCCGTATGGCTGATGCCTTCACAAGCACAACAACAAGCAACACATGAGAAACGAAACAAATCTGTCGGGCGGGCTATTGAGAATGCCTCAGTTGGGGTTATAGATAATGTGGACATCACACCCGCCTGCTCGTGCATTTTGCATCCATCTGGCATGATATTTGACCGCAGCGCACTATGGGAGAGCTAGTGCAATGCGGCTTCGATACATGCGTGAAAAAGAGAATTGAAACGAAGTCGCTTGCTTACCTCTTAAAGTTCGTCAAACAAACAGCTTCGGCATCAGCATTATCTTCTCATTCTGCACTCAGTCTGCCGAATGAACGGTCTTTGAAGTCGTTGCGGACCGAGCGTCAATGGCACTGAAGGCCCCCTAGACAAACAATAACACAACACATCGTTGGTGAGAACAGTCAATGATTTCAAGATGAAGTCAAACAAGAGTTCCAGGCAGAGTGAAAACCACGAGAGCTCAGTCTTGCAAGTAGCAAGGTTTCGTTTTGTGTCGTTACACGGTTGTAGCGGGGAGACTAATCCCCTTTCAGTGTAGCTGGTAAGAAATCATAGCTCTCCTGTTTCCGTCCTCCATATTGATACAAGCCAGATGCTGAGCTCCGACCTTTTGTGATTTGTGTGATTATGTTCCTCGACACCGCACTGCCGAACAGAGACGGTACCTTGCGGCACAGTCTCCCCAACAGTGATTCCGAGTCTGGTTAATCTTTGTCATCATTGCTCTGCACCGATGACGGCTGACTTTACCGTCCGACCGACAAACAATTCAAGCGCTTCCATTTGTTACATACCTGTGTGCCCAATCCAACGCAAGGGATACAGCCGTCACGGGGGCAGCATGTCACATTTTCTGCAGACGAAATGCTGTTCTTTTCGTGACGGAAGAAGGTATCGCCCCGTGTTTTGACCATCCCAAGCTACCAAAAGGATCCATGGCGCTTGTCCAGTGCCGGGCTATCCTTGCATGGGATTTTGCTCGGTTTGTCCTTGTAAAAGCATGACACGTTGGGTTCCTTGAGGCAACATGGCTCCAAAAGACTCTTCGATTCAATGGCAATGGCAATCGCGTCGTCTTTTCCCAAGATTTTGGATGCCGTAGATCCCACACATTTATCCTGCACAAACCAATTGCCCATTTGGCGCAAGAATTTCTCCTTGTCTTTCTTGTTGGTGGTCCAACTCATATGAAACAAAATAGCGTCATCCACCTTGCCTCCCATGAGTTCCTTCATAAAGTCGTGATGGTTATGAAACGAGTAGCCACCGGGAAAGAGGGAAGTTCGGCGAGCAAACACCTTTACCTTCAAGCCGTAACTATAGATTGCAAGAGGAGGCAAAGATACCAATGTGAGACAACAGTTCCAAAACATTACACATGTTTGTATTTGCGAAGATGTGATAAATCCAGGGTTAGATTCGATTCTTACAGGGAAGCATGTTCACTCAACAAAGACACCAATGCAATCTGATGACTATGGGTGGCCGTGATCAAGTCTCCACCCAACAAAAGACTGTTGAAAAAGTATTTTGTCTTGTCATTGTTGCGAATGTAGTACCTGGACGAGGGAAAAGATGTGAGAGATGCGTATCAAAAAGCATTAGCAAGATAGTAGTCAGCAAAAGACGAGACTCACATTCCAGTGTTTGCAGAATAGGGTGCATAAAACAAGGCTCTGGAGCCATCATCTTGAAAGTAAATGTCATGATTGTAATAGGGTGAAGCTGTGTCGTGGAAGAACTGCAAGGGATCCTTGTAGAGGACAATATCTACATCCAAAAAGAGGACGTCGTACCCGAGCAAAACAACCTGTTGGACGCAATATACCTGTACAGCAAGATCATTTATTTGGAGTTAGAGGAATTTTGAGATGGTCAATACGGAATATGGCTGTCTCAGGAAGCGACAAACAAAGGAACAAGGCTTACCTTTGCCATCATCATGGCCGAGAACGTGACATCGGCATATCGTCCTGGGAGATGCAAGAAAAAGCAAAATGAGTGCGGCATATTTGGGATTATTATGATGGTTTGGCGAAAATGGTGCTCCGTCACGTACCTGCCGCTTTCATTGGAATGTCGGCATAGTTCTATACAAACACAAAGATACAACACGATTTAGTTGGTTGAGTGCAAGCACAAGACGCCTTGCAAAATATCGGTTCTTGTTTGTGCCGTACCGTTTCATCATAAAAGGAAGTCAAGCCAAACCCCTCTGCCAATTCTTTTGTTTCTTTGTCGGTGGCAAACACCAGTACGGTCGACAAATCCACACCTCTCGATCTGCTGGCACAGACAAAGTTCATCAACAGTTCCGACTGTCCATGATTACACACCTGACAAAACAAAAACGTGTGACCGTGAGGTGACGATTGGAGAGCTCAACTAAGTGAACAAGTAGTGTAAGTGATACATACCATGACAATGACTGTATTTTGTTGGGCTACTTTTTGTGCCAACGGTTGGAGCAAGTCCAGTGTTGCGTCCAATGTATTCAAATAGCGTTGAAGTGTTTCCCAATAGACCTTGGTTTCCTCCGCGGTCGGTGTTTTCATGGACACGCGTCCCGATGCCTGGGCGCCTCGATTGACCAGCCGCAGTGGTGCTTGATGATCCAACGGACCTTCGAGTGGCAATCGCATGAATTTGGTCACGTGATGCGATCGAAATTGTCCCAGTATCGCAAAACATTGTTGTTTGTCGCCCGGTTGCGACAAGATGATGTTCAGGGTGTCGCAATTCTCTGTCGCGTCACTGACATTTTCCAACACTGGAATGTGCGTATTACTCTTTGCGGCAGTGCGACTTTTCGGCGGCAAGGCTTCGTCGTGGGAATACAATAGTAGTACTTGATTGTTGTGGCGGTTGGGTTCGTCGAGTGGAAACCCCATCTCCTCGAATCGTTCCATGAACCCCGCCCGTGGGACCAACGCCATGCCAGCAGCAAACGTCGACACGTCGGCGGGAAATCGGGGTTCTTCTGCCTCTTTGTTCGGCGTCTGTTGTGGTTCCACGTGGGAACAATTATTGGAGCCCATGGTGTGAGCACCTACCAAGACACCCGCATAGAAACAACAGACTCCAAAGATGGCAAACGTCACCACGGTTCGGACCGACACTGCCGGTTTCCGTCGTGGCCGACTGCTGTTGGGAGGGCCCATCATTGTGGTGGTCGCATTCCCCTGAGTGTGCTGTGTTTGCTTGACGGTTTGTTGTTGTGGTTGTGTGGTTGGTTGTTTGGTTGTTGTGGTTTGGCTGGTTGGTGAGTGTTTGTTTGTGTCCTTGGGTCTTCCGGTTCACACGAACTCTAAATGGACCGTTGAGATCGATGCAGATCCTGAGGAAAAGATCCAAACCGAACAAAAGATCCAGAACACAGCTTTTACAAATTTGTAGATGCGGTAAATTTAGAATGAATAAAAATATTACTAAAGCCGTATTTTACCTCAACTACTTTTCTATTGCTGTCTTCCAAAACATCGCGAATTTGCGGATCCTTCCAAAATAGAATGGTGCTGGATGCTGATGCTCATTTGTTCTTCCAACACTCTTTCGTACCCGTTTATATTCTAAAGTTTGATCGATACTATCCCACACACTCCAGCCATCATCATCATGTCCATATTAGAAGTTCATCAACTGGTGGTAGTTCAGGGCCTGACCAGCGACCGCGGAAAGAGATTGAATGGAAGTGTGGGCAAGGCGTTGCCATCGTCTTCCAAAGGAACCGAACGAGTTCCCGTGGTTGGTGTGGTGGAAGGAGAAATCATGGCCATCAAACGGGAAAACCTCCAATTCTTGTCCCACCATGATGTTTGGCAAGTGGGAGCGGGTCGACCCAATTTCCGAATTCCTACTCTGAAGGGTGTGGTCATCCATGAGACTTCCGGACAAACTCTGGTACAGCACCACTTCAACGACGAGGGACGCGCCCAGGTCAATTTGATGGTGATTTCCATGGCTTTGGCAAGATTCATGTTGTTGGATACGGCACAAAATCCACGACGAGCCGTCTTTCTACCCACCGATCTCAACATTGCCCGGGCGTTGCAAAAGGCCACACACAACACTGGTGTTCACTTGGGACCCAAGCTGGATGCCATTTTTCAACGCACCGTGCAAGTTTTGCGCCAACTCCAAACCGAGAAACACTTGGATGTTGCCTTTTATTATGCGCCTCCACGGGTTGCTCCGTTGGACGACAACACTGGAAACCAACGTCTCCAAGCGGTCCTTCACGGTTGCTACAAGCACTATCCTTGTCCTCACGAGGACTACTTGGATGCACATGAAGTCCGTTATGCGGCACAGGACGACGACGACGACCAGGTGATAATTGCACACGAAATGTACCTGGAGTATGGACTGCAAGAAACTTTAGCTTATGTCCAACATGCCGTGGCGTTGGGAGAAACGGCACGATTGACTCCCACCGCCATGGCCCAACGAGATCCTCCCGCCTTTTGGTCCGCTGTCTTGCATTTGGACGACTTTCTCCACGCACTTAACAGTGCAGGCGTCTCTACCCAAGAATGGCAGGGTGTCTTGCAGGGATGTGCCACAAGTCAAACGTATTGGACCCATGCCCGGCGGTGTTCATCCTCGCAGCTGTCACACAGTGTGCAAGGAATGGACTGGGGGATTGGCAATACGGATGTCAAGCACAAGAAATTGTCCACACAGTACGCCATTTTTGCCCTGGTTGCCGTAATCGATGCTGCTCACAAGCAGTACAAGGGGATGCACCACAAAATTGTCTTGCAAGATCAGTACAAGGGCACGGAAATTGGCAAATGTTTTGATACCTTTGGGGCCACACAACAGAAAATAGCCAAACTCAAAGCCAGAGGAAATGTTCCTACACAAGTGACGGATCAACTTTGGAACAAGGCGTTTGCCCAATTAGGATTCGGAAATGACGCCATGGACACAGCATCGGACCCCAAGGCATTCTGCGGGGGCGGTTGTGGTTGCACCAATCTCAATATTCTCTTTGAATGTTCCAAATGTGACGGTGCCGTCTACTGCAGCAAGAAATGTCAAAGGCGGGCTTGGAAACAACACAAGAAAACTTGCTCTCCCGTCATGACAGAGGGTGCACAGCTTATACGACAGCTCCGTTTGCAAGGAAACGACATTTCGTTCCAATCTGGATCCCCCACCGCAGGGATGCTCGAGTCCTGCAACGGGCCAACGGTAATCTCCGAAGCCAGTTCTCTGGGCAACCTCGGCCTTTTACTGAAACTTCTGGATGGCAAGTCCATTCTGAACTTCTCAACCGGACATCAGGGTGTGAATCAGGCGGAATTCCAGAACATTCTGGCGGGAAGAGCCACATCGGATTCTATTTTGCTGTTCGAAACGCTGTACGATCTTCCCATTTTGGAACGCTTCTTGGTGGCATGTGGACCCCTGAAGAATCATCAAGTGGCACAAGCCTCGTTGGACGACGCGCTGCGTTTTGTGGGAGGCAATCTCCACAATCTACGGATCCGTGCGTGCGGCTTTACCGCGCTCGAGTGGGCGGCCAAGAAGGGCAACAAAGAGATCGTGGAATGGTTGTGTACCGATCCTCGAACCCAGGGATTGATACACATTGGATCTCCCGTCGGTTGGGCGTGTTACACGGGAAAAGTGGACGTGGCCAGAGTCCTGGTAGAACACGGAGCCAGCCCATCCGCCACCCACCCCATCCTTTGGGGCAACTTGCATCCTCTCTTTGCGGCGGCTCAGAACGGTCAGTTGGAGGCAATCCAGTGGTTGGTGGAGGAAATGGGGCAGGATGTTCACTTGGTGGATGCCAACGGAAACGGCATCACAAAGCACATCAAAGACGCACCCAATTGGAAAGACATCGAAAGTCACAAGCAATGTTATTATTGGGCCAAACAAAAGCTAGGGTCCAATGAGTAGCAAGCCGAAGGTGATTCGGTGGACGGCAGCGCCATGAAGGCGTGGCCTCCTTCAAGTAAGTATCGTAAGTGTAGAACACATAACTTAGTAGGAGTATGTTTAAAAATAGATTGCTTGTCCGCGCACTAGCAGCTAGCTTCTGGTGCTCGCCTTGCTTGCATTCGGACTGTACGTGTGATAGTCTCTCCTTCATTGATCTCCTGTATTGCGAATCATGTGTGTGCTGCTGCATGCTTTACGCATCTGGCAGCTGCAACTAGATCGTAGCGTCGACCTGTTCGAGCTCTGTCTCTTTCAAATGCTTGAGGAAATCTGCACCTTCCTTGGAGTCAGGATTCTTCGAGAGATACTCCAAGACTGCAACTACATCATTTGGATTCGGGCATCCCTGCTTGCTATTGATGCTACTGCGCGTTGTCCCTTGGGAGGATCGTCTCCTTGGCCTGTCCTTTGTTTCTTCGGCGGAAAGCCGCTTCAATGATCCAGGTGGCGACGAGCTTCTCTTCTTCTTGCAGGAAAGTCTATTTCGAACTGCATTCAACATTCTTTTTTATCGACTGATGGATGGGAAGTTTTTGTGACGGGATGGACCGGTACGGTACCAATCTGATGAGTTGTTGCCTTTCCTGTTGCCTGGGGTAGTCCTTGTGAGAAGGAAGCGATAAAAAGGGTGATTGTACCAGTTTGCTTGGCACCATCCTTATAAGATGAAAGGTTGAACCAAAAACGTGGCGACAAGCGACAAGTCGAGCAGATACCAGTCCTAATAACTTCCTGGCGCGATGCTGCTCTGGGACCAGTCAAATGGAGACCTGGTGCTTATGCAAAATGTGGGTGACTGCAATGGTACTTGATCGTGGTCTGATCAGACACACAACCGTGGATTTTCGCGCGAGGGACCACTGCGACTGAAATCAACGCAGCAGAGCCGCTTGATCACAGGTGGGAAGACACATAAAAATCACGATCTTTTGCTTTTTTGAGAGTTTCTTCTCCCACCACTCTTCTATAATTTTCTCTACGTAATTCAATATTTTTAGTGCACAAGCACAACAAAAAAGATATAAAAAGATGACAGAAAAGGTTTCCAAGCACTTCCCCAAGTTCCTGGAGGATCTCCCCAATGTGGAGGGTAAGGTCTTTGTGATCACGGGCACCACATCGGGAACTGGCTTTATCGCCGCTCGGACTGTCGCAGAAAAAGGTGGCGAAGTGGTGTGCTTGAACCGCAAATCTCAACGCGTCAATGATGCTACTGAGAAATTTAAGGCCGCTGTACCAAGTGGAAAGTTTGTGAATATCGAGTGTGATTTGCAAGATTTTGCATCAGTCCAAAAAGCTTGCGATGAAATTAAACAAAAGTACAAATCTATTTATTGTTTGGCTTGCAACGCTGGAATTATGATGACGCCTGACGAAGCCACCAAAGATGGCTGTGATACGCAGATGCAGACCAATCACTTGTCGCATTTCATCTTGACCCAGCAACTGTTTCCATTGTTGGAAGTGGCAGCAGACTCCGGTGGTGACGCTCGTGTTGTTTACCATTCGTCTGCAGCCCGTGACATGACCAAGAATGGCCTGGAAAAGAAGTATTTTGAAAAGAATGGAGGAAATTTGGGTGGCGATGGTAACTCCATGTTGATGGGTGGAGGTCGTATAGTCCGATACGCTCAGACGAAATTGGCCAACAGTGTCATGATGTACGCCATGCACGAAAAGTTGCAAGCCAAACAAAGCAAGGTCCGAGTCATTGCTTGCCATCCGGGTGGATCGGCCACGAATCTCGGAGAACACATGAAGTTGCCGTGGTTTGAGAATTTCCTCATGACCAAAATCATGATTCCTTTTTTCATTCAGTCTGCTGAAGATGGTACCATGGGATTATTGACGGGCATGTTGGTAGAGGATGCCAAGAGTGGCGTTTTGTACGGACCCGCCAACAGTGGTATGGCAGGCCTCGCAGTACCCAACCCTCCCAAAAAGTATGAAACGGATCCTGATGCCATGAAAATGCTGTGGGAAACGAGCGAGGAAACTACTGGTGTCAAATTCGCCATTTAAACATCGTATTGGAGTGTATCTCTGTGCCAAAAAACCGCCACAGTTTTGGATCCTGGAATGTACCGTATTCCAGATCATTTTTTGCTATCGCTGGTCTGACGTACCTCTGGTCAAAGCATGCGTGAAATTCAAAGGATTTCTTGGGGTACCGTTCAGATCAACCTCTTGCGCTTCAGGGACACTTTTCTCTCCCATGGAACCCACCATCAAAGACGTAATCGTGCTGCCGGTACCCTTTTTATGGATTAATAAGATCGATCATATTGTTGCCGGCTACGGTACGATGTACTAGCTAGTAGCAGTACCGGTAGTAGAATAAAGAATACTTGCTTGATCGTGGTCTCAGCAGACACAAGCAACCGTGGATTTCACGCGAGGAACACTGGGACTGAAATCAACACAGCTGAGCCGCTTGAAATTTGAGCTGCCGTGCGCTCCTCGAAATCTATCTGGGCCATTCTTGTTCAGCTCGAGGTAGTACCAGTGCCAGTACTGTACCGTTGCTACGATATTGGTAGCTGTAGGCCTGCCAAACGAACGAAGATTATTTGAAAGCTAAGAAATAGCGAGTGTCTGTGCAAGGAGTTGGCTTGGTACTGTAGCAACAAACCCGTGGAAAAATATAGAAAGTGAGGATTCAATTCTAAGGAGACACACAACACAGCCATTCAAGTAAAGTCAGTTGTCTGTTTTCATTGGCTTTGTTTAGTTTCACAACAGTATAAATACGGTACTGGATTACTGGTACTAGTAGTACGTATCTAACATGCAATGCAATGCAATGCAATGGAAAAGTAGATTGGCAAGAAGCGTTCTGGCTCTGGCGTTGTTTCCTTTTTGTCTTTTTAACTTGTAGTGGTGGTAGATGGCGCAGAATTAATAATTGATGTATCCAAAAACGTGCAAATCGAAAATGTGTTGTTGTTGATGTTGTTTGTGAATGACTGAATGACAGTTGAGTTTGTGAATTTACGTTTTCGTGTCATCATCATCATCTTCGTCGTCGTCACTGTGAAAGTAATCAGTGTCTTCTCCTTCGTCTTCTTCTTCGGACAACATTTCTAGCTCTTCGTCATCATAATAGGAGTCCTCAAAATCGGCCATTAAGGATTTCAAAATGGATCGTTCCAATGCTTCGGAATATCGCAATTCATTGTGGGCGTACAAGTCATCCATTTGTGCGGTAATATCGGGCAAGACTTGACGAGGCGAATCGGTCTGATAAATCCAATTGCGAAAATAGTACCAATCGTCTTTTGGTTTGGGCGTGGGTGTCGTGGGCAGTACAGATTGTTGTGGTTGTTGTTTGGTAGTGGTAGTGAGCCTCTCCGTCAAGGGACTGTACTGACTCATGGTTTTCCACACGTACGGATTGAGTCGACTGAGTATTTCGTAAAAGTCTTTCTGGTCTGTGACTGCAATGTCATTGTTGTCATTATCACACTGGTCTTGTAATACCGCCAACAATTGCGCCAGCGTCTCCAATTCCAATTCGACAATCCGAAATTGACTTTCCATGCCACGCATCAGTGTCAAAATATCATGGTAGTGGTGTCGTTGTGCCAATGCAACCAATGCATCTCTAAAGAACGGACTCGTGGCGACCGCCGTGCGATCAAATGATACGGCCGCTCGTTCGGCAATTTCCAAAATCAATCCAGCGGGACTTCGAACGCGGTGTTTGGGGACACTGGTGGCAATGGGATCGTAATGTTGCGCAATGGCCACCACCAATCGTTGATGGAGTGGCACATGGAGTGGCAGTTGTAGTTGATGGGCTCGTCGGGCGACTTGCAATGCCTTGTCCAACGCCGTTTTGTCACACGTTCGATCGACCACGTCCAAACACCAACTTGTCACGACAATAAACGCCCGATGCAAACAGGCAATTTGTCGTTGAATATCCGGATTGGCGGTTGGTTTGTTCTGAATGGCATCCAATAGTGGACTCGATTTGGTGGTGACTGACAGTAGTTTTTGGGCGCCATCCAGTGCACTTTCTAGTGCTTTTTCATCTTCCAACGATAGAGGACTTGGAGTAGTAGTAGTTGTTGTCGTAGTAATGACTGGCTTCTGTTTCATGATAGTCTCTGGTTTCTTCGCCTCCACCCGTCGACATTGGGCTGCCAATTCCGAAAGCCGTTGGGCTTCTTCTGCGGCCGATCCCAACACATTGCCACCTTTTGGTGTTGCTGTTGTCAACGGAGTCAATGGAGTTGTTGCGCTTTCCTTGACAACCGTAAAGGCACGGCCCACACAAGACGAGGGGCGTCGTCCAACACCACCACCATGTCCCACGAGGGACCACAGCTTTTCGGTAGAGATACGATGCCCACTGCGCAGCATTCTGGGTGCCGTATTGTAATGGTGAAGGACCTGAACTAAACGTACTAGCTAGACAAGAGTCTCTGTCTCTGTCTCTGTCTCTCTCTCTTCCAACTTGGTGGAGCTCTTGGTGGAATGACAACAAGTTCCTTGGGAAACGAGAAGCTTGATGCTTGAAGATTCGTTCGATTTTCCGATTTCGGGGCAATTTAGAAATAAAATCGCAGAGCTGTTTTATTGAAAAGAGGTCCTCGAAACCATGACGTGACGACCACAGACCAGAACAACACCCTGCAACCACCACAAACCATGCGGATCTCCATCCTGCTTCTCCTTGCTGCTGGGTTGTTACTATTATTGCTATTACAAACCACTCATGCATTAGGAAGTGACTCCTTCCTCAAGCGCTTGGAGACGGCGCAATGTGCGCTCCAAGTATCGGTGGGCAGAATTCCGGGAACGGCCATGCCGCCCGAATGGGCCGCGTCCGGGGCCAAATTGGGGTTTCTCCTTGAAATGGAATTTTGTCCCGAACCGTGTGCCGATTATCAAATAATGACCAAGGAGCGACTGTTGGGTACACGCTCCAAAAAAGCGGTCGAAGTGTTGAACGATCCTTCGTTCGTGTCGGCCAAAGGCACGGAACAAATTGTAGTGCGTACACAAGGCGCTTATGGGGTCGAACTACAGGATCTGGCCGCCCGCCAATACGGAGTCCGCTTTTTCCTGGACTTTCCCGAGGGTGCCATGCGCAATGATGTCGAATTGCCCGCCGAACGCATTTATTTTATTTCGACGGCATGGATTGCCGACCAACCAAGTATGGACCGAGCTCGGCAACGACAGGAAGAACTCACACAAAAACTACAAGACATGGACGACGAAATGGTGCAAATTGAAGAACAGAGTACCGGAGTGCTGGCCAAAGCCATGGGATTGCGACAATCGGCCAAATTATGGGAGAAACGTGACCAATTACAAGCTCAATTGGAGCAGTTGGAACAAACATATCCGTTACAGGGGCAACTACAACTGGTGGAGGGTCCCAATGATCTCCTATTTGCCAAAGAAGGAGTGATTGCCGTCAAGCGAATGAGAGGGGCCATGGGAACGCGGGAACAGTACCATTGGGTTGGAACGTTTGCCTATGATGAGTTTTTCGAAGATGAAGACGATGAGCAAGTGTGATTCGATTCGATGCACTGGTGTGCCAAGTCAACGTGGCAGTCGACCACCGGCACCGTCTTCTCTCCCGTCCCGTCGTGGCACAACAACACCCTTGAAAAATATGCCACGGAAATCCAGAAAATGTACGTAATGAATCCCTTGGACAGACAGGCAGGCAGGGCGATGCCACATGGGAATGATAGGTCAATTTTATTAAAGTTTGAGAACGGATCATTCGTGACGATGCATTTTCTCGACGCTGACCCATGTGGCCTGCCAAGGCCCGCTGTTGCAGAAGCAACAGTATGTGTGTCGTCATTACGCCTTGTACACTGACGCACTGCCCTTTGTTTCTATTTGTTTTGTGTAATCAGAAGGAACCAAGAGCAGTACTGGATGGAGTGCTCGCGAAAGCCACTGTATCATTGGGTTGGAATGTTTGCCTATAGTTTTTTGAGGATGAATATTGACTACGACGAGGAAGAGTGATTGATTCACTGGTCTTCTGGAAATAGCTCAACACGGCAGTCGAAAGCCAGTCCATGGCGTCTTGCAGACCCGTCGTGGCACAACACCCTTGAATATGCCACGGCCGACGGAGATCCAGCAAGCCAAGCATGTCTCTCACTTTCGCGGCACTCTTGGCGTTGGGGAGATCCTGTTTGTTTGTTGGCCAACACCAACAGAGAGAGCCGCAGTCCCAAGTTCATCTTGGTCCAAAATCAATCGATGCAACTCATCCCTGGCCTGTTTCAAACGATCGTGATCATCGGTAGAATCCACCGGTGCCTAGGATGTTTTGGTAAAAGTGTCGCCACAATGGGCGAATCTTGTCTTGACCGCATAAATCCCATACCGTCATGCGCACTCCAACGTTTCCACATTCAACCCAATCGTAGGAACTATCCTCGCGGGTGACTTGCCGCCGCCGCCAAGTTTGAGATTGTAGAGAATCGTCGTTTTCCAGCGCCGTCGAGACCTAACATCAAGATCCGTCTCTCGACACGGCAGTTTGTACGTAACCAAATGCGAGAGAAAGTGAGGCCCATCGTCTGGGGGGTTGTTTATACGATGGATTATTCCCCTTTTTGGGTTCTATGGTAGGTACTAGCTAGCTTTGGTGTGGTGCTGTGTGCTATCGAGAGTTGGAGAGCTCACCGAGGATGTCGCAAATCACAACTGGAGGGCACCCAGTTTCTTCAAATCGTGCGTCTATATTACGCTTTTGACCCGAGAATTGGGGGGGGGGCAGCCCATGTAAAGAGCTAGAGATGGTTTTCTCGCAGGTCGGGATCATGGCAAAGAGACGAGCTGGTCAATGTGACATTTCCCTGGAGCAGGATCTGTTGGCTGGGGATGATTGAAGAATTGCTTGTTCAAAAGAATGGATGCAAGCCAAACTCCAAATCTGGAGAGGAGGGCATGGTTTTTGTACCTGTAATCCAAAAATTGGATACCACAGCTACCCTAAGTATGGACATGTCAGAAGGACGGCCTCACGCTGGTTTTGCATATGGATGGAGTGGCTCCTGGAGGGGAGGAAATCCTCTCTTGTTGGACCTAGCTAGGTGTGTCAATTGGTCTGGAAATGAGTCCAGGGGTGGGGCCTGGTGTTGCAGGGGGTGGAGTGGTCTCTGTAGTTGATTCTTATGATCTAATAGTGAGAGTGGTCTCTGTACCAGTTGAGGAAATAGTCTGGTGTGGGTCCAAAATTGGGTCAGATGGGCTGGCCTTGCTCCTTGGTTTTAAGCCAGCCGAGATGTTCCAACAAAAGGAGCAACTGTCGGCCGGCATCTTGACAGTAAAACACCAGTCATGGTGTCTGAACGGAAAACATGCGGAGAGAGAAGAATCATCGTTTGGCGCTCCAATCGCCTTTGAGTGATTACATGTACGGCAATGGAGTAGCAGGCTTGCCACCTTCTTTTTCGATTGGAGGCAGTGATACCGCAGCAATGTTTGATTGCCGGCCCCTGGATCTCTCCCGGAAGGGCACATGTGATCATCCATCGACTGAAACCCTAGCAGGTACTGAATACCGGAAACATGTTCCAGCAGACTACTTCCATTGCCGATACAGCCGCCTGCTAGCTAGTGAGATGCCCGCAGCCAATGTTTCCTCGAGAATCTACAATTGAGTCTGCCAATGAGATTTTGTTCAACCCAAACACCCAAACAACGTGGTCAATTCAATTCCTGCTGCAGGATCCGGATGGGAGTTACTTGATGGGCCGGTCCTTCTTCAGGAGGAAGCACATCAGTAACGTCTTTCTTGTGGACGCACCTTCTTCTAATGCCGTACGTGTACAGAAGCTGGCTGCACTTCTTTGCGCCCAACCCGTCCACAGCCTAAATACTGCTTGAGTTGCCAATCTTCTTTACTTAGCCACTGCCGTTACTTGACTTTGCTCTCGGTAGTTGCCAGTTGCCTAAAGCGTACAGTACAGTAGTACTTCGGTTGTCAAGAGCGTGGTGAAAGGCAAACGTAACAGACACTATTGCGGGCTACTGTTCTATCGTTTGTATGCTAGGTTTCGTGTTTGGTGGAACGCTGTGGCAATGCCGTGGCAGCGTGCGTGCAGAGGTGCGTTGGTCATGGACTTAGGAAGACATGAGGAAGACTATCTTTATATCTTTTACAGCACACTGCCCTTCAAGTACAATCTTGAGGATGTGGCAACTCACTTTTTCAAAAAGCACGCGCCACGTAGTAAGTTTATCCCGACTAAGCGAGCTCTCACTGGCTCTCAGCAGCTCTCTCAGCGCATAGCGCACGGTCTTTTAGCTGTCTTGTTATTGCAAATTTTTGGGCACATCGACTGAGGGCGTATCTCTTAGATCTGCAGCTGGCCACTGATGGATGAAATGGTTTATAAGTTTTAATGAAACCTAACCCATCTTTAAGTCGGCTTCTCCGTTGTAGCATCGTCAAGAAATAATGTTATCAAATAGTCTGAGCAAAGTGTACGAATGTGGATGGTGTACCGCTTCTGGCTGTAAGAAGCTACCCAAAGAATTTTCTTCCCCCCTCAACAGCCAATCAAGCCCCACATTTTTGGCCAAAAAGTCTGCCTTCTGTCCTCCATCATCTGATCCTCATCTTTCCAAAGCTCACAATTCTCTTGCCAAAGTGCCAACCGTTTGCCACACTTTGATCGGCTAGCTAGCCATCTTGGGTCTGTTTCTAGCTATTCCAAACCTCTAGTTCGACCATGTCTACTCGCCGACTTTTGACCAAGCAACCGTCCCCCTCGAACGTCAACAAGGCACCCAGCCCGAACAAGAAAAGGTCCTCTTTGTTGGATTCCAAAGATACTGGGAAGAAGACCTTGGATAGCTCCTTGTCGGATCGACGTTCGTGCCTGTCCCGAGAGTTCTCGACGTTGACCCTTGGAGCTCGCTTGGAAAACACCTTTTCTCCTGAAGATGATACTCTCCAGAAGAAGCATCTCTATGTGGTCTGCTTGACCCTCTTTTGCTGCTTTGCCATTGTCAACTTTGTTGGTTTTGTTATGGTATACTACGTCATTGAATCGCCCAGTCAAGCGCAGACCACTCCGGCTGGGCAAGCAGTGTCATTTCTTGGTCAATGGCACAAGGAGCAAACCATGCTATTGGGTAGGGATGAGCACTTTTTGGGAATGGGGGAACCCAACACTGTGGCCTCTACCGCTTGCGTTGCGCAGCTCCAAGAGGAAATCCAATTGCATGCGACTGTGACTTCTCCGGAGATGATTGAAGGTATCCTGAACAAGATGGGACTTGCTCACCGACCCATCATTCGGGATCAACTCCAAGACTTGCGCACCAATCCCCGCTCCATGGCTACTGCCATGGAACCGATCATGGGTTGCCTCCAGTCCTCCAAGACGCTACCTCAGTTGGTCTGTCTGTTGCGAGATAATAGCGCGAGCAAAGTGGACCCCAGCAGCCTGGAAGAAACGGTCCATGTGGCATTGGTCTTTCAAGCGCTCATCAACCTCATGACCAGTGACTTGGCCGCTCTTCACGATGTTGTGGAAGTCATGTCCACTACGCAACGGGTCAAGCAAGAAACTGTCTTCCAGCAAAGCTTGGCTCCAGATCAAGGGATGATGATGATGAAGGAGTATCAGGACGCCAACCAAATGCTCCATGCAGTTGCCATGGCATTGTCAGAAAACAAGCAGCTTCCGCTCAAGTCAGGCCTTCAACTAAACATTCTTCAAGCCATCCACAAGGACCTTGCACTTGCTGGAAGCAACCAGAATGCACAAGTTGGACTTGCCCTTGCTTCATCAGTTCACTTTGAACCGACCATCCAAGACCACAAGCTTCAATGGCCCCTGGGCAAGGACTGGGCTGATGCCTACATGGGCTGGCAAACAAGCCTACAGATCGGCGGACGACAGCAACCTGCCCTTCCCTCCCTCCTCATTCCTCTGGCTGTCTGTCCCTCCCTCGAGTCCGCGCACGCTGAAGATTTTGTTGCATCTCAGTTCATCTTGCGAGCCCTCTCCCAGATGATCGTCACGGTTAATACAGAGACCTCGACAGCTGCAAATCCTGTAACAAGCTCCTACCATCACGTGCTCGCACATCGAATGGCCAGCAGCAACTTTGAAAGTGTCAGACTGTCCACTCCCAGCAGCGAGAGCATCACAGTCATGCTCAGTGAACTGTGTGCTGGCAGTGAGTGTCTTCAACAACAAGGAGCACAGGATGATAGCGCGTGGGTGACGACCGACACGATCTTCACGGCCAACTTGGACGACCTACAATTTCAGGTGTACCTAGGCTTCTGCCTTTGGATCACAGTTCTCTTTGCAGGTCTTGGTCTGGAACTGCTAACCTGGGTCAGCTTCCTGCAAGGTGGATGGACCGACGAGAGACAGTCCCAGTGGAAGTTTGCACAGTTCGCCTTCCCTCTCCTCCTCGCAACGACACTGGGACTTGCCATCCACCACAACTATTTGGCACTGATTTGTCTGGTGCCGGGTCTTTGGAAATTTGGCTTCCCCGAGACACTTGTGTACATGCACACGGCACTCTACGGCAAGTACCTCAATGAAGAAGAAGGCCGCCCAGCTTGGATTCAGCGAATCGCAGAGTTTCTTAATGCTGTTGGAACTGTTGTCCACCACGGAGCCGCAGCGTTGGTCATTTGCATGTTTTTGGCGGGGGTCGTCCCTCCCACTCGCCACGTTCTTGCTCCCTGTCTCATTCCTGTCATGCAACATTGGTTTGTGCTCCTTCGGTATTCCAACCCCAACATCTACACAATCGTCGAGATGGCACTGGAAGTGTACTTTGAGTGGACCGTTCTCAGCGAATTTGAATACCTTCATGCAATGCATTGGGCGGTGCCAATGGCCGCCTCTACCATGTTGTTTGCTCACTGGCTGTACTTGTTGGCTGCCTTCATCGAAATGGTTAAACCACCCGTGGACGAAGAGGTGGTCGAGAACCGACGCCGATTGAGCATGCAAAAGACTCAGGAGCTCTTATTGGACTCCTCCTCTCTGCATTCCACCGAGCATCGTCCCTTTGGCTCCATTCATGTGGATACCGAACAAAATAACTTTCTCTCCATGCGTTCCCTGCGACTGAATGACATTTCTGAAGGCGGATACAGCAGCGAGAGCAGTACGGACTCTTTCTGTTTCGAGAAGCCTTCGTCGAAGCCTTCGTCGTCTGGTGACCCGACAGAAGATCCCACAGAAGATCCCACAGACCGTGGTGGCGATGTTTGCATTGACTTTCGTCAAATGGACCTTGTCGATCTTGGCAAACTTGAGGAGAGCGAAGGTGATCTTTCCTTTGTGATCACTGGAATGCAAGCTAAAGGGGAGTCCGTCAAACCAGTGGTGGACAAAGGAAAGCAACTCGACGGCTCAAGATCTTTTGACGTATAATTTTTCTCACAAAAGTTTAGTACATAACATGCATACTCTAGATGTTTAGTTGTTGAATGATTCAATCTAGTGACTTGTGCACGTGCTTACGGTGAAGAGGTGTTAGAAGCCAGCCAGTGGGCTCACTCCGCAAACCTCATCGCGGCTGTTGGAGACGTCTAATTGCAAGGGCAGGGCAGTAAGAAAGTTGGCTACCAGCACTTGTTATTGCTCTCTTCTCACTCAACACTTGTAGCCGAACTTGGAATTCGCCCGTTCAAGGCGGGCAAAATATCTGTCAAGATCAACAAGATTCTTCTCTGCTAGTTTCTCACGCACATCCGACAGCTTTCCCTCCGAAACCAGGCCAGAGGGTTGAACAGTCTTCGTCAAATGGTATTGACTGATCCCTTCAAGATTAATATGTTCCGCGAGTTCTTTTGCGGTCGAACGGCGATAGTCTTGAGGAGTGTTGTCCTCATCGTCGGATGTGCCCCCTTGTTCCCAAGAAGTGAGCATCTGGAACAACTTTAAATCCATCATTGTCACTTCTGGATCCTTCAAGATTTCTTCCAGGACAGCTGGGCTCAAGCAGGCTATGAAGGAGGAGGCATCACTCATGTCGCCCTGAAAAGCACGAATGTGAGCCAGTGCTGCCTGCTCCGTCGCAGGGTTTTGCGACGGACCCGATCGACACGCTTCGAAAACGGCAAAACTGCATCGAGGTTGCTCTTTCATCGTGTCTACCAAAATCGCATGAATCATCTTGCTGAGGCGAGGGATGTTGAAATAAACGGAGGCTTCCAACAGAACCAGGATAAATTGAACCTCGACCTCTACTGCCTCCAAAACTCAATTTTCCTACTCTCAAATGATGTTCTTCATGCAGACCCGTATCTCAATTGCCCTTGTGAAAGCTACCCATTTATGTCTCCGTGGATCCCGCAAAGCCAAACCCTTTGCCCCCCGTAATGGTCCTCAATTTCTTGCCCCTGATCCCACAGAACCTAGTCCTGAATTTCGACTGTTCTTTGCTTAAGCCTGGCCCCGGCTGGCTTCCGTAGATAATTTCCCTCCTCTAAAACCCCCCCTTCCTCAAATGTTGGTCGGTCGTCTTCGTTGGTTGCCGAAAGCCTGCAAGGCTGTTTAAATCACGCGACCCAGTAGACCTTTTGAGTCGTGCATTTCGGAAGCTTCCAAGACAGAATTGCGTGAACCTTGTTGCCAAGGCACATAGCTTGCTGCTGCGATCGCACCTCATCCACTTCATTGTTTGTTCCCGCAGTGTGACCTTCAAGATGGCCAATACAAAGGTGTCTCCGTTTGCTTGTTTCCTCTTGGTACTGCTGGCAGTGTCCAATGCAGCTGTGGTTTTACTGGGACGGGCAACTACTAGCAAGACGTTTGTGGCCAACGGAGATCATTTCTCTATCGGGCACATGATCATCGTCACGGAATGCCTCAAATTTCTCGTTGCTGCTCTTTTGGAAGAGCACCACAGCTACTGGGGTCTCAAAATATCCATCAAGAAGCATATAATTGAAAATCCACGAGATGCCAAGAAAATGGCAATCCCGGCATTTCTCTATTTTGCCGAAACCAGTCTTATCTTTGCAGGTCTCTCCAACCTCTCCATTCCAACATTTCAAGTAGCATTTCAAAGCAAAATCCTCATGACAGCGCTGCTGTCGGTCGTCATGCTCCAGCGCAAATACACATCGGTGCAGTGGACTTGTCTTGTGACGCTGGTGTTTGGGATATCCCTTGCAATTGCTGCAGAACTGTTCAGAAGTGGAACTCCCGACGGGCACTGGCATGGGTTCCTGTATGGCATTGCGAATGTTTTGTTGGCTGGCTTGGCCATGTCATTTGCCACTGTCTACTTTGAAAAGGTTGTCAAGGAATCCTCCAATGAAGATGAGGAAGCCAGCCCCATGATGCTTGAAACAAGCCAAGAGAATAATCTTCCACCGGCTTCGCTCTGGATGCGTACAATGCAGCTATCCTTTTTCTCCATCCTCGTTGCCATTGGAAGAGATATGTTTGAGGGCTCTGAGGACAACAATAAGTCATTCTTTCATGGGTTCACTGTTTGGGTGTGGATTCTCACGATTCTGAATGCACTGATGGGTGTTCTGGTTGCGGCAGTGATCAAGGTAAGCTATTTTCTGCCAGGAGCCGCTGAGGTGTTTTCGCAAACTAACAATCGGCTTGCATAATTCTTTCCAGTATGCCGACTCTGTCCTCAAGGCATTGGCTACTTCCCTATCGGTGATTTTGTCCACACTCTTGTCGGCCGTGTTTTTTGGGACGCGGCTGACCCCAACCTTCCTGTTCGGGATGCTCTTGGTGGTTGGATCTGTCTTGGGATTTTCTTTGCATATTGATGGTGCTTCCTCTCGGCCCCTTTGGGAAATCCTGATGAGCAGTCCGATCTTTGGTGGCCGTTCTTGGTCATCCATGGGGGAAAGAGGCAGCCAGAATGCGGAAGATTCGCTCGCTGCTCCACTATTGGTGATATAGACTCGACTCAATCTGTGCACTAGCTAGTAGCTAGCCCCAAGGGTGGCACCAGTTCCTCCGACTTACAATATCCAGAGCTAGCCACACTGTGGACTGTTTTTGTTGGCATCTCTGGGGCGATTGTATGTGGGCTCGGTTCTCGTACCGTTCTTGGCTTGCGTTGCAATGCTAGAGATTGTGGCGTTGGTTTTAGCAATACACTCACATGCTTCGCTTGGGAGCGAGACTACCAGCTCCCTCGAGTAAGAAATGAGTCTGGCACCACAGCAGATGGAATTCACGGATGAGGTTTGCCGCCACTCAGGAAGCTAGCTACCTGACCAAAACAATCAGGGGAAAGGTCAAATATTTGCCTAGTTAGCTCAAGGTGCAGCCAATTGCACCGTGCCGCATTTTCAAGAGGAGAAGTACATGCACTGATGCAAAGCAATGAATGTTGGCACGAGAGAACACGTGCCAATATCCGAACTTTCATGAGGGGAGAAGCAGCGAATCAAATTTGCTGAAGAGTGCAAGCCCACCATCAGCATCCCAGATGGAGCGGCAGAAACTCATCATGCCAGCAGGGACATGAAAGCCATGCAAGCAGAGGTGATGGGCCCAAACAATTGCCAAGCTGAGCTGGGCATTGATGCAGCCACACGCCACTGAGCAAGGGCGGACCGCTTGATGGCAAACAGGAAGGAGACTCGTTTGGCAATTGCCCTGAGCCTCTGATGGAGGCCATCAGCAAAGACAACAAATGAGTATGGCCACCGCGTTCCTGGAATGGGGTAGAACAGCAGCATAGTTAGCAGAAGGTCAAGAATTGGTATCTGCAGAACGACTACCGGTACCAGGTAAGATGGATACAAGGCAGGTTCGTGGTGGACTGCAGTTCGTCATCACGCACTTCATTGTGGCATTGAAGAAGCAGTAATATTTACCAAGTCTAGCTGTATTTTGCTGGCGTCCACAATGACATCCAAGCAACCACGATCCAAAGATCCCACCAGGATGTCTTCCAGAGCGTTCCAATGCTTGGCGCCTTCGCAAAAGCAAACAACAACCATCAAGTTCTGCTGGTGGTCCCATCGCCACAAGGTGCTTTGACTTCTGCGCTCCTTCCACATAAGAATTCAAATCTAAGCAAAGCAAAGCAACAAAGTAACTCTGAGCTTCAATAATCTTCCTCTGAGATGAACCGCCATTTTGTGTTTGCGCTAAGGCGCCATGCCAATCCTTCAAGGTTTGCAGCCCAGTCCAGGTTGATTTCAATTTCCGCGCCATTGGCCACTAAATTGTTGGACCATCAAAGCGGTCGCAGTCCAAACAATGGTGATGTCGCTATCGGGCCAAGAGGTCTGAACATCAGCCCCAGTTGGAGAAATAATAATTATAGCACGAATGATCATCAAATCCGTTACTTCGGGTCGGATCGGAGCTTACGACGGAACAAACGACGCAAGGTGAATCCTTTCAAGGTGCTCAAAGTGCGCCGCAAGACCCCATATGCCACTGCCAAGAAGATATTTTTGACATTGGCCATGCAGCATCACCCTGATGTGACTGATGCCAAATCGGGACAAGAGCAAGAAAAGTCCCGTGAGATATTCATCTAACCTCGTCAAGCTTTTGAGGCATTGGCTGAAGACCCTGAAAGTGGTGGCATTTGCCTTGTGGAAGAATTGCCTGACTATGTTGTGGCTGACAATGAACACGACAGGATGGACGAATGGTTCAAACAAGAAACTGGATTCGATATGCCCTTTATGGACGAAGAAACCATGAAGGAGGTGGCAGCCATGACAGAAGCGGTTGGTGGAGGTGGTATGGACCGCGGTTTGGATCGTGATGGAGGTATGTGGGATCTGGCTCGAATGGTCACTCAAAGTGTCAAGAGTGGAGGTGATGGCAAGATACTCTTGCAACTTGAAGCACGAGCATTGAAAGAAACAGCAATCAACAACTCCAATTTGAGAGCCAGGAGGCGAAGGGCAAAATTGTCTTTCTAAAGTGGAGACTGGCTGCCACCAAAAGTGCAATCAATCAATCAAGCAGTCGATCAATTGAATAGGTGATTTGTCTGGGTGGACAATGTATGGCTGTTTGACGACGAAAGGAAGAGACGGATCAAATGTATGCAAGGTATGCGACGATGGATGCAGTTGCATGTGGAATATTCCACGAGACAAATACAGCAATGGTTTTTGATTTAATTAGTTAATTTGTAGGAAGAGGAAGACAAGTTGAACGAATACGTACCCCATCCAACCAGATACCCTCCCCTCATGAACTCGACATTTGTTGTTGGCAGCATCTTTGGTCGGTTGTCTGTACCGTCAGTTTCATTGTTAGTTGAACAGCCAGTTACGTCGTTGCGAGCTCTTCCAGTTCCTGAACAGTTCACACAACATCGAATTGTTCAATAACGAATGGTTGCGGCAGCAAAACACTGGCAATACAGACACAAGAACCGGACCCGATTGTTCCTCTCATTCAAACCATCGCCGGGAGTCAAGCGATTTATGAGATATCAGTTATTAAGACGCTGAGTACCGTACCGGTACCGGTACCAGGTACTGCTCCGGAACCAAACTCGAGGCGCAGGCCAGCCACACCTCGATTTCAAGCCAATTTAGGCCACCATCCCACACAATTGTGGCCAGATCGGCAAGACCTCAACTCCCACCCATAGTCCACGGTAACAACACCTCAACAACTTTGTCCAACATGCACATGCTTCGGTCTTCCGTTCACTCGTTGCTGGGCATCTTTGTTGGCACTGGCGAAGCTGTTGCCTCAAAACTGCATCGGCCAGCACTGACCAGCGAAAAATTCACTATCTTTGCAGCAAAAGCCAACGATCTCTCGCCACCGCTGTCACGACCAGCAGTGACCTCAGCATTCATTTCTAGCTTTATCGGTAGCATCGATACTTGGCTAGCTACGAAACTACCCAACAAGACAAGCCCATGATCAAGCCACTCCTTGCGTTCGTGGCGTTTCTCTGTGTGATTGTGTTTGTTGAAGGAGGCAGCTTTTCAGCCGCTAAGGTTCCCCGTGTCCGCAAACCGGAGGGCACTGGTAACGCCAAGGACATCCGGCAACGACAGCTCCATCAAGGCCACGGTGTCGAGAGCTACCACCACCTCGGTACGAATCCTGAAACAGGGAGAACCCACTTTGCCTACGAGGTATATGACAACGACTACGGCTACGGCTACGACTACGCCTACCAACCAGCACCACCAATTGTGCCGTTACCACTGTACAATGGCTACCACTATGGCAATGACTACTACTATGATGACTACTACAGCAAAGGAAGCAAAAACAGCAAAAGCAAGGGAAGCTATTATAGTGGAGGCAACTGGAGTCCTCTCCCAGTTCCCGTAGCTGGATACGGAGGCTCTTATGGAGATGATTACATGGGAGGCAGCAGCAGCTATGGAGATGACTACAATGGTGGAGGAATCTATGGCGGAGGCTACGGCGGAGGCTATGGTGGAGGCTATGGTGGAGGCTATGGCGGAGGCTATGGCGGAGGCTACGGCGGAGGCTACGGTGGTCCTTATGGAGACGACTACAACGGAGGAGGCTACTACAGTGGTCCAAGCTATGGTGGCCCTCCTGGATACTATGGAAACGGATGCAGTGTGCTTGGTGGCTTCCTCTACTGTGAAGGAGGTAACGACTACTACTATGATGACTACTACAGCAAGGGCAGTAAGAGCAAGGGCTCAAAGAGCAAGGGAAGCAAAAGTAAGAGTAAGAGCAAGGGCGGTCCCATCGTTTTCCCTATTCCCTGCGGAGCTCCTGGAGGGCCTCCATGTCCCTGTGGAACTCCTGGGGGGGCCCCGTGTCCCTGTGGAACACCTGGTGGACCCCCCTGTCCTTGTGGAACTCCTGGTGGTCCCCCATGCCCCTGTGGCACCTATGGTGGGCCACGATGCCCTGAACCACACCCATGTGGTACCTATGGTGAACCACCATGCCCCTGTGGAATCCCTGGTGAACCTCCCTGTCCCCACACCCATGATGACTTGGTCCCTCATGAACACGAGGTTGAAATCCCAGATCATGACCACCCCATTCCATGTCCACCAGGCTCCAAGGGTTCTAAGGGAGGCAATTGTGGATATGGAAGCAAGGGGTCGAAAGGCTCCAAAGGCAGCAAGGGCTCCAAAGGTGGATACTGGGGTAGCAAGGGATCCAAAGGATCTAAGGGTGGCTACTACTATGACGACTACTATGGTTATGGAGATGACTACTACTATGATGACTACGTCTCTACTGGCCCCGTTGGCCCGACTGATGACTATTACTCTGGTGGCTATGGAGATGACTACTCTGGCGGAGCCGACTTCGTCACTACTGGCCCCGCTGTCCCAATTGATGACTTTTACTCTGGTGGATACGGAGATGACCCTCCTTCATACGCAGACGACTATTACACTGGTGGCCACGATCACAGCCACGATAATGGCCATGAGCACGGCACTGATCACGGCCATGGCACTTTTATTACAGATGACGACGATGGAGCCACAGATGACGCCGATGGAGCCACAGATGACGAAGCTGACCATGGCAGTGGTACTTTCATCACAGACGACGCCCAGATTAATGGAGATGACGGCCATACTCACGCTCATGGAGATCACACGCATACTCATGGAGACACCGTAACAGATGATGGCAGTTCTGTTGACGACGGAGTGGGTGGCACAGTGGATGATACCACGAAAGATACCGCGGACGACACTGTGGATGACACTGTGGATGACGCGGTGAACGATGATAGAAGCAACCCTGTCATTGCAGCCGCAGAAAGCGAGATCGTAGAACCCGAAGATCCCGGCCCCAGCACTTTGACGATAGTGGGACTTGCTCTGCTGTGTTTTGTGCTGCTCTTGTTTGTTTGTTTCTTTTGCTTCCGTGCAATGCGAAACCGACGCGACCGTCTCGCAGATGATCCAGACCATGATGACACCAAAAAGTTGATGGAAGATAATGACATTGAACAAGCCTTTTCACTGCCAACTATCCAAGAAGGAGACAGAGGATACGACTCAGAAGATCAAGGATTTGAGGTTGGACTCCCAAGCCTTGGCGAAAACTACCATTATTCCAACGGAAACAGCAAGTCAGTGGGCGCCGAGTCTGGCGTCCCTCCTCCGGAGCTTGAAGTCTTGGAGGATGAAGTACAGTGGAAGGCCTACGTGAGTTCTCTTATTGGATACAAGGAGAAGAATGGTAACTGTCTTGTGCCATTTGATTACGTAGACCCCAGTAGTGGCCTTCCCTTGGGTGTATGGTGTTCCCTGCAGCGATACAAGAAGCAGGCCAATCAACTCTCTCAAAACAAGGTTGCAGAGTTGACTGACCTTGGTTTTGTATGGGAGCTACAAGAAGATGACAAACTATTTATTGATGATGAGGATGATATTCAGTGGAACTCATATGTGCAAGCCCTTGCTGACTACAAAGCAGAGCATGGACACTGCTATGTGCCATTCAGCTACATTGATCCAAAGAGTGGCCTACCATTGGGCGCATGGTGTGCCCTGCAGTGCTACAAGAGGAGATCCAATGAATTGCCACACCAGAAAATTGCTGATTTGGCACAGCTTGGCTTTGTTTGGCAGCTTAGGGAGGTTGATGGCCTAGGCCCAATGGAAGACTTCGAAGATGACAATGAATGGGGGACCTTTGTACAGGCCCTGGTTGACTACAAAGCTGCCCATGGAGACTGCAATGTGCCATTCTGCTACATTGACCCTAAGGATGGCCTTCCATTGGGGGCTTGGTGTGCCCTCCAGAGGTACAAATGGCAAGTCAATGCTCTTTCCCAAGACCAAGTGGATGAGTTGTCTGAGCTTGGTTTTGTCTGGAGCTCCCAAGAAGTCACTGGGGCATTTGGTGAATTTGAAGATGAATCCTCCTGGAAGCACTATGTGAAGGCACTTGAGGAATACCAAGCAGAGTATGGTGACTGTAATGTTCCATTTGGCTACATGGACCCCAAGACGGGCCTTCCACTGGGCATCTGGTGTGCGTTGCAACGTTACAAGTGGCGGACCAATGAACTCTCCCCTGAGAAAGCAATTGAGTTATCTCAGCTAGGCTTTATCTGGCAGTTACAAGATGGAGATTTCAGCAGCCCAGAGCAATGGGAGAGCTATCTGAACTCACTCAGTGACTACAAGGCGAAGTATGGGAATTGTTTGGTTCCATATGGCTACAAGGACAAACAAGGCCGTCCATTGGGCAAATGGGTACACCACCAGAGACTCATTGGCCCTTCGCTTTCAGAAGAGCAACGATCCAAGCTTGATGCCCTTGGCTTTGCATGGCAGGTCCACAGCGGCGCTGATTTTGAGAAAGGATTTGCAGATGAACCTGATTCCAGCGGTAAGGTCTCCCCTCCAAAAAGGAGAGGCAGCCTCCTGAAGCGCCTCTTCAGCAGCAGGAAAGGATCCAAGAAGCTTGGAAATGAAGCAAATGAGAGATTCAATCCTGGGGCCGAAGAAGACTTTGAGCAAGATTCCCAGTGGGCAGACTATGTGCAGGCATTGCGCAATTATAAAGATGAATGTGGTGACTGCAATGTGCCATCCAATTACGTGGACCCAAACAATGGCTTACCTCTTGGCTCATGGTGTACTCTGCAGCGCTACAAAAGGAAGTTCAATGCACTTTCTCAAGAGAAGATAAAAGAGCTATCGGATATTGGCTTTGTTTGGAGCTTGCCTGAAGGTGCAATGGATTCAGTCCTTGGTGACATCGAGGATGAGAATCAATGGAAGAGATACGTGCAAGCCCTTGTTGAGTACAGGGCCGATCAGGGTGACTGCAACGTACCATTCAGCTATATGGACCCCAAGACAGGCCTTCCATTGGGCATCTGGTGTGCTCTGCAGCGTTATAAGTGGCGGACCAATGAACTCTCACCTGAGAAAGTGATTGAGTTGTCTCAGCTTGGCTTTATCTGGCAGCTACAAGATGGTGATTTCAGCAGCCCAGAGCAATGGGAGGACTATCTTGAGTCTCTAAGAGGCTACAAGAAGAAGCATGGTGACTGCTTAGTGCCCTATGACTACAAGGATAAACAAGGTCGTCCATTGGGCAAATGGGTACACCACCAGAGACTCATTGGCCCATCACTTTCAGAAGAACAAAGATCCAAACTTGATGCCCTTGGCTTTGACTGGCAGATTCACAGTCTGACTGGATTTGATGATGGTTTTGCTGATGAGCTAGATTCTAGCAGGAAGGTCTCCCCTCCACAAAGGCGAAGCAGTCTTCTCCAACGCCTCTTTAGCAGTAGGAAGGGATCCAAATTAGCGATCGCGGGGGTTGAAGCTGCTACAAACGTTGCACCGTTCAGTGATGATGAGTGGGGCGATTATGTGCAAGCACTCAAGGATTACAAGGCGGAGCATGGTGACACCCTTGTTCCTCGATCATACAAGGATGCAAATGGTCGCATGTTGGGTGAGTGGGTGTCATACCAGCGCGTGCGGCATGCTACTGGTCAAATGCCAGAAGACAAGAAAGATGAGCTTTCAGCGCTCGGCTTTGTTTGGGATCTTCAACCGGACGATGACAAATACAGAAGTGGCCCCACTTTGGACGACGTTATCGAAGACTGGGATTCCTATGTGGCCGCTCTTGCCAAGTACAGGGATGGTACCGGAGACTGTCTTGTGCCTCTGGAATATCAAGACGAAAACGGGCTTCCACTGGGCGAATGGGTTGCAAATGTTCGCGATGTAGCAGCTCAAAACGAGCTACCCCCTGACAAGAGAGACCAGCTCAATGCACTTGGCTTTGACTGGCAGACCCCTCGTGGCGACGGATACGGACTCTTTGGTGGCTGTGGATACGGTCGGTGGGAGACCTACTGTGATGCTCTTGAAGCATACAAGGAGATCCACAGGGATTGCAAGGTCCCCATCAATTACAAAACTAGCAATGGTCTCGAACTAGGTGCTTGGATTGCCAATCAGCGTAATCGGGCCGAACAGGATGAGCTGCCTTACGCCAACCGCGATCGACTCGCAGCCCTTGAATTTGACTGGGACACGCCACTCAACGCCGACAGCGAGGCGGAAACGCTTGTGTGGGAAAAACACATCCAGGCCCTTTCAGACTTCAAGGCGGAACAGGGTCATACGAATGTTCCGCGAACATTTGAAGATCGCAATGGAGTTGGACTAGGTTCCTGGTGCATCAATTTGCACAGCAAGGCCAATCAACACCAGCTTGGTCCAACGCAACGCAAGAGCTTGAGCGATCTTGGCTTCGACTGGCACTTTGTCCACAGAGACGACGAGTCCCTCGTGTCTGGATGTCCCGCCCACATAGACGTCCATAGCTGCACATCGGCTGTGTGCCAGGCATGCAAAGTACAGGATCACCAGGACGTGACGTTTGTGCGCACCAACCACTAGATGATGCTGACTTCCATGTTTTTAGTTTTCGTTGCCTGCCATGTAACGATCTGTTCATAGTAACTTGTAATCTGTCTTCTTTTTGCAATCATAGAACAACAAGTAGGATAATCATGACATTAACCACGTCCCTCTAGGTCTTTCATGGATCATGCGGCCCTGTAGACGTTTGATAGAATCCCCACTTTTCGCCTTTCACCTTCTTCTACGGACAAGCCCCTGACAACTAAGAAGGGAGTGAAAGAAAGCTGCAATTTCATCAAAGACTCTTGTCACCTTGGTTTTGTTGAGTGATGAGCACCAAAAAGAAAAATATAAGATCTAACAGCAACTGGAATATCTATCAGAGCAACCTGTGTCATTCGGTCGGCACCAACACAGATGAAGCAAAGCCGCAATTCACATCATTAGATAATCCTCATACTCCTAAACCCCCCTAACTTGGCAATGTCAGCGGGTGCAAGGGTTGTCGTCGCGTCAACTGACTCCACGTGGAATTTTTAAACAAAAAAATATCCACGTCTGAGGTGAAAGCATCCTTGACGCACACGAGTTCAAGAGAGCCCAGCAACTCGAGGAAGAAGGAAGACATGCGAGGATTGTTTGGAGCAAGGGAGCAACAAAGCATGGTTTCATGTTTGTGTGTCCTCTCTGCAGTTGACACGGTTTTAGAAGGACTGAATTATTGATAATTCCACCAAGCTGGTCGAAGGACATGTTCTGAACGCACCGCTGCTTGCTCCAATCCGATATCCGATCCATGTCTTCGTCAATCCAAGCCAAAGGATGGGTCTGTCCCAAATGCAAAAAGGAAAAACCAGCGATCGCTGCAAAATGTACCTGTGGGGCCTGGAAACCGGGATACACACCAAATGCCGCCGCGAAGAAACCAGGGCAACTCCTCAAGTGGAAATGCCCCAAATGCAAGCACGAGAAGCCAGCAACGGCTCTTAGGTGCATGCCATGCAACACGTATCAGCCTGGGCATGCACCCGCAAAACCTAAACGCCTTTGTCCAGATTGCCAAAAGACAGACCTGAACATTGGGTTATGTTCCTGCTGGGTGAAAAAGGAGACAACGAGACGCAAAGAAATGTTGCAGTCCATTCCTCCTGTTCACGTTATTGCTCGTATCGTTTACGACGGCTTTAGAGGTCAGATACCATTTAATACAAAGCATCATCCCATAGTCATCCCCCCCGAGCAAGTTACCATTGGGCAGCTCAAGGATATCATTTTGAGGGAAGTGTTTGGGCGACAAACTCGGATTGCACCTCCCCCCAAGGGATTAATGAGCCTCTTTTACCACGACAAAGAGCTGATGCCGCCAACATCCCTGCTAGCGGAAGACCATGGTTTTCGGGGTACACGAGACGGCAGTGTCGCTATGCCCAAATCTTTGAACACTCTGGGCATTGACACCGGCTTTATTTCCCGCAAATTCGGCTTTGATATTACTCTTTATGTGGACCAAGTTTTGACCTTTGAGGTGGTCCCGAGCCCGTTCCAAGACACGGCTCAAAGGGGCGGCTTGAGTGATGTAACATGCGGTGGTTTGCTGGCGCCCAACAACACCTTTTCTCTGCATTTTCCAAACAAGAAATCTCTCATGAAGGAAGTCACTGCCGCGCAAGCAAAAGAACAACTTCAGCTGGTATCTGGTATTCCCATTGAGCGCCTCCACATTCTGTCGGCCTCCGGTGGAGAATCCGACGTTCAGAAGCAAGATTTTCAAGTATCTCCGAGTTCCATTAGAACTTGCGCAGATGAATGGCTTGTTCATGTCTTGACTCTAAATGGTAAGCACTGGAAGGTTGGTATTGATTCGACTTCCACTCTACGGCTTTTAAAAGAGCGGATCCGGTGGTCGGGCTGCCGTGTTGACGACGACGGACATTTGATCCTCGGCGATGGGAAAGTGCTTCCAAATGATAGGGAAGAAGAAACAATTGAAAGTTTGTGCCTTTCAGATGGATGCGTCCTTTATGTCGTTGAAGAAATTGCTGCCTATTTTCAGGAGACCGAAGAAAGGCAGCAACCCACTATACCGGTATGTTCCATTGACAAGGCTGAGCATCGAGGAATCACCCTTGGTCAACTACGAGAGGTAGCCAAGGCTATCCTCTTGCGCTGCAAAAGGGAAGGGTGGACAAGCACCAACCCTCAGCATGGTGGAAAGCTGTTGCAGCCAAGGCAAGTTACGTTGTACGATGTCATGACCCACCTTATCCGGCCCATGACGCAGCCGCACAAGTGCAGTTACGTAGAGCTGGTGGCGACCAAGGAAAGAGGACCAAATTTCTAGCCACTTTGTGAGTCACTGGTGGGGGTAAGTGCATGCAGAGAGTATGGGCCTTTGCTCTGACGACTATTCGCTGACTTGCCTGGAGCAAAGGGAGAGCGTCTTGAATGTAAGCACAAGAAGATTCTGGTGTGATGCCGGTGTTGCTCTTGGGATGCGTCTAACGAAAACCTTTGTCACTAGTTCGTTGCATGCCTCGAACAGCATGCTTACGACAGGAACCTGAACGATGCAACGGTCTACTGGGTCTGGTAAATGACTGGAAAAGTCAATTCCGATGTTCAGTGTTGGGGCTTCGTAATCACCAATCGCCCTTCCTTTCATCCATTTCGCAGCGCATACGCGCGGTCAATCAACACGATGTGGGCGGAGAGATTGATGGCGACGATCCCAAATCTAGCCCCTTCTATAAGGCAATGCATCTGACTAAGGGGACAGTAACGGTGCTCGACAGAGGTTCAGTGACTTACATACGGATTTGGTGTTCCTACGAAATCTCAGTTGTCATGACCGACTTGAAATCCAAATCTCCTGGATACCTGTACGATATCTACGCCATGTCGAAGCAGGACGGAACCGATGTCGTTCATTGCCCCGTGGGGCTCACTGAGGGCTTCGCAGCGGCCGACATTTACCCCAAGAACCAAGATGGCACCCTAGACACAGCAAAAAGAGATTTCGAAGCCAAATGGACCTTGTCGAAGTCGCGACGAGAGGCTGCCTTCCCACTAGATTCCGCCAGTGGGGCCCTTGTTGTCCAACTGGAGACCGCCAGTGCCAGCGTTGAAGACGACAAGAAGCGCATTCTGAATGCGATTGCTGGGAACACAGACAACTTCTTGAGCGACCCCCCAGCGTCTCACGAGTCATACGACAAATTGAACGTTCGAGTTCGAGTTCGATTTGCACTTTCATCATACCGTACCGCACTCGAGAGACATGCCGATATGAAGCCATTCCGAAAGCGCTCGCTGACAATCCAGAAACTCATCTGGTAGCACCATTCAGAGGATGCAAGGAATTCCGACATGAAGCGAATGAGTTTATCCAGTCCTTGCCTGTTTCTTTGGTCAATTTGAAGTTAAAGTATGGGGCCATAGCCTTCCAGCGCGCAGAGGAGTTCGCCACCGGGATTGGCCGTTTGAAAAGTCTTGTAAGCCTTGCTGTGGACTTGCAAAGTTCCGTGAGCTTAGTGGATGCGAGTGCATTATGGAATGAGCTCGATCAGCTCCCCCATCTAGAATCGCTGGTGCTGGATTTTGATGATTGCCCCAGTCTCGATCGGTTGGGCGGGTTTGGTCAGACCTTCCAAGGCACACATTCGTTGAAAGTGTTTTTGCTGCGATGCATGTCGAGAAGAGTGAGCAGTTTCAAAGAGCTGGCAGAGGGGCTTCAACACGCGACAAACATGAAGAAATGCTGTTTAGATTTGAACTGTCGTGAGGTGACTACAATGGAATGCCTCGGGACCGCACTTGGCAGGCTACCGGCACTGGAAGAGTTGTCCCTTAACTCCAGTAATGGCAGCGCGACTGCTACGAACGAGATCGCTAGAGGATTGCAATCTGCAAGAAATCTGATCAAACTGGATCTGAGGTTCTCCGGCAACAAGTATATCGATTCATTGGAGGCCTTCGGAGGACCCTCAGGGTGCTTCGGCCAAATGACAAAGCTTCGTCATCTGTCATTTACGTGTACCTATACCATGATTACGAAGAAGCAAGTCGGAATATTTGTAGCCGGGCTCAGGCTGCTGACGAATCTTGACGTTCTGCGACTGTCACTTTCTGGCAATGCTGGCATCAGAGGAATGGAAGCACGACGAGTTGGAATTTTGGGGGATGCTCTTCTAGGGAAACCTAACCTCCGAGAAATCAGCCTCGACTTCAGCGGGTGCAAGATTGAGTCAATTGAGGACCTGGCGACGGTTCTGGCTTCTTCTACGTTCCCTCGGCTGGAACGATTCAGCCTTTGTTGTAAAAGCTACAATGTGCCACTGCTGTCGTTCCCCGGATGACTTCTGCTGACAATATGCCAAGATTGAGGTCGTTGGAGCTAGACTTCGAAGGCTCTGAAGGGGTCACGTCAATCGCATCGTTGGTGACGGGACTCCGAACATTCGAAAGGGGAAACGCTTCGACAAGCTACATCTTAACTTCCGTCGATGCTGCCTCGAACACTCGGAAACTAGGGAGTTGTGTCAAACGCTGGTCGACCTCGAGGTGGAAGCACAGGACCTGTCACTTCGGCTTGGACACAACTTGAAAGAAGCCGCAATAGTTTCGAATGAAGCCCTTTCCAACAAGCTCGCGAGCATTGCGCAAGATTAGGAGCGGTGCCTGGTGATGCCGAGCCGAATACAATCAGTCGTCTGGCCTTCGGGAGATGCGAGCACGAGCGAGGCAGGGAACAAGGAAATGCTGTACGTACAAACGTAGTTGAAAGTACATAATCTTTCATTACATCCAATGCTTGTACAAACTCTTTCGGTACGGTATGGCTTCACTTCCAATAAAATTTGGATTGGACCTCGGCTCTTCAGGTTCCAGCGGAACAAACCAGCAAAGGGGTGCTGCGATTCATGCCGTCGTCTTAGCTCAACACTCTCAGTCAGCTGGGCTTTGAAGCCGGTATTGCATTTCCGTGCTCTCCGCCTGGGGAAAGAGAAAGTTTGGCACGGGCTCTCCCATTTTGAACAAGTGTGACCGAACCGTGTGAGTCCAGAACGGTACCGGTACCATAATACCATAATATCAAGTTCAGTCCCAAGCGCGAATCAACCACTTAGCTGGAGCTTTTGCTGGTCGTGTCCTCCCCAACACCCAACGAGAAGAGGCCCACAAAAAAGCTAAACCAGAATATCCAGCTCAACAACTCTATTCCTACCCAAACTAATCAATACATCACGCTTTTGTATCATGGCTCAATGGCAACAAGGACCCTGTGAATGCACCAACGATGTTGGTCTCTGCTTCTATTCATGGTGCTGCCTCTGCCTGGCCGTCAAGGAAGCCGCCGACAATATTGATGACCCCAACGGGCTCCTATTCTGCCTTGCCACATTTCCCTGTGGATGTGGATGTTGTGCACTGACCCTTGTTGGCGACAAGGTGGCCGAGAAACGTGGCATCGAACAAAAGCTCTGCACGGGCGCTTTCAAGTCATGTTGCACTGGTCTTACTTGTTACGCTTGTACCGTGGTGAAGGAAAGTCGGTTGCACAAACAAGAACAAGCCAAAAAGGCCGTGGGTGTTCACGGGCAGCAGATGCAACGCAACTAGTAGTTAAAGATCAGTAATACCAGACAATTTTATTCTTTCTGCACGATGACACATGATGTGCCTCACATGCTTTTGCAACAAATAGGTTGGGCTAGCATGTAGCTACCGTACTGTATCAAGCCATTGTACCGGTAGAGCCTACGGGGATACTTCTGGATTGTGTTGTAGCATATAGCATCGGTGCGTCGTATCGGGTTCGATGGCACCAAACGAAGTCCAGTGAGGGACTAGGAAGAGTATTATAACTGTGTGCCTAGTACGCAGCTCGAGTCCGATCTCTTTCTGCCAGGCAGAAAAGGACGGTACGAATTCATGAATTCTGCCCCACCAAAGAATTATCAATGAAATGGTACAGTCCAAGCAAAGAAAAGTCGAACAGTTTTCTACGAAAGAATGATTCTAGTTGCAATGGTTGACATGGAAGCTACTGGTATACCTCTTATGAGTGGGCTGGTAGTGTCTTTTTCCAAGTAGATTACTATGTCATCAAACAAATCATGTAACTAATAGATCGGCGGATATCAAGACAAAAGAATGGAGCTTGATTCCTGCAGTTGGAGTGAATTGCTGTCATTCTTTTGACTTTTTCTCGTGACGAGGACCGAATGTGGGTCGTTCGCGTGGGGGCTGGCTAGCACCCCTTCCCGCCTGCCATATCCTACACTTAGAAAAAGATTCCTTGACCACCAACGACGACCAGCGCGGCAACCCCCAAAATGATGTACAGAATTACATTGGTCTGCTTCTTCTCCGAGTCCAAACCAGTCGATGCTTCGGCCATCAGACGAGCTTTCATTGAATCCGAAATCCCACTCTTCTGGGGAGCGCTGTCATACTGTAGATTAAAAAATGAAATAGAGCTGGTTGTGAGTTGAACAGTTCTTTTGGGGAACAAAAAACGACGTGTGCGCCGTACTTACTTCATCGTCATAAAATGTTCCTGCCTTTGGTGCTGCTGGAGCAACCTCGGTCGAATCTTCTGCTGCGGCCTCTGCCGCTTTTTCTTCTTCTGCCATTCTCAAAATGGTTTTCTTGGCATAACTTGGCTTGAATCCAGCAATGGTTCGTCCTTGCTTGAACGTGACGGCTCGTTGTGGAACAGGAGTGGGCGCAAAGGCAGCCACCAGGCTGATCAAGAGCGGGAGAAGGGCTACAACGGACTTCATCTTCGTGGATTGCTACTTGTATTTCTATCAAGGGTATTGGAACGGAACGAATACTCAAGTGGTAGTTGTGAGAACAGGGAAGTGTCAAAGATGGGGTTCTGACTGTTATCCTTGGTGAGCTGTTGGGGTTTGCTTGGCACCTCGCCACTTGCTATGGTGATCCGAATGATTCATCCGTGGAATCAGGAAAATGAGGATCTTTTGACAATTGATCTTTTGAACACGTCACCGTATCTCAGAGTTAGGGCTAAACCTGCTTCTTAAGGCTATGGCTTTCATCCACACAAGACTGGTTAAGTCCCAGTTGAACCCCGATCTTTCCCCACAACGTTTTTCAACACAACCACGCTCATCCTCATCAAAGCTCTCTGCTCTGCTGCAGCAACAACACTCGTCCATCTCTTTCAGTTCTGCCTTTTACTGTTTCCAATAACCACCCAACCAGCCGTCACCATGAACAAGTTCCTTCTTCGCGTTGTTGTTGCCCTTGTTGGCCTTGTGTCTGCCGCTTCGGCCTTCACCACCGTTGCTCCCCGAACCACAGCTTTCAGCTCGGCCGCTGTCGCACCTGTTGCCTCATCCACCGCCTTGAACGTTGTGGACCCTGCCATTGCCCAAATGACTGCCATGTCCAACCCCGCTGGATCCGTCTTTTTCTTGGTCTTCCTTGTCTCCATCTGGGAATTGGTCACACCAGGACGTTACAACAAGCTTTAAATTGTTGTTTGTTTGTTGGCCCTCGCACAAGCAGATGATGACGATGATGACGACATGAACGGCAGGCGAGAGAGTACAGGGGTGTCGATTTGTATTTGTGGTGGTTTGGTACCCTTTTTGTATAGAGCTACAACACCAAGAGGCAATCGGCACGTTTCTTTCTTTTTTCTATAGTGCAGGAATAATCACTTCATATTATAGAAAATTCTTTGCACTGTACTTTACATGATTTGGTCTGTGTGCGTATGTGTCATATGCATATGACAGGGGTTTCTAATAGCCGACCTGTCCCTCGAGGAATGGAGTTGTGTTGGTTGCCAGTGCTAGCAGGCAGGCACTTGGCACAACGGGGAGATGGAACCTTCAAGCTGGTGGCGCCTTTGTGCTGGCTACGAGGCAGACTAGCTAGGGCAATCGGTACCTATCTGCATCCCTTGCCTCAAATTCATAGCTACTCTGGAGTGCTTTCAATTGCTACACACAACTACACCGTAAGTTAGAAACCACGGGTCTTCTACAATATAAGCAAAAAGCTCTAGCTACTAGAGTTGGAATGGCAGGGTTGGGTGTCGCTTTTAATAGGCATCTGGTTGGTGGACCCAAACAAAATCTCCTTCGTCTCTCCAATACCCTAGCTGAGAGCGCTGTTCGCTGCCGTAGCCAGTGTATTTGTGTTCATCTTGATTCTCAAGGATGTATTTCTGACAAACCCTCGAGAACTCGGTGAACCGTCCTCACCAAGCGACATACTTCACTCGCTGCCAGCAGGTCGCTCAGCCACTGCAAGAAGCACCAATGTTCATGGGGTCGTCGCTCATGATGAACCTAGCTAGAGCTAGTCATAGACTTTGTCTCTTGAATCAAATCCATGCGTAAATTTGTCAGGCAGGTCAAGCCATAGTGGGCGATGATTGGATGTATGATTCGATTCTCTATGGTAACTTCGTGCTGCAGCCTCCCTGGCCCTTGGTGGTCCTTCTTGTTTTCAGGGGAATGACAGCCTTGCAGACTTTTCCATGCAAAGCTGGATGTTCAAGCTCTGTCCCTGAAATGACCGTTTCCTTTGTCGCCATCCATCATCCAACCAATCACTCTTTACGCAGAATCTCTCCATCTCTCCCACTGCTAGCTATCATTCCATTCCATCACATCACCATGGTTCAATCAATGAATACCAAAGCCCTGTTAACACTGGCATCGGTAGCTCGAAGACCGGGTCTAATGACACCTCACGTATCGGTGGATACGGTATCCGAGATCAATTATGCGTTGCTCAAGGAACGCTGTGGCATTCACGCCGTCGTCTTTGACAAGGACAATACACTGACGGCTCCCTACGAAAATGTCATTCACCCGAATGCCCGTGCGGGTTTGGCCACGGCCATTGAAACCTTTGGGGTTTCCAACGTGGCCATTTTGAGCAATTCTGCCGGCACCAAAGACGATCCCGACTACGAAGATGCCATTGCCATTGAAGCAGCCTTGGGGATTGCCGTAATCAAACACGACGAAAAGAAACCGGGTGGTCTGGAGGAAACGCTGCAGCATTTTGGAATGGAAGATCCGTCGGCAGTCTGCATGGTGGGGGATCGACTGTTGACCGACGTGGTTTTTGGCAACTTGTACGGGATGCTCACCGTGCATACCATGCCACTCTGCTCTGGAGACGACAATGCACGCGACAATAAAGTGGCCAAGGTCATTCGAGGTGCGGAAAATAAAACACTCTATGGAAATTGGTTTGGAGGACGGTGGTTGCTGGGGAAACAATTGCCGCACAAATATTGGCCGGGACCAGAGGAATGCCCCTTGGTTTTGATATCTACTACTACGGCAACGGGCAATACTGAGGACAACAACGACAGCAACAACGACAGTAATAATGCACCCGCAAATGAGACAAAATCAAGTGACTAGCAAGTGAGGCAAAATGAAGCAGCTAGCTATTAATAGCAGCTACCGGTAGCTGCTAGCTTGGTTGGCGAAGTGTTGCTCACGAACAAATAATAATGAAAAAGTACACCTTCTGGTACTGTATGATTGTGTCTGGCATGATGCCATTATTGTTGGCTAGTGCACGATGAGTTCTGAGTGAAATTCTTTGAAGAATCATCCAAAGGTAATACGACGCTTTCACAAGAATTGGCCGCACTCCTCAAAAAAAAGACTCATTCAAAGTCAGCATTCATATTATGAACACACAAAGTATGAGGCCATCACGTATCTTTTATAACATACTTCCCAAAGTTCAGATGTGGTGAATCAAGCTTTGCAGTATCCTAGGTCAGCCTAAAATGGCCGCTATCTATCTCTGTGGTGAATGACAAGGCAGCTACAAAAGAGTCCAGGATAGAGCCTGGTTGCCTCTGAGCGACACATAGAAAAATCTTTTTCCGCTGAGTCCACAACGCCATATTCTTTCGAAAGTAATGCAGTCTATTTCCAGACCCTCGTAGAGATGTTCTTCCGCTAAGGTACGATAATCTGCACCAAATCAAAATCCGAAATCTGGTTTGGGTCTCCTTCGTCATTGAGATGCCGAGCCCATGCGAAGTGAAATGCCTAGTCGGCCTGGATCCAGCGGGTGGCCAATACACGGGGTGGAGGAGCTTGGGCCGGTTCTTCCTCTGGCTCTCCTCGATTTCCATGTTGGGTCTGTGAGTTTTTGACTGCTAGCTGCCCTACAACCCACCAGGAGAAGATAGTACCGCTGGTTTTCAGCTTGCTAGCTAGCTACTAGTAGCTAGAGTTATTACAGTCTAAAAACTAATGATAATAATTAATTACTAGTAGAGCATGATCAACGGTGGCAGCAAATATAGCCGCAAATTGTGGAAGCTTAGTGCCGGTTTAATTTCATTAACTCTTCCAATGATTGAATTTCGATAAAGTGAGGCAAAAATTACGAAAATGGCACGCAAGCATGGCCGAAAAAGGAGGATGCCGTGCCTTTGGTGTCTCGTATGGTTGCTTAATTAAGCCCTGATTTGCGGCTATATTTGCTGACACCGTTGATCATGCTCTAAATCTACAGTACTGGTATGGTGAGTGCGGGAATGGGCTCAAATACCACCGGTAGCCAGACCCCAACCACCGGTGTGCGTGTGTGCGTTTGACGAGGGAGTTGTGTAAGTTCGACACAGGGTTCGCTAACCTGATATATTAGGTTACCGGTTACTTCCAAAAGAACCGGTAACCGGAACCTGATAAAGTAACCTTTACACTAACCTGTTAAAAAAATTCTATCAGGTTAGTAACCGATACACTAACCTAATACGATCTTGTATCAGGTTAGGTGTACCGGTTACTTACCAGGTTTTCTATCAGGTTACTTTTCACCGTTTTTGGGGCCATTTTCCTCATTCCGCAGTAGATTAACCCTTGGGTGGCACTACCACTGAAAGACCCACGCCTTCCAGTTGTCAAGGGTAACTATCTCTGTTATCCAACCACCCTCTCAATCTGCAGTTGTCAAGGTAACTATCTCTGTTACCTAGCACCCTCGCATTCTGCAGTTGACTAACCCTTGGTGGCACTACGAGTCGTCATGGGTGACTATCTCTGATGCCTAACCACCCTATCAACTATCATCTAACTAACTAACAAGGCAAAACACCTTATATACAGTAACAGGTAACTTACTATGACAATACCAGGTTACTTTATCAGGTAACCTACAGGTTACCTGATAAATACCTGACACTAACCTATACACTAACCTACTACAAAAATTCTATCAGGTTAGTAACCTATACACTAACCTAGTGCAATTTTCTACCAGGTTAGTGTATAGGTTAGTAACCTATTCCTCAAATCTATCAGGTTAGCGAACCCTGGTTCGACAATCGAATCTGAGTACCGGTTGCGATTTGTTCTCGTCGCCCACGCCACGGAAACCTCTCTGGACTCAGGACTCAAGGAACAGCACACCAGGAGCACCCAGCATCCAGCATGATAAGCATGATGTATTGGCAGCAACAGCTTGTCACATTGAGCAAGAGCAAGTCCAACAACGGGGGTTCAGAGTAGGCGGATTATCTACGGAAGCCAGCGAGGGCCAGAACATTGGTTCAATCCTTGGTGCGCGTGTTGGATAGCCTTATCACACACACACACAAAACATCACACATCTCACACAGCACTCGCGTACACACACCTACACACAAAAATGCAAAGGCAGGTCGACCCAGAAGGGCATCATCAGGAAAGGCCAGATTATCAAGACCACGATAGTGAGGGAGATGGAAACGCAGGTCAAAGAGGAAACCTTGACGAATTAGAGCAAGAGCTAGGGCGTCCAAACCATGTCTATCCGCAGCGTCCAAGAGTGCCGGGGCCCTTGGATCCAGGCCGAATGGATCTCGACGACTTTGAGACCGAGATTGGATGGGCTGCTATTCTGAAAATTGTCATGGAACAAACCGGTATTAGTCGTCTCTCTGATTTTGACCTGGTTCAGATCATGGCCGTGGAAGGGGATGCTTTGGATTCAGCCGTAGAGATGGCCCAGAGGCTGCATCATTTCCGTGAAGAATATGAAGTTGATGACTCGGTGGAAAGTGGTCGTTTCTGTGTGTCAGAGGCAATGAAGCTTTTCCCTGGATTCTTTCTTGCCCTTACTTTCACAAGGGAGGCAAACAGAGGACATTATACCTTGGTCCTGGATGTCACAAAGCTCAATTCTGGGCTTTTGAAACCAGGGGAGAATGGCATGAAGACTTTTCTAATGGCCGTTTACTTTTGTTTCCAAGCCATGACTCCTGACTTTGAAGCATCACGGCATGGAGCGCTGTTGCTGGTGGAATGTGACCAATTTAATTCCAAACAGAACGTCACGCTTGGTCAACTCAAGCATGCACACAATGAGCTCTTCTTGCCAACCAAGTGGCATCAGGCCAGACACTACAATACAGGGGTGTTTTTCCATGTACTCATGAGCATGCTTCGGCCTTTTCTTCCAGATGATCTGCAGGGCAAAGTCCAATTGGGCTGCAAATCACCCACAGGTCGACTGGATCATATCTACCTACAGCCCACTTTGGAGGCTGCCAATCAACGGTTTTTAGAAAGGTTGACAGATGCACTTCGCAGACGGTATGCTAACGAATCCAAATTTACTCTAGCTCCCATCCCTGAAGAGGTGACATAACGAAAGGATGCTACAGCAGTAGTCCTACCATAGATAGAGAAAAAGGTTAGATGCTGTCTGACTGTTTAGGTTTGGGGTGGATCTACGGTACTACAAATTTCACTTCTGGGCGCCAGCTACTCGGAGCATAGCTTTCAGTCTCCGAAGAAGGGGCAAACCGAGAAGGCTGTTTTGTTCTAGCTACTAGTAGCTGAAGATTCCAATACTGCTACACTGCTACCATACAGATACCCCACACGAGTACAGTGGGATATCGCAAATGTGATTTAATAATCATTAGCACTATTAATTAAATCACCATTAGCTTGCTAGTGCTCCGTCTCTACAGTGACGGGGACGGCATTACGTATCTGGTCCGTGGGCTAGTGGTTTTAAAAAATTGATCAGCCGAACAACTAATTTGTATTTTTTTAAATGTAGTGTTGATCTGAGCAGCAATCACGCATGTAAACTGTTGAATTGGGCTGAATTGACAGTTCACTAATCAATTTCAACAGTTGCGTCGACATTTTTGAAATTTGTAATACTGTAATGCAAATCAACTTCTGCAGGGCCTTTGTATGTGTAAGCCATCCACACACAAGTCAGCCAGCATGTGCAACAAAAAGAGAAGGTGAGAAGAGTCACGAAGAAGGAGTCACGCGTACGGAACAACAAGAAAGAAAGAAAGAGTTAGTCCAATTAGTCAAATGATCAATGACACACAAGAGCCCCCCAAGTGCTGCCAGCCGCACAGGTCATTACCCATGGGGCTTGCTCTCCATTGAGAAGAGTCCCGCACATCAGTGACTTACATTGGCAGATTGGCCCCAACTGTAAATACCCCCGCCGCAACTGTAAATAGAAGCACACCACCATGACGACACCACCATGACGACCGAACGCAATGCCAATGCCAAGAAGCCGAACGCAATGCCAAGAAGGAGTCCATGCACAACAAACAGATGGGAAGAGAAAATGGTGAAAGATAGTTAGACAGAAGGGATGGAAATAGAAAGCAATAGAAAAGGACGAACCATGGTTGGTGGCGGACGCAAAGTTGGTGTGATGATATGTTTGCACCAGTTGGAGAGTGAGAGGGAGAGGCTCAACGGAGGAAGATTCGAAGGCAACTCATATATTCATGTGGGTATAGACATCGGATTGTCATTGGCAGCAAATGGAGGGAAAGCTACCAAAAATTGTCTTGGGAATATTCCCAGCTCAATTCGAAAATTCGTAGATGAAACTCCACGTACAATCTAGAATAGTGAAAACTTCGAACGTAAAGTAAATCAACAACTGTCCATAGCTGAGTGAGTAAATGAACAACTGTCCATAGCTGAGTGAGCGATTAACAGAATGAGCAAGAGAGGACCTAGTGGCAATGGCAATAGGCATTTGCCATACGGAGGATATTCACCGTATGAATATCCGTACGATGGATACCCTACAGGATACCAGCACCATCCATCGTACAGCAACAGGCCCATCCCCAACCAGCAGTGGCAAGATCCAAGACAAAACATCCCCAAACCAGCTGCAAAGAAACCAAGAAATAACTATACAATGTTCCAACTGGATGCGACCTGTAAACCATGCAGTACAATTGAACAAGCTCGACAGCACCTCCTGGAAAGATTTGGGGGATACTTTGAACAAGAGCAATGCATCATGGCAGACGGTACAAGGACTGGGCAGAACAAAATTTGGAAGTTTCACTGCAGAGCAACACCATCGATCTCAGGCCAAAGCCTCAAATGCAAGTGGAGGGCACAGATAAAATTGGATAGAGTACTCGACAAAGAGCAATACAGAATCTACACCAAAACATGTTCTTACGAGCACAACCACACCCTTGATGCAAGTCCACAACTCCCCTGTGACCAACACGGATTCCCCCCATGCATAAGGGCTGTCATTACCCAGTACATCAACTTTGAAGAAAGAAACAGAAATAGAAGCATCATGAAAATCAAGGGTGACGAGGTAACAAGAGCCATCACAACATCAGTGGAGACAGCAAGAAGAACGTACCACCCAGATACAAGATCACTGGCCAACCACTCCTTCTGGATACACGGAGAGTTCAAGGAACGTCTCAAGTGCATGATTAGAAACCACCTGAACCACCGAAAGATATCCTACCTCAAAACTGTTCTGGGGGAAGATCACCGCCTCATCACCAACGATTCTCTCATCAAAGTCCTGGCAAAGTGGCACATGAGAGTGCCCAAGAGTTTCAATCCAAGGAAAACCTTCCATTCTGCAGATGAACTGGCAAGTGAGCTACAATCAGAAGTGGATGACATGTTCATCATCGATCTTACCCATGGATCAGTGTATGAAAAATTCAAAAGATGGCTCAACCTTTCCACAGGAAAGAAACAGCAGGAATTTGCTCGCATGATGGAACAATCATATATGGCATTCTCCCCCACAGGCCTGTACATGTTGTTGTGTCGTGCAAAAAGGAAACCACTCACCAGACAGATTTGCTCGGATGGTACCGGAGGCACATGTGTGGATATGAGTACACTCATCGTGATGGGAGCTTTGTCGGTGAAGGAAAGATCTTCACAATCCAATGTAACATCATCATTGCGACCAATCTGTTACCTTCATGTTGGAAGCGAAAGGTATTATCCTTATTGCCTCATGCTGTACGTACTTCGAGACTTGTGCTGGAAGCTATTTGGTATCCCACTGGAACTCGATTGGGGTACCTCGGATCATGCCGATGTTTTTATCAAAGGGCACAAGCAATTCAACCAATGTCCTCATTTGTGTGATGAAGGAACCACTACCACTTTAAGCAAAAGTCACACAAACCAAGGGAAAAGAACAGAAAGGCCTCAGTCGAAGCCAAAACAAGTCAACCCAGATCCAGTCAATAGCTACCTTGACACCTCACATCGAGTTGATCCGGATCAAGTAGGATCTTGCATCAACACGTCTCAATCCCCAATTGACTGGAATGCATGGTGGCAAACAGTTAACAGTCCTGAGAGTCACAAGGCAGTTACACTGTGTTGGTTTCATGTAACACAGCACTTCGCGAAGAATGATGGATTTGTCCAAAGGGTAAAGAACCGTGACCTTGTGAAAGCAGGAAAGAATGGACAAAGACCTCTCTTTTACAAACACATCACTCTCATCCACCACACGAAGTCCTACATTCAAAGAGCACAGGTGACAGAGCTGGTCATTCGACACTGGATAGAGGACTTGGATGAGATCGAGGCCGCAGTGTTGTTTTTCAAGTCATACTGTTCAAGCCCGTATTGGAATATCAACTATAACTGCACCATGCAACCTGGAGTCCAAGTGCACAACTGTAGCAATGAGAGCAACAACTTTCACAGTGTTAAGGGTGGCAATGCCCCTGTTGAATTGAACGTTTCTCACCCACGGTTTCTTGTCGACACACTACCCAGCCTTCTGTCACGAGATGCAGAAAACCGAGATGATGACTGCACTATTGTCATACCAAAAACCTGCTCCACTCTTGCTCTTGTGTCCTCCAGTTTCATTGGTGCAGAAGACTTTCATACCAGTCGATCTGTAGGAGGAGAAGAATTATCCTGGACGTTCAACATTGGATACATGATCGGAGTTCCCCTTTCAGCCGCAAGACTTGCCCTTATTCGATCGTCACTTCATGGAGAAGATGATGCCTTCGTGGATTTGTATTCTGAATCATGGACAGGAGCCGACACAGCCAAAAGGATGTTATCAGTGACCAGAACAACTTGCATGCTGATACGACGTTCTGATGGTGAAGTGGTGGGAGACTGTGAGGATTGTGTTAAGAGACTGGGGTATAATTGTCCAGCGGCAGCATACCTCCGTAACAGATTTGGGCTACTCACCGTTTCACTGGAAGACCGAAGAAAAGTGACCTGCAACACAAGAAAACGAGGTTACAAGGCCCAGGCACGTGGTCATCGAATGGGTATGTACAAAGGAGGTCTCCTCCATCAAGGTCGAGTGTGCCGGCAGACTCAGAAGATGCTTGAAAATGACGAGGCTTTCTTCGAAACTCTGAATAGAGAACAGGTCATGTCAGTTGTTGAGTATCTTGGATTATCATTGTCTGAGGAAAGAAGAGGCCTCTTGAGACAGCATCCAGCTCTATCTTTGGCGAAAGAGCGACAGATGTGCCTGGATGAGATCCTGGAGTTTTATAAGCAGCCAGCACAGTATCGAGCCTTGCGAAAGGTTCAGCATCAAGCAAGGATTTTGTCATTGGGAAATGAGGACGCTGATATCACAAAGGCTCCCTGATATGAAAAAGGGAAGTACAGATCTGCAACCAAATTGTGAGCTTGTTGTAGCTTGTTTAAGCACCCGTTTAAAAGAAAAGGATATCAGAATCCAACGTACTAACCTGAGCATTCTCTAGAAGTTCTGGAATGGCAGAATCATTCATTACATCATCATTCATTACATCAGCCGGACTGTGCTTGTGAGCAGCCGGACTGTGCTTGTGAGCCAGTATTCCATACTCTTGTGTTCTGCACCTTGCTTTCGAACCTTCTTGGAGGAGCACCGGATTGTCTTAAGACAGTCAGTGTACGTACCTATGGCGACAATACCCTTCTCAGAACATGGTTGTATTGGCCAACTGAAATGATGCCGGAACGTGGTTGTATTGGCCAACTGAAATGATGCCAGCTGGGTGTTCTGTAAGTCGTAATCTCTTGTGGCAATGTCTTGTGGCAATCTCTTGTGGCAATGCGATGGAAATGTCGAATCCAATCCTGGATTAGCGATTGGATTCAGTCCCGGCGAGCTCTTCAAAACTCGAAATATCAGTGAGAGCTCAAATACGACTCCATATGTCTTGAATCCCTGATGTATACTTCACCACGGATCCTATAGTGGAGTTCACGTGAGATCTGCGATAGCCTGGCTGGCTTCTACAATTAATATATTAATGGCGAATATCAATATACCCGAGGTGGCTTCATGTGCATTACCATTATTCAGACATGCCCACTTCTGCACCACTTTTACTAGCTACTACTACCAGTACGGTAGGAAGCCGCAGCCAAAGATCTCATTTCTGTTCCGAGTTCCATTCGAAAATTTACAACCAACGTCCACATATGCATATTTTCTAAGTTGACACAACTCAAGAGGACTGAAGGTGGCAGCTCAGAGTGTGTGTGACATCATGCCGGCTGCTCGTAAGAATACGACGGCTCGTTTCTTGCTGTACCCTGCGGTTGCGGTGTCGCTCAATGTGGGCCTGGCAGCTCTGTTGACGAATACGTACAAGTGTTGCGACGAGAGTGCTCAAGAATGGTTGTCGATAGCTTCCAGTTTGAGCAATCTCTTGTCGAATGCGTCCATTGCCATTGTGACGTTGACTTTCTCCTTGACCGTCCTTAGCATTCAAATTGCCTCACAAACCTACAGTCCTCGATTGCTCGATGATTTTCTGCAAGATCCAATTTCCCAATTTGCCGTTTCCGTCAATTTGGGAGCCTACGCGTACTCGTTCTTTTTACAGTACTGGTTGTTTGAAGATGACAACAATAGCAACAATAACACTGATGGCATTCCCATTTTGGCCATTCATTTCTTATCGATCCACATGCTGACAGTCTTGCTCATGTTTGTGGTTTTCATTCATTACTTTGTCAACAACTTTCGATTGGAAAGCATCCTACACAGAGCCACCGAGGCCAGTTGGCATGCCGCGCAAAAGTTGGAAGAAGCACTCTCCAATCAAACGGGCTTGAAAAAGGACGACGAAGATCTACCGACAGTTCCAACAACGGCTTACAAGGTCTTGGCGGATTACAGTGGCTACCTATGCAAGTACAATCTCAATGCCGTCGTGGCCGATGCCACCCGGTTGGATTTGGTCATTCGATATCATCCCAACATTGGCGAATTTGTGGCGGAAGGATCCCTGTTGGCGTATGTGTGGGATGCCAACTCAACCACTACTAATGCATCTGGTGATGATGATGGTGAAACCAAGAGACGTCCGTCGTTTAAACATCGTGTATTGACTGGCAAAAGTAGTGTTGGGAGCAGGCACAGCCTAGGTGAGCATGCTAGTATCGACAATCACCAAACAGAACTCGCCGTGGAAGAAAAGCTAGGTCGCATCATTGCCAAGGGATTGGAAATCACCACGGCACGATCGGGAGAATTGGACGTGTTGTTGGGGGTACAACAATTGACCGATGTCGCGGTCCGGGCACTCAGTGCCGCCGTTAACGATCCCTTCACGGCAGTACAAGCCTTGGATTATCTCAGTACCCTCTTTGGTCGATTGGCCCGGCTGAGTTTCCCCATTGGATGTGCCAAGGACAAAAATGGTGTGGTGCGATGTACATCTCCTCGACGATCCTTTGCCTACCTGCTTTCCATTCTGGATGCTATTCGGTTCTATGGCAAGGATGACTTGCAAGTCATGTACCGACTCATTCGATTCTATGGTGATTTGGGTGCCACGGTCAAAATGGTTGGCAAATACCAGGACCGCATCTCTACCATTCTGGCCCAAATGGAACAGTGCATGCAAGTGTGCCGCGACAAGTACCCCGACGACAATTCGGTAGAAAAAAAGTCCATTCAAGAACTCTATGATTATAGCATGTCATTGATCGTGACATCCCAAGCCGGCAGACCGATGTTGCAACAGAATGAAGCCATTGAAAAGGACTTGACCGATCTGGAAACTACCTACGTCAAACCCACCAGTCAGTTCTTTGATACATTGAAGGACGAACACAAGGTGGCCATGAAGAGCGTGCATGAAAGCAGCACCCGCGAAGAGTGAGAACGATGATGACCAACCATCACAACAGCACGCACGGATGGCCACAGGCCAGCAAGCCTACAAGAACGAAATGCAAATGAACGATGATTCATTCAATCGAGAGTCTAGCTTATGAACATACAATGTGGACAAAGCGCACATCTCAGAGCAGCCAATACTTTTTCCATTCCAAAACACGCCAATATATTGTCATTGGGAGGGCCATCCATCTCTTGACTTTGGGGGTTGCGGCTTTTGCCCCTGGGTTTTCTTTGTCGCCAGCGCACAGCTGTAGTGGCGGCGTTGCCCGCTTGCTTGGGTCTCCTCAGCTAAATTTGCTTTACATTGTTGTTGGCGCATCAGTAGCGACATCATCAGCACCTACTGTCCCACCTGCTGTGGAGCCATCAGTTGGTGATCCTGTCTCTTCCACTGTTGTTGTTGTCGGCGAGGCTGTGGGAGATCCTGTTTCTTCTGTGGCCTCTGTTGCTGCTGCTGTTGGTGAAATGGTTGGTGTTTCATCAACTGCAGCTACTATTGCTACTGTTGTTGTTGGCGCGGCAGTGGGTGATACCGTTGGTGCATCAGTGGGGCTTGATGTCTCCGCATTGTCACCTGGAATGCCCATGCCTACTGGAGCATCTGTGGTTGCCTCAGTCGCTGCTGCTGTTGGTGAAATGGTTGGTGTTTCATCAACTGCAGCTACTGTTGTTGTTGGCACAGCTGTGGGTGATACCGTTGGTGCATCAGTGGGGCTTGATGTCTCGACATCGTCACCTGGAATGTCCATGCCTACTGGAGCATCTGTAGTTGCTTCAGTCGCTGCTGCTGTTGGTGAAATGGTTGGTGTTTCATCAACTGCAGCTACTGTTGTTGTTGGAGCTGCTGTGGGTGATACCGTTGGTGCATCCGTGGGGCTTGATGTCTCGACATCGTCACCTGGAATGTCCATGCCTACTGGAGCATCTGTGGTTGCCTCAGTCGCTGCTGCTGTTGGTGAAATGGTTGGTGTTTCATCAACTGCAGCTACTGTTGTTGTTGGCGCGGCTGTGGGTGATACCGTTGGTGCATCAGTGGGGCTTGATGTCTCCGCATCGTCACCTGGAATGTCCATGCCTATTGGGGCATCTGTGGTTGCCTCAGTCACCGCGACAGTCGGAGCCATGGTTGGGGCTTCACCGGGTGGAGAATCGTCTGTGGTTGTAGTTGGCGCGGACGTGCCTGCAATGCAATAATCCGCACCGAAAACCCCTGATCCCTGACATCCTTCGACAGCTTCCCGGTCCATTCGCTGAAAGCAAACGAGGCCTTCTGCGCACTGTAAACGCAACAAAAGTAAGGGTAGAACACAAGTTAGTAGTTGTACAAGAAGCTCTCAGGGTGCTTCCGTGTTGGTCAAAAACTTACATCAGCGTCGACGTCGCAGTCTCCTTGGCACATCTGAAGACGCGTACGATCATTGGTATTCGAAACAAGCTGGAGAAAAGGGAGGACGTTAGCTGGGGATGTTACTGCTGCTGTGGGTGCAGCTGTTGGTGCATCTAGCTGGTCAACAGGGCCTGGTGGAGGCATATCTACCGAGCAACCAGTGCAGTTGGCGCTGCAACCGTCGGGTAGGTCAAAGGGGCCATTTAGGCCTGTCACATAGGGACCGCCCACGGTGAAGGTTCCCAGATCAACAACACAACCATCACTGAGACTGCATCTCATCGACAGATCACAATCTAGACCAATGCGACCTACGAACGGTTCCCCGTCCACAGGGCATTCATCAGCGAAGGGCTGGATACACTCTTCTAGCTCTGGGCACCAAACGAAGCCTGCAGATGAAACGCACCCAAACTCATCGACGTCACCTCCCGGCAACGAGGCGGAAGGCGATGAGGTCACTGGTACTTCCGTTTGCACTCCCCCGACAGTCTCTGTGGGAGATGATGTAACTGCTACTCCATCAGATTCTGTGGGTGCCATCGTTGGCTCATTTGTTGCCTCGACGGGCATTGCGGTTGGGCTAGGGGGGACGGTAGCAGAGCCACCAATGGGAGCAGACGTCGGGCTATCCGTAGGGACCGGGGTGGGAGCGCTAACTGGGCTGTCGGTGCTGTCATCTGCTTCTGTGCTCCCAATTGTGGGAGTTCCAGTTGCAATCTCCTCTACCGTAGGGGCTGCGGTGGGATGGCTTGTAGGAGAGCTGTCGATGCCGTCATCCGCTACTGCAGTGGGAGTTCCAGTTGCAATCTCCTCTGCCGTAGGGGCTGCGGTGGGAGCACTAGTAGGGCTGTCGGTGCTGTCATCCGCTTCTGCCGCACTAGGGGCTGGGGTGGGAGCGCTAACGGGGCTGTCGCTGCCAGCGCTAACGGGGCTGTCGCTGCCATCGTTTGCTTCTGTGCTCGCAATCGTAGGCGTTCCAGTTCCAATCTCCTCTGCCGTAGGGGCTGCGGTGGGAGCACTAGTAGGGCTGTCAATGCCGTCGTCTGCTCCCGCCAAACTTGGCGCCGCCGTTGGAGCAGGTGTCACCGGGGCTACTGTTACATCGGAAGGTTGCACGCAGAAATCAATCCCCGGGTAGAAGGCACCAGTGCCCGCGAATATGCAACCTGGGACTGCCTCCTCACCTCGTCGCTGATAGCAAATGAGACCATCTTCGCACTATACATGTACAATGGTGAGTTTAAATTTTGTCAAAGCGTAGATGATCAGACTGCGAAGCAATGTATCACTTACGTCATCGTTGGTATCACAGTCTCCAGCGCATTGAGGAAGTGGAAACACGCTGAAAATACCGTTGTTGCCCACAATAGCGAGAATTGGGCCCTCGTCTAGCCCTGCGACTGGTGATCCAGTAGGGCTCTGAGTGGGTGGCGGCATGGGCGTTGTAGGCGATGGTGTGTCAGGCACTTCCGTGGCTGGAACATCGGTGACAGGAATTTCCGTGACCGGAACATCGGTAACAGGAATTTCCGTAGCCATGCTACTTGGTGCCGCTGTAGGGCTTGCTGTTGGTGTCGCTATTGGTGTCCCTGTGGGTGTCGCTGTAGTTGTCGCTGTAGGTGCCGCTGTAGGGCTTGCTGTTGGTGTCTCTGTAGTTGTCGTTGTTGGGCTTTCTGTGGGTGGGGTTGTTGGGGTTGTCGTTGGTGTGGTTGTTGACTCTGTCGGGGTTTCTGTCTCTTCGACTGTCGGTGCTGGGGACGGGGCCGCTGTGGGTTCCACTGCGGCATCCAGGGTAGGAGTTGCTGCACTGATTCCCACCACTTCGACATTGTCCAGCTGGTTGTCAGGGGGGACTCGATGCAGATAGTCCGTAATGAACGAGTTGTAGTCGAGACTGATGATCTTTTCCAAAACCTCTGCTTCTGTGATAGCGGCCCCATTGTCAAAAGAAAAGTTGGCATCGAATTCAATAGTGACATGGGGTTTTCCACCAGCCACGTAGTCCTTGGAAGTGATATCAGTCTCATACGAAACAAAGTCAACGGTGAACACAGCATCATCTTCAAATTCTGTTGTAAAAAATTCATCCAATAGTTCTGCGAGTTCGTCGTACTCTGCTGGGGTGAGGTCTCGATCCACATCATTGGGCTCACCAGTATAATACGACATTGCAAATGTGGTCTTGATAGTTATATCCTTTGTTGGCAACGTGGAGGCCGTGGTTGCTCCAGTCGTTGGGATCATGGTCGTATCCGCATACGTCATGCTCATTGTTGGCGTGGCAGTGGGATTTTCCGTTGGCGAGACAGTTGGACCTTCTTCCTGTGGCACAATGCAGTAATCATTGCGACTCGCGTCCTCTCCAATGCACCCAGGAACAGGCTGGCCGGGTTCTCGCTGATAACATACCAAACCGCGCGCACACTTTTGGTTCGGGCGGGTCAAGCAACAAGTCAGGCGATGAAGCTCGAAAGGGAAACCAAAACGACCATCTCTCCAAACCTGCCACTTACATCATCATCTGAGTCACAGTCCGCTTCACATTGCTGTAAGATAATTCCATCGAGTTCATCGCCATTTCCAACGTAAGACAAGGGCTTGTCGTTTACCACTCCATCAACATCAAATTGATAGTCAGGATCTGGTACTGGTGTAGGAGCTCTTGTGGGCCTTGGTGTACGAGGGACGGGTGCTTTTGTGGGTGATTTGGTGGGAGATACCGTGGGAGCCTTTGTCGGGCTTACAGTTGGCGCTACAGGTGCCTCAGTCTCCGGCAAGATGCAAAAATCTGATTGCGACATTTCCGTTTCACCACCAATGCATCCTGGAACCTTGGTTCCTGGACCTCTTTGAAAGCAAACCAAATCACCTTTGCACTTTTCAGAGAAACCAATCAAAGGACGAACGTTAATGGTGAGTCAACCTGGGAAGTTGTGAAGCAAAGCGATATACGTCGACTCAAAATCAGATACCCGAAAGCAGTCTAATTTCACCGCAAACTTACTTCAACATCAGAGTCACAGTCTCCTTCGCAAAGATCTAACAAGACAGTAGGATCTGCTCCTACTCCTACCAGTTCTTTTAGCACACGAGAGCTCTGCCTTCCTTTCACTGATTTCTTGTTGTTTCGTCGGCTATTTCGAGGTCGTTGCAGCTTTCCTCCAATACGAGCTTGAACAGGTTCAACTACAGACGTAACGATAAGTAGTGAGAGCGAAAGAGAGACGAATATCCGGATAGATATGGCCATTGTGAAGGTCCAAATACGTGTGTTGTTCGCCTCTTCAATCAATGCTTTGCAAAAGAAGAGAGCAGAATTTTCGAAAATGTGAGCTCCGGTTTTGGTGCGCCCATGGGAGCACGTACTAAATTTTTCACAGTAGTCAAAGTCGAGTGACTCGACTTTCTATCGCCGAAACCGTTCCCTTTCTGCGCAAGGGATCAATCTTAGATGCTGCTGTCATCTTTCGCAATCATTTCTATCGCCACTGCATCTAGCGATGGCTGCTTCCAATCTTGCATTCCGTGTCTGTCAAGTGACATGGGAGTGCACTGTCGGATGCAGCACGAAGATAGGGTGCAACCAAAAGTTGCATGAGCTACCGTCGGTAATACAGCGAGATGCAAAGGATACCTCGTTCCGTTCCGTACCGTACCGTACGGTTCACGCCACTTTGCAGAACAAGCCAGAGCATACCGGTACCGGTACGAGGGCACTTTGCAGTGGTGGGTATGCCAGAGGACTGAAGAACCAGCCTCTCATGGATTGCCTTTGCTTGCTACGCAGTGCGACTATAGTTGCAGCCAACCGAACGAAGATCGAGCGACTCGACTAACGAAATTCTGAAGCACCATGCAAACGTACCGATCTGCGTGTTTCTGGTTGATGTCGGTAGTTCTGAACGACAGAGAGCTTCGAACGGCTGCTATGCTTTTCACTCTAGCTAGGTGGAGAATCTTTTGCGGAGGCACTGTTGGTATGGTATCTTTTGTTGCTTGGGCGCAGCAAGACAACTGAACAAGCACCAACAACGATGAGAAATATGCTGTTGAGTGCTGCTCTCTACAAAGAACAAGGGTGTTGCTCGATATCTCTACTTTAGAAGTCCAGTTTTGCTTGAAAGCCCCAACTGCCGACAGCGTGTACCTCGTATCAGCCATAGTAGGACTTGCAGGGGTTGGATCAGAGAGCTGGAGCTCCTACTCACTACATGAGTTTCATCCCGACTATACCTTGCTACGACGACTGTGTGCATGTATGTATGTGTTCTCTGCTCGGCAGCTATGAGCCACAGCATGCATGCCGTTCCGGTATAAAAATAATGGTGGCGGCTGAGCTGCTCCAAGTTTTGGTGCAAACAAACGCGCCCTCCTTATCTTGTCCAGACTGTGTCCCTGGCGGAGAGTCCTTGGAACAGCCGCACGACGGTACTGTACCGTACCGTACCGGTAATCAGAATGAAGAATGGATAATAGATGCTCTATACAACAGGCAGCCTCTGAGCTACCAGGATTGATTGCTGATGATGCGTTGTGACGACTTCATTGGATCCGAGCTCAAGTCTGTGGCAAGATGTCTGTATGGGAAAGCTTTGGCTAATTAGCGCCCCCCTAACTCACACGTCCATCGCCTCCTGCCTACTCCAACTGGGCAAGAGCTCCCTACCAAGCTGTGGATCATCATCTTCTCTCTCGCCCTCTTTAGTAACCAAGACACTATAGTCTGTTTCTTCTTGAGTACCCCCTTCAGGAGAAGGCGTCAAATTGAAGGTCGCAATACCAGCCATACCCAAGCAGACAATGAAAAGAAACAAGAACACGTATGTATAGAAGTCTACCAAGTGAGTAGAGGGTTGGACACCAATGCGACATGCATAGTACTCCCCAAGATACATCAACCACGCTCCTTCAATGATAAGCAGAACATGGCCAGTGAGAAATGCCACCAGATTTTGTGGGTTCCAAATCGAGTAGGCACAGACGAATGAGTGAGCAAGGCAGAGTTTTGCCAACATGCCATACCGGTAGGGCACCTCAGTGTGAGTTTCACGGTTATTCATCGATGCGACATAGGTGCTCAAAATCATGTAGGACTGGAACAGCGCCATGACCAGACATGATCGATTGGAATCCAGTGGCACGAGTCCCTTTGACTCGAGGAAGCTCGCCAATCCTATGAGCCCAAACAAAGCATAGGACGCTTCATGTAACAGTCGAAAGTAAGGATTGGTCGAGGCGTTGCCACCTGGGATTTCCCAGCAGAACGCCACAACCATTGCAATGATCAGGGCAACACCGGAACGACGCAGAATTGCTGGATCTCTCTCCGGGAGATAAGAAGTTTCACATTGCAGTTTTTGGCACCTTCTTGCACGGCGAAAGTGTAGGAGGAGGCAATAGGCACCCAGACCAAGAAAGAATGACCCCGCAATGCGGTGCCCCCCAGCGCTCCCTGTTTCATTTGCGATGTTATCCATTGTTTGAGCTTGCTAAGCTTCTCTATCTTTTTCCGTACCGTAGCCTGCGTTGTGATGTGGTTGTGTTCTTGTGCTCTTGTGCTGTGTGCACTGACTGGGGGAATAATGCAACTGGCGGATCAATCCTTTGAGTGGTATGGTGAGCCACTACTGTACCAGGTAGCTAGCTTGCTAGCTACGGTATTTAAGCCAGCGGAGCTGTGTAACCTCGGCAGAAAGGTTTCAGTGCAGAAGCAGATACCCCTATAGCCAGCTAACTAGAAGCAGACACCTCTAGTGCTTAGCTAGTGCTTAACTTGTGCTTAGCTAGCTAGAAGCAAATCCCCCCTAGCTAGAAGCAGATTCCCATAGCAAGCTAGAAGCAGACACCCCTAGCTAGCTAGAATACTAGTTTTATAGCTTTCGCTGGCTTTAGAGTTTTTCCTGGTAGAAGCAGATCCCCCTACTATGATGGATGTAAAAATTGCTTTAGCTGGTTTGCACCATCCTAGCTAGGATACTTACTTAGTTTTTGCTGACTTATTTATATTCTAACCCTAGCCTTATACCTGCAGGGACCACCGTAGCAGGAAAAACAATTAAAGGGGTTGAGGGCTCTGGCAGCAAGACTGCCGAGGTAATGCACACCCAAACTAAGGTGAACCCCGCGGAAACCCGGTGCCTTGATGTACCGGCGGCAAACCCGCGGAATCCCGGTGCCTTGTAAATATACAGGAACACGCAAGAATTCGAAACAGATCCCTATTCAAATACGCGACAAGGAATGAAGGAATGTACCAAAAGGCCCTTAAAAATCAAGGCTCGGCACTGCACTACCACTCACAGTATGATCGATACAGTACTACCATTTTAACATTAGGCTTTCTACAGTACATGTACAGTACTCGAGTACCGATACGGTGGGTGCACGTCCCATGAGGATTTAATGATGAAGTCCACCAGCACATGAAGAATTTCTTTCAAAGCTGGAAAATGAAAAAAGGCACAGAATCGAATCACGAGTCAATTGTTCTTCAAGTACGGTAAAGGTGATAATTAGTAGCAGCTCTACTATTAAAAGAGGTGGAAAGCAGAGTAGAAATGTCTTATAGCACTCTAATCCTTCAGATTCAGAATATTAAGATGCTGGACTACGCTACGTGATGAATCCTTGAGCCAAGATAAAATTAATGTTCGTAGGAAGACTCAGTAGACTACTGAAGCAAACTTTTTAAAATAATTATTAAAGAGTTGATATCAAGGGGAGGAGTGTACGTAAAACCCTCTTTGGTGCGGGACCTCTGTGGAAACGTCATTCGTGGCAAAATACTTAGGAGACGATACACCGAGGAATAGGAGATGATCGAAATGATTTAAGAGACGAAAGCAATCGTCTCCTATATTTAGGAGATGATTCAGTAGGAGACATTCCAATTAGCAGACGATCGTTTCGAAATAGGAGACGATCCGAAAGATTTAGGAGACGATACCATACAGTTTACATGGTACACTTAGAAGACGATCCGTTGAGAATAGGAGACGATCCGTTGAAAATAGGAGACGTTTTAAGAAGAGACAAACGATTTAAGAGACGATCCGTTTCGTCTCCTATTTTTAGGAGACGAAATCCATTAAATAGAAGACGATCAAAAGGATTTAGGAGACGAAAAGTAGCACGACTCGAGTTTCCACAGAGGTCCGGTCTCGTGGCTCGGAAGCGCAACGTTCTTAGCGGAACTTGGAGTTGTAATAAAACTTAAGCCAGCGGAGCTGTGTAACCTCGGCAGAAAGGTTTCAGTGTACAAGCAGATACCCCTATTAGCTTGCTAGCTAGAAGCAGATACCTCTAGTGCTTAGCTAGTGCTTAACTTGTGCTTAGCTAGCTAGAAGCAGATCCCCCCTAGCTAGAAGCAAATTCCCATAGCAAGCTAGAAGCAGATACCCTAGCTAGCTAGAATACTAATTATATAGCTTTCACTGGCTTTAGAGTTTTTCCTGGTAGAAGCAGATCCCCCTACTAAGATGCATGTAAATAGCTTTAGCTGGTTTAAAAGCACCATCCTAGGAACTTATTTAGTTTTTGCTGACATATTTGTGTTCTAACCCTACCCTTATATCTGCAGGGACCACCGTAGCAGGAAAAATAATTAAAGGGGTTGAGGGCTCTGGCAGCAAGACTGCCGAGGTAAATGTCTAGCTAGTAGCTGGAAGGCCGCCGGTTACGGGTCGCGCTCAACTTTCTTAGCCGAACACAATGCCTTCACAGCGACCCAACCAAGCTGCATTGCTTTCAAACTTCGCACAGAATGCTTCAAGAGAGCTGAAAGCACATCAGAATGACAACAAGCCTTGGTCCTTTCCCTACTTTGCCTCCCCAGAGAGCAGCCAGCGGAAGACAGCAACTTTTCCAAGCGGGAGCAACTACTGACTCCTGCCGCTGGATCTGTCAACCAACAACACTAATAGCAACGATAACAATACGACGGTCACTTCTATACCATCACCACCACACCTATTAGACCCATTGGAAGCATTGAAACGAAGCGAAAGGACCTCAGGAAGCTTGTTATCTGTTATTTCGTTGAAGAGTACTGTTTTACTATAGGAATCCACTCAACGTCATCACGGAAAACATACATCCTTTTTCCCTCTCTTTATCTCTCATTCAAGCCAAAAGGATCGACAGGATCGATACTCCTATCTCCTGCACCTCTCCTATCAAGCGACTATCAAAGCGGCGTTCTCCGGTTCAGATCAGAAAGCCATCCCAATTGAAATCCTACGAGATCGGGCGGGTTTTCCATTCTCGACTGCTGACGGCCAAGTTGGAAGAATTTGAACGCAAGAAGAAGTCACCGGCTTTCAGTGGACTCAGCAGTGCAAGTTTCCTACATACTCTGCAGTGAACTGACTGCACTACGCTAAAAGCTAGTGTAAAGATCTTTCGAGTGTTTTGAGTTTGAGAGAATGAAATTTATGAGAGAGATTAGAAAGCTATGAAAACTAATCAACGAGAGAGATCATCATCAAGGGATCGTAGATCTGGCCTCCCGCGGGAGACTATAAAGTGTGATAGAGTAGGTTGCGGTAGTAATCCTACGTATCTCCACGATCCTAAAACGGAACGCCTGGAAGGTTTGTCTAGCATGGATCTAGTAGCGTGGAAATACTCCACGCTGGCTAAATATCTAGAGCGATGTTTCATCATCAACCTAGTATGACTAGAGCGGTCATTGAGAACCCTGTCTCAAATGACTATTCACGAGAGACTCAATCATGAGTCGAACTCAAACCCTATCTAGGATCGAGTCGCGAATAAGGCTAAGAGCCGTGTATTGCATTCGCCCCCTGACAAGGGTCACAGAAGGCGCGACAGCAGTCGGACAAGGAGAACATATGATTTAAAGTGCGGGCACTCTCATGAGATTTGGATGTAGACATGTGCATCGCACGATGGCAATCCTACAAGGGGAGCAGGCCTTGTATGGGTGTATATACCTTATGTTCCAAGTCTGGTAGACTGTGCCGCCATTGGCGGTAGCATGTCGGAGCCATACAGTGCCATTGTCATTGACTCGGTCTATAGTGTAAGGACCTTTGTACTTTGGCTGACCGTACTTGCGGTGCTGATACTGTTGAATCATCACGGTATCGTTGACATTGTATTGATGAGGGACACGCGTCGCGTTTTCCCTATCGTTGTTTTGTTGGATTAGTCGTTGGCAACGTTCCTTGATGTACTTCCAGTTGGCTTCGAACCGGACATTGTGAATCGCGTCACGATTGAACACGAGCTGTGCGGGCGTTGCACGCAAGGTGGTATGAATCGTGGCATTCATTGCAAAGCGAACCGCCGTGAGGACTCCATCCCAGGATCCATTCACGAGGTCGTCTTGGCACTTGATGTTTTGAACAGCGATCAAGTTGCGTATGGTCTGATGAGCACGCTCGACCATAGAGTTGGCTTGAGGGTTACGCGTGGTGATGAACTTGCGACGAAGTCCATATTCATCCCGGAGAGTCTTTTCGACCTCTGCGCGAACTCACGTCCTCTATCCATGATAACCTCAGCAGGCCATGGATACCGAGTAAGCCACGTTTGTTCTAGGACGATGGCTACTTCGTCTGCTGCTTTTGGAGCAGATCTCTGCAATCTCGAACCATCCGGTTACGGGATCAATCATTGTCAAGCAATGAAGTGTGCAGGAATTCTTTTTCTTAGGATCCCCGACGTTGTAAGGACCTATCAGGTCAATACATAGTCTTTCCCAGGGATCTCCTCGCAAGTCTTTGGAGCATCAATCCCAGCTTACGCGTTTTGGGTTTGTTCATCTGGCAGCTTGGCAAACGCTGAATACGGCCTGCACAGTCTTTGCGCAGTCCTTTCCAGGTGTAGTGTTGGCTGATGCGGTCCGTT